CATTTTTAACAACTTGTTTTAATTTGTTTGTGAAATTTAATTTGAATGTGAAACAATATGTGCATGTATGTGGCCTGTATGTATCTGGCCTGCTGAGGCCTGTTCCCCCTCCCCTCCCGGCCCCCAGGTTCCCCCTACTGGATGTTGGTGCACACAAAATTAAGCATATTGTGTTGTTACCCTGAACAAATTGAAACACTCCCCCCCCCCCCCCACAAAAAAAAAGTAAAATAAAAAAAGGAGGAGGGAATAAACAAAAGTAAATAAATAATAATAATTAAATAAACAAATAATATTAATAAACAGTGCTCCCCTGCAGACAATGATTCAGTTCCAATTCATCCAGCCATGCAGTAACTTCCTTAAGTGTCATAGGAATTAAAAATGATCCTGGAGAAAATATTAATTCAAATTCATAAATAGCTGGTCTATGCTTATGTGAGAAAAAAACAACCAACTGGAGCAATTCGGTACAAGGTTTGTGTCTGGTTCTATCCAACGTCAGAGTGTGTCTAAATAAAAATAAGACAACAAAAAAGCAAAATATTAGTGATTGCAAGATGATAGACAGAATGCACAAAAAGCAAGAAAGTCATTTAATTGGATTGAAGCAAGTCAAATAATTATAACGTAAAAAAAATCCAACGAACCATAACATTTTCATGGAGTTACATTTTGTAAATTTGGACGCATTATAATGTGCAGACCTTGGCTCATGCACAGGGAAATATAATCCATATCTTTTCTTGGCAGGTTTGGGGGCAAAAACGATCTAGATTTGGCCAGTAAACAAGGAATATTTTCAGTCCAGTCTCGCAGAGGGCGCCGTTTGCGAAACCGGAAAACATTTGCGGAACCGGTCAAAGCACCGACCTCTACAAAATGTCCTGGCAAATTTCTCTTTCACACGATCACAGAAAACTATTCATATCATGAAGTAGGTGAGTAACTTGCGCATATTTATAGGTAGCTTCCTGTGAAAGCGCGTTTTTTCGCCACAAGACGCTTCAGACGATTTGCGATTGCGGAACCGGTCAAACGACTGTATAGGGGAAAACTGTGCAGCGGTTCTGTGTGAAATGTCTCCATTTTGATGGACGTTTTTGTACTTTGTCTTTATTAGTGTTTTGTGCTGCAGGCAATTTTGCGGGCTTCTTGATCTATAGTCATACTCATAGTTCTAGGAGTACATGTAGGTAGGATTCTTGACTCTCCATAAACTTTGTACACAACCGTGAACTGCACGAAGTGGCCGTTAGTGGCGTCAGGTTGCAACAGATCATCCAAGGAGATAATTAGGGTTCAAGTAAGTTATGACGGTTCCTTACTTACTATTCTATATGGTACCGTCGATCGACTACATTACCCGCAGTATTTTCATCTTTTCATCGTTGTTTTCGTCCTTGTTTTAGTTCTCCGCTCCCGCTGCAGCTGTTGGATGAGAATCAATTATTGTATAGCGCCCTCTATAGGTAATCAATATCCTCCGCTCCGCGCATTAATTAATGTTGCCCAGCAGTCATACCCGTCACCCGACACTGTTCGAAAGATTTTGGGTCAACTCGTACCCGAGTTAACTCGTACCCGAGTTAACTCGTACCCGAGTTAACTCGTACCCGACTTAACTCGTACCCGAGTTAACTCGTACCCGAATTAACTCGTACCCGAGTTAACTTTTTGGGGTACGAGTTGACTCGGGTACGAGTTAACTCGGGTACGAGTTGACCCATTTCCGTTCGAAACCGTTACCCGATTTTGGGCCGTCATACAAATACAACGTACAAAAGACACATTCTTAAAATCTCAAGTCTCGATAATTACTGAAGCCCAAAAACTCCAAACTTTCTATGCACTGTGCAGGGGCGGCGGCGGAACGAGGGGGGGGGGGGGGGGGGATATTTACCCAAGCTAGTATAGTGCGCGCCCGGCCCCAAGCCTAGTACAGTGCGCGACACAAACTTGTGCACAAGTCTATTGGAATGTTTCCCTAAATAGGTACCATTTCCCGTAGTTATTATGACTTTGCTTAAGGTGCAAATTGCACAAAATTAGTTTTGAATCATTTTATGAACTTCCAGCCGATGCTAACAATAATTTTATTAGCGAGTCGAGTGCATTCATGGGTGGCGTTTTGAGGTTTGGCGAAGTTAACAAAAATCCTGAAATTTCCTGACGTAGGAAAATGAAAACAGAATCTATAGGGGTGGACGTGGCCTGGTGGGGCAGGGCCCCCCTTGGCGAACAATTGCCCCCCCCCCCCCACGGCAAAAGCCATACAGGTATTTTTGTATTGTTTATGGTAGTGGTCTCCCCTAGTTTGTGATATGACCGCCCCCCCCCTATGCACTGTGGTGCGATCTGAGGCTATTTCTTTACCACTTTATTTATTTCTGAGACCACTTTAACAAAATCTTTTTGAAGAAAAGATGGTGGTGTACGCAGTGGTTACTTTTGGGGGGGGGGGGGGCGGGGGAGCATGGCCCCGTTACTCCCCCCTCCCCGGATCCGCCCTTGGGTGCACGCAAGTAAATCGGTCCGAAATTGCCTACGCCGGCCAAATCACGATTTGCAGGCCCTCAGATTTTCCGTTATTAGAGCATTTTGAAGGCCAGGAACTTTGATTGATTTGTTTAAAAAAGAAGGTTGGAAGCCGTGCAGAGGACTGCAAGCTCGTATTTTTGAGAAATTTAGATGAAATTAGACCCTAAAGTGGTTCTATTTTGCCATGTAGCGTAGGCGTCCCTTTTCAAAATATCAACACTATCCGATTCGGGGGCATCATTCTCACTTATCTACATCTTAAATGTTATATTAATGCATGGATTGAATATAGTCTTTCTTTCCTTATTCCGCGTCCGCCAAACTGACTCTGACTTTTTTTTGCTGCAAGCAAATATTTGTTTTGGCATCGCGGTAAAGTCAGTCTGTCATTGACCGTAATACGCATGCGTGAAACATATCACGTGAACTAATGAATACGTCACCTGATTCGGAATACCGAGACATGTTAGTATTATATTCTATTTTTTATGTTGGTTGCCTATAAGCACGCTGCGCGCTAAATCGGTGGCCTGAATGCAGCAGGTTCGGGTTCAATTCGTGGAGGAATTTGACATTTTCATTTTTTTCCGCAAAACATAATTTTCTTCCCTAAATTGGGTTTAATCAAGTCCTGATGATTGATAAAATATATTGCCCCTTCTTCTTCTCATTCATGGCTCTGGAGGATTAAAAAAAGAACCTCAGTCCAAGAACCCTTCCGTTATCAACAGATGCATGCGCATTATGGTTATAATTCCCCGAGTAGTACGACATGTTCCTCAGAAACACAAAGGTGCTCACAAAGTCATGATAATGACGAGAAAAATGTACCCAAAGAAAATAATAATTCGTCTTTCAGATATTTATTCACAATTTCATTGCCGTGTCTTTCTTAACATGAAAATGAAACAAAAGCAGTTAAATGCGGTTATATGCCTTTTTAATTAAAATTGTATGACCTGAATAGGCCTAATATTTCACCTTTTGTGGTGCACTCGAAAGCGCGATATATGATATTGGAGTCAACAAGGGCGGATCGGGGGGGGGGGGCAACGGGGGCTATGCCCCCCTCCAAACCCCCCCCCCCCCGAAACCGTCAATTTTTTTTCTAAGTGGCGTCGCAATAATAATAATAGAGGCAGACACTGCGTACACCACCATCTTTTCCTCCAAAAGAAAAATTGATTTAAGTGGTCAGAAACAGCCTCAGATCGCACCACAGAGCATCTAGAATCTAATAAAAATTCCGGGGCCTTTAAGTGGGCCCCGAACCCCACGCCCTAATTTTTGGGACCCACTTTTTTGTCTTCTGGATCCGCCCTTCGGAATCAAGCGCAGGTACTTTGATTGCTGTTCTGAAATTGAGTAGTTTTTGTTTTCTTAATGAGGAGCTTGCCTTACAATAACTGGAAAGTGCGATGTTACAGAAAATTTCACAGGACAGGGAAACATTGGCACTCAATGGTAGATGTGGAACTACAGCACTGAACTGACACTTTCTGTACAATATAAGTGCATTCGTCTTGCTTGATTTGCTTAAACTTTAAAGTTACTTGTAATTTTAAAATAGGTTTTTCCGGCTATTTCAAAACATTAATCATACCGTTTTGATAATTCCAATTCGGCCATTAACATCGATTTTATTGCACTTCCAATGTTTAATTTCGTCTTTTGTTAGGCAATTTCAAATTCAGTTCAAGTAAATTCACACAATGATCACACGTTTTCGTCCCGGTGTATTCAATTTCGGCTCGTCTTCGCTAAACCTTGTTATTCAGAAATCAATTTTTTTCTATATTATTGATTGATATAAGACGAATTCGATCTCTGGATGCTGCCATTCGGCAACAGAATTTGATCTATAATGACGAATATTCTCGACCCGGTGACTAAAGAGGGTGACCAAACTTTGAAATTGAATGGTAAATGACTCTATTGGTTTTGGTAAAAGTGTGTGGAACATTTTCGTGGACGAAATTGAATGTTATAGAGTTGGTGAATTTGAATCTTTTAAAATAGCCAGGAAAACCTACACCGTAATACTCCACAATGTTATAACCTTTATACACACACATCGTTTTGATGATGCAGAATTATTTTCACAAATTCTAACAATAGTTAACTTGCTATATTATAGAAAACATATATACATGTACATGTACCTTGTTATTTTAAAGGCATATTTTTTAGGATCATTTGCTTTTCATGCATTTTGTTCGTTTCCAATAATAACACCAAACAAAATCCCCCCAAAACATGTTCAGAACCTATCAGCTGCTGAAGTTTCAGCTCAGTGAATATTACACTTTTCGAGAAAGCTCTATAAAACTATGCACTCTCTTTTGATCCCGAAACACAATTTCGTCTATAACATAACTCTTTATTTCTAAAAAATCAGTCGATGGACTCCTCATATTTTACATATCAGCAAGCCAAAAACGAGATAATTTCACGGGGTGCTTAGTACCATTACAATCTTTAATCAAGCTTCTTAATGACAATTCGGTAGGTCACTTTGGGATATTATGCAAATGATCTTGCCTTTAATTCAATGAGTGACGTATATGCTTATTTCAACTGAATAGTGTGAACTAAGCACATTTTTGGTGAAGCTTCCAGTACCCCTCGGCATTGCCCCATGAAGACACACCAAAGTGCACGCGAGTCGGAACTCGCTGGTGGTATGCACCGGCGTCCCATTCCACGAAAGCCGCCTCCTGTCCTCCTTTACCGATTCTGACCACGCCCCCTTTGTAGTCGATCCAGAAAGGGCGGTACTCACTGGCGTTGACCAACCCTTGTTCCTCATGTGTAGCCACTATATCCAGACAGATCAAGTAGCATGGTCTCACGTTCGCCTTGGTATTCACTCTCCCACCGATGTCTAGAGATGAAAAATAGTAAAACCTGATCCGTTCAATTTTAGGTTATTTCAGCACTCGATCGGCAAAACGCCGAAAGTGCCCATGTCTTGTAACTTGTTTTAAATGCTATCCTTGAAAATGCACCTTTGTGTTCCATTTAACCTTATATTAAATGTGTTTTTTTATTGTGCCAGTTTGAAGGGTAATTAGGTGCCTTTCTATTTTTTGATAATGCGAATTGCTGCATTCATGAACAAAATTGTGATTTTATTACTGGCATGAACCTTATGAAGCTTATGAATTGGGCTTTCATATCCTCGATTTTGAAAGTGCTACATGCAAAACTTCCCTAAAACAATGGTCCCAACATGGGGTTTCGGGTTTTTTTACTCACCCTATAGACACTTGTTTGTGGCGTCCTTATACAAGTCGTTACAGAACTGTCATTAAAGCACGGCTTTTTTTTAAGGAAATAATAATATACAGGGGTTTTCTACTCACTTATTTCGGCAAAAACGGACTCGTCAGTATTATGCTCAGCCAGGGCTATGCTAGCACCCTGCTTGATCTTCACATCGAAGTCCAACCGGAAAGGCGTGCTGAAGGGTTCCAGCAGGAATTTGAAGGTGCGTGGTAACTTGGCTTCAGTGAATACCGAACAAACTGGGAGGAAAAAAAGACATTTGTTTGGAACTTTCGACTCAAAATTTTTGTTTCTATTGACACATGTAAACATGGTTCGGTATAACCTTCACTGACGTGTGGAAGTCTGCATTTTTGTCGTTGGTGCGAGCATACTGAGCTCACTTTGCTGAAACATAATTCTGCGAAGAGCAAGCTGCTTATATAGCAGAAAGGCTAAACGCAGATGATAATTTCGTACAATTTGATGTCTAAAAATTCCGGCGGACAAAGCTGTCATTTTCAAGTTTGCCTAACACTAACACGCGCCAGAGTTGTAATGACTCGAGTCAATGACTCGACTCGTGTCCGACTCTAGTCATAAAATTCAGTGACTCGGTACAACTCTGACATGCTCTGCTGAACAAAACGAACCATGGATCTATCCCCATCTTGCACAAACGAACTGTCTTATTCGAAATGTAAAATCAAAACTGTATTCAAATAAAAATTCACTCCCACCGACTAAAACTTGGGAATGAATTTTCACTCGAGTTTGGACTGAAGTGATTCTTTTTTTCCCACAGAGTATTTCAATCTAAAATTAGAGTTATTTTCACCATAGTTTCACTCTTTGGAATTTCCAGAGAAGGTACCACACCCAAGATGTACTGTATTGCTAGCTCCGTCCGACGGCCGAAGATACATTTTGTTTTTAACTAGCCTTTTTCACTAGCGATACAGATGTTATTTAGAGACATCGAACCCACCCCCCCCAAAAAAAAATCGGCCCACGTTAAGGTATGGACTAAATTATTACTTAAAGAATTTCGAACTGCTGCGGACCAACATAATTCAGTTCCCACAAGGCAGACTGGTTCCATCCTTCCCTTTAAATCAAGTATGAGAGAACAAGAAGAATCAGTCTACCTGTTAGGCGAATCTGTTTGTGTGCAAAAGTATAGGCTAATCCAAAATATCAAAAAACTTTTTTCCCCCAGAGAGTTGTAGACGCCAAAATAACAAAAAAGTAACCTTTTTTTCCGTACAAATAAAACTCTCCAGTGTAAGGGGAAAATTTAATTTGTTGAAGAACACTGACAGTAAAACTTCAATAATCTGACCATGTGCGTCGCTAGGATGGGGCGGGGGGGGGGGGGGAGCGCTTGCCCCCCAGAAAAGCCGAAAAAGGGAGAAAAAAAGGAGAAAAAAGAAGAAGTGTGAAGTCATATTTGCTATTAATTTAATACACATTTTAAAAAATGGGCGTCTGCAGGGATGTCAAATGGGGTGAGGTGGGCAAAGTAATGTCCTCCCACCTACCCTCGAAAAAATGATAAATTGAGAATATGCTAGAGAAAGTACAAGTTTTTCCGAAAAATGTGCTTTGCATGCCCACCGCCCTATAAAAATCCTGGCGACGCCCATGAATCTGATGACGAGAATGTCACAATTTTACCGTGCACATTGTCTACTCACACTGAAGGTCACCGCCCGTCTTGGGTTTGGTCTTCGGTCGGCAGTGAGCCCTGAACGCCGCAAATGCCTTGCTTCGGAGCTCGGCGAGATCGTCACCGGCTGAAGCCCGTGTCGTGGTGCCGCACATCTCGCCTCGGCAAACGGTAAGGGAGTACAATAATCCCGGTAACAGGAGAGCTGCAGGCAGGCAAGCTGACCTCTGCATCTCAAGTTCCACCAGATGCAGACTGTAATCACCGTATGAACGATGGTGGTATAAAATGGTGTATGCTTCTAAGTGGAGATCTCCTAATTAATAATAGACCATTCAAAAAGTTGCATGATTACTTCATCTGACGCATTTGCAATTTACGTCAAAGTGTCAAGAAGTATGAAGCCCAACATTCGCTGCGAAATTTGCCCGAGTTGAAATATGTTCAACTGTTACGAATTCGCAGCGCGAATACTCGCCATAACGTCACAAATTCGCGTTCGCTTTTGCTTTCGCGCAGAGTATGAACCGGGCTTCAAGTTATTCGCGCCATTTACTAATTCGTTCCACGAATTATGATTATTTCGCACGAATTACTAACTCGTATAGAGATGTATTTAATGTTGGTTTGGTCAAGGTTTGGTAAAATAACGACACATATACAGCTACTTAGTCATATCCGTTAGATAGGATAATTTCCGTATTCGTCACTATTGCAAATTATGGATTTGTTATTGTGACTGATTCGCCACAGGCGGGGCTTCAAATCTTAAAATCCAGACAAAAATTAAGAATTTTGGCATAAATACTTGAAGGAGCAATCTTAAAACACCCCCAAATCGCCAAAGTGGTCGATTCGCCGTTATGTCAGCTCTGCGACGGTCTACGCCAACCACGGATCTATACACACAAAGATAAACGACTCGGCCCAACTCCTGGTTAGACGCGCGGCCTGTACTGGTGGCAAATACCATGAATACTTTTCAAAAAAGACCACTGCGCGCGGTGGCTTTCAGATTTGTAAGGCTCTGCGCCCGATTTGGCCTCGAAGTCTGTCAAGCCAGCGAATTATATTTTCGAATATTCACGATCTACGTTTTTGGTCTTTATTACTGAATTCTGATAAGTGATAACTACATAGTCATGGTAATGCCGAGCACAATATCTTTAGCTTTAAGATGAACAATGAAATGTCGCTTTTGTTTCATCGTTCGGCATCCTATCTCTCTAAAACTTTTTAATATATAAAAGCCTAATTCAAAACGAAATTTGGGTACGATGTTCTCCTCGAAATTTGACGTTTATTTCCTGGGTAAATAATTCATCTATGACGACAAAAACTGCACAATACCATCTGTTATATCCTGAAGTATTTATTTCAAAAAAAAAATAATTTGGAACAATTATATCTTAAATAAGAAGTAGTTTTACTTACAGTTTTATGAATATTTCCGTTTTAGATGTCGTGCAAAAACCCAACACAATGGCACATCTGGAAAATTTGCGATTACGCGCCAACGGGTAATAACAAGGGAATAAATGTGTGCTCGAGAGGTTTTTATCACTCTGTTTAAGACCACTTAGAGTCTGGGTGCTGATAATTACCCGAGCCGGAGGCGAGGGTAATTATCAGCACCCAGACTCTAATACCCCTGCGATTGCTCCTCAATTTACCCCAGCACGCTAAAAAACGTTTAAATAGGCCTATAATACAGAAGAGCTGGGTGACTATTCCTGTTAAAGATTTAGTTCCCTTTATTAAAAGTAGCGTTGACGACTTCCGCCTCAGTTCCATGGGTTGGGTCACAACTAGGAAAATTAGCCTCACTAATGATAGACTTGAAATCAAGTCGGTAATTATTGGCGGGGTTTTGTTCGCCTGTCGCATGCCGCGCCGTCCCACCTTGCATGCGGGGACGGTTCGTGCACCCTCGACCCCAACATGCGGGTACATCTATTCCAATAACCAACTTGAATACTTTGAATACTTGAATACGCACAGCGTATGGCAACTGCTACCAGATTTGGACGGAGCAGCCCGATTGGTTAAGAATCAGGAGAAGTATGCGTTTAGTATCACGTGCACGCACACGATACGCGAGTTGTGCGGTAAATGCAATACAGCCGGGGATATCCCCCCCCCCCCCCCAACGAGCGGTGGTAGTACGGCAGATCATGGATGATGGGATTGAGCCTTTTATGATTCAGGCATGGAACTGGGTGCACAGTCAGAGTATGTCTGTTGGCCATCGCAGATTTTTGTCCATTGAAAAAATATATATAGAATAACATGCAATGGCAGCCAATTTTGCCACTTTTGAAAATTGCTCGTTATTCTACCTATATGTTTTTTTTCAAAGGACAAATCTGCGATGGCCCTATAGCCAAATATTTTTCTTAAAGGCATAGTCTGACCGTGTGCAAAATTAATACCATGCTTGTATCATCAAAGGCACAATCCCCATATTAATATTTCCCTATCTGCCCCACTACATTATAATTTTTACGCTTATGGACTCGTATTTCCACAACCAAACTTCAAAATCACAAAATAAGTGTTAACAATTATACAATACACAATGCCTACTCAAGTGAAAGGCGTCCCGAACGTTGTCTTGATCCTGCGGTAGTTCCGGCTCAATCCCGCGACCGACAGTGCTTGTGTAGTAGGTCCGCCGCTGCCGCGGTCCGCTCCTGCCGCGTCTGGTCAGAGGTATTCTCGCAATCCCAAAAGCTCGAAATTGGGTGACTCCTATAGCTTGTCCGAAAAGGTTGTTTCAGCAACTTGGCTCTCAATAGCTCAAGCAATAAAAGCTAGTCTAGCAATTCTCTAGTCTAGCAATAACGTTACAGAAAAACTATCTCAAAATCATCGAGGCTGGCCTCCAACCTCTGCGCGGACTCTCAGCTGAAAAATGTGCCGCGCCTCATTCCAAACTGGTTTGCTTTTTAAACCCGTATGAAAATCGGACTCGTAATCGGATTCTTTTCCCCTTTTATTGGCTAAACCCTCTCACGTGACCGGTCCCTCTCCTAATTATCTATGCATGAGCATGCGCAATACCATCTATGAGACCGTATTTCATAAAAGCTAAATTCATGCTACACCTGCGTAAATATTTTAGCGATGCCACATACCATAATGGTCCACGAATTCGGTACGTATGCTTTCAAATGACAAAATAAACATTCAATATTCATAATGTGTATGCAAAGTATTAACGCGCTAACCAAAAGCACCTTGACTGGAGTCGACCGTATACCATTCGTTGACGGTTCATTAGCTTCCGGAAATGGTTTTGGGCGTGGCGGCCCAAAGGAAATAAATGTTGTTTCTCTCAACCACTACGTTTTACCGAAATCAGACATTTTCGGCCACTTAAAATAAATAATTGTTTGTCATTTTAATGGGTCTTTTTGGATCAACTATGTACCACCTTGTGACAGCACGCACTTGATTTTCAAAGGGGATTCATAATTACGGAACGCTGGATGTGACATCCAGGAGGTTGAGATCTCACATTATAGCATTGATCTCTCCTTACTCCGCAAAACAGCATTCGATATTATCGCGAGATGTTGGCGCCTTACTTTCAGGATGTTGCCATCTCGTGATCAATATTTTACCTGAGGATGTTGGAATCCTAACGTTGTGAAGCATTTCATAGAATTTCCCAAACTCGGCTGATAGCTCTGTGAGCCTACCTAATCTTGTGGTTGGATTGACCTCTATCTTACGTAATAATGCCTTATATACGGGCCTCGTTGCCATGCTAGGCGCAGTTGGTCCAACTCTAAGGGGAGCCGTCGACAGCGCCCATCCTAGTGTTACTTCGTCATCCTGATATTTTATTATTCGAAATGTGAGTTTAGTTTAGTCAATAAATTATTTGGAACCGCATTCTGTTTCCCGAGTTTCTTCATTTTATTTGTGTATCCTCCGATGATCCCGGAAAGGATGTTATGATGATGTGCACATCTCTCCGAAGGTAAATATCTAATACGTATGAGATGTCGTCATGATCATCCCGTGATAAACTATTATACCACACTGCAAAAACTGTGTTTAGCAAAAATTAACACTTTTCTAAACACGTTCTTGCTATGACGTTTAGAGTATTGATGGATGGGGGGGGGGGGGGGGAGGGTGCTAGTGTTTAGCCATTGAAGATTGATGTTTAGGATTTGGATGCGTAATGTTTAGCTTCAAAACATGTTTACAAAGTGGTATAGCAAGATTATGTTTATTTGTTATAAACGCAGTGTGTATGATATACGATTGTAAGATGTTGACGTCCTGTGATGCAAGATCTCGACATTTTGGATGGTACCTTAGTCTGGAGCTTAGTAAATAATGTTAATGAGGTCCCCGAGTACCTTGTACTCTTTTGAAAATAGAGCATCGTTGACAAGCGTCCTTGAAATTGTGGAAACGATGCCCCGACGGAGCCATTTTGCCAGAACGGAACCTAAACTATTTCCACTTAACGCCAGTTTTTATAGTCGTCGAGCAATGATGCATGACCCGTCCGACGATTCGGGAACGACCACTAACGGAACTTGACAATAGGTACGTAATTAACAACAAAAATTCACCACATATTACTTTCAAGGCAATTTCTTTGTTCAACTTTAAAATATTTAAAGCGTTGTCTGCAGTATTGTCTCTTTCCTCTCATAAAAAGGCTCCATGTTTTGTAACATTTTGATACATTTTTAACTGTTTTTTTTTTAAACTAACGATCTCCGTAACGACTAAATTTTTCAAAGAGTAGGCGAATAGTACCAGTAACTTCGAGCCCTCTCTTGGCCAATTATAAGGATTTGTTATAAAACCAAGAACCATATATTTATTTTCATTTTATGTATTTATTTGCTTTTTTTCTACACCGTGAAATATTTGCAAAAAAGTACAACATTAAGATTACAAATTCTAAATAAAGGGGTAAAGCCGACCCTACCGGTGTAAAAGTGACACCTATTAAAAATCTTCAAATCTGGAGGCCCTTTCACGTTCCGTTTCCCTGTTTTGAAATACATATTAAATATTTGTAACAAACAACTAGGCAGATATGAGAATGAATAAAATTGCTGCAAACTGCTTGCTGATTGACATGGATTGGATTGACATGAAATATACAAATCAAAATCAAACATATCAAAACCCTGACAGAATCGTATTCAAAGGCAAAATAAGTCGTACATTATCGAATATAATACTTTCCCCTCCATTTGTCATTAAAAAAGGGTTAGGAGTATTATTTTCCTTGATTGGTCTGCATGACACGTTCATTTACAACCGTATTGAGAAACTTTGACCCAGTTGACGCCATCTTTGTTTGTCAGGGATCTTTCTTCATTACGTTTCTGTCAAGGTCAAAGATACATCAAGTTGCCATGGAAACCTTTAACAAGGTTTCGGGTAATTATCAGCACCCAGACTCTATAAGCGGTCTTAAACAGAGTGATAAAAACCCTCCGGAGCACACATTTATTCCCTTAATAATAGCGCACACCTCTCCGATCTGTACGTCCGATGCCCCGAGGATCCGGTGAACTGGTCAAATCAGAGAGGTACGGTGCGATGGGGAGACGGGGTTAATAGCGGTGAACTGACCGCTGATACCGTTAATTGTCAAAGATACCGTTAATTGTGCTTCATGCACTGCAGAGAGAGTATTATCCCCACAATGTAGAAAAATAAATTGGAGATGTGAAGGGGCGTGTCTGATTTCTGACCAGGGGTGGGGCAGTTAAATTACAATACATCGTGAACTCGTCTTTTTTTCACCCCAAACTCTTTGAAAAGGGAGTTACTAAAATTAAGGAATTTTGGTTGTAGTAAACGTAAAGTAAAAGCTGTCTCGACCAAATATCGCCCATCAAGAATGCTTTTTTAATCTGCTGTTTCGTTGGCATGAAACGACTGAGAATATTACGATGTAAGTCCATCGCATGCTACAAACTCATTCATAACCTTTAGTAGGGAGAGCAATGGGATAAAGTGGCTTACTCGAGGACAAAATTAATATGGCCTGAGGCAGGAATCGAACCCCTGACCAACTGATCACCAGTCGCAAAACCTAACCATTAAGCAGCACTCCGTTTTCTGGATAAATTTACCTCCTAAAAAGAGGGACGTCATTGCATTTTGAACCAAGCGTTCACAATCGGGAAACAAGATACTTCTCAAAGCCGACAAAGACGTCTTTGAACAAGTCCAAGAATGCCTATGTACATGTAGGTGAGCAGTGAGCACTTCTTGTGGGAGGCAATTTACCAACGGTAATATTATGAAAACAATTTCTGAATTATTATTTTTATTTACTGATGCAATCGAGATATATGTCCTGGGAGCGTTTTGAGATTGAAGATCGGGCTGTAATCACTGAAAATGCTACCTCAATAATCGATTAACCGTATTCTGCTTTACTAATCTATTCATCCAATCAAAACGATATGTATTAGAATAGTTGCCAGTTTGATAACAATCAATATAGAGCTTACTCGCAGAAATGATGAAATAGCCAGTCTACGTTTACAGCACCCCAGGACGAGACACAGACGCGGACTTGAGTCGGTACTCGCTTGTGATATGCACCGGCGTTCCACTCCAGGAGAGCCGCCTCCTGTCCTCCTTTGCCGACCCTGACCACGCCCCCCTGGTAGTCGATCCAGAACGGGCGAAACTCGTCGGCGTGCAGTAGGCCTGTCTCGCGGTATATGACGAGTTTATCCGCGCATGTCGCACGAAAGCAAGACCTCATGACCGACTTGGTGTTTTTGGAGCCTCCAAGACCTGACAAAGAACGATAATTGGTACAACTGTGTTGTAAACCTCACCAGTCGTTTATTATAAGGCTTTTTAATAAAAAGTAGCTTTTTTTGGTAGACCTATATTGGACATAATTATATGACAAATATATCTGAGGATAAGTATTTATTTATGTATTTTTATTTATAAGATAATATCACAGGTAAATACAAGACAATTAAAATATATAAATATATGACAGTTTTAAAATACAATTACAATTAAAATTGTAAATGCAATTCAATAAATATCTTGTGTTCTCCCAAATATAAATAGAAGGACCTGCACTGTCTCTGTCAGATTCAATTTAATTAGTATAAGTGTATTTACTTGATAGAATTCAGCCTATTGTATGTACATATTAATTGATTAGCTTAAAGGGAATATACATCATTTGCTTTTGCTGTAATTTTCAGAAATGGATGGAATTGGGGGGTTGGAAATATATAGCAAATATAGTTACACTGACTTTTTTGAGGTTTTGGGTTCGAAAATGCTATAAAAACCAAGAAAAACAATCATTTTCCTGTAGTCTGGTTCCCTGACTCCATATAAGAAGAAACAGAGCAGTTTACATACATTGGGGAATTGTAAGGTCAGGGAACCAGTCTAGCTGGCTTGTACCCGTTCATAGGTGTGTATAATCGATTGCAAACAAGTGCGATGGTCAATTGGGGCCAGTATTTGAAAAAAAGGCCAGTTTTTTTCCAACGCTGGTCGGCCGATCAGCGTTGGAAATTGATACAAAAATACCACTTTTCTTGAAAATGACAGTATACCAGGTGCCATGATTTTACAGGATGCTTTACACTGTCATTCACTAACAGTCCAGCAAGGTATTATAAAATGATTTGGTAGTTTTATTTTTTGATGTTTGCAAATGTTGTATTTTCCCTTTAATTTGTAAATACGGGTTCCAGGTCTTGTACAAGCATATGCTTTTTTTACCTGCATCCCTCGTATCATTTTTGTCATTCTTTATATAGTTTCCTGTTTATTATGTTGTTTGTGCTATGATATGAAAAAGTAAACCATAACCATAACCGTAACCATAACCAAGATTAGCATATTGAATATTGTTCTTTAGCTGTAATGACTCTGAGATCAACAAGTACAAGTACCAAAGTTGGTATGCATTTATGAATATTAATTTTATTCGAAACTGTCCTATGTGGCTGGTATATTATTGAACTTTGTCTCTCAATATGGATCTGCACCTGACAACATACCCGGTTTATGATTTTTTTTATAACTCCGCTTCCCAAATCAACTGCGATAGCATTATAACCCCAATTTTGTCCTTCTAATTCGGCCGAGGTGAATCCCAGGCATTGAAAGGTATATAACATCAGTTGCATTTATATACCGAAATATTATCAAAAAGCTTACTTGGATTTAAGATCGTATATTAAGCCCTGTCAATTAATTCCTTTGGAAACGTTTTAGTAGTTTTGTGTCATTTAACATCTAGGCTTTCGTTTGGTAACATTGGTAAAGCAAACAAAGTGCCGAGTAACAGGGAAATGCGCGATATAAAAGAGACCAACTTCAAATACGATTTTCTCCAAACATGCTTTTCACTTAACGGGACAGACTTTCTTCGCGAAAACGGTGATGATATACTGGTACTAAACAACCCGTGAAATTAGTTTGTTTGGCTTTGCTGTCATTTAGAAGAAATCAAGAAATGGAGTTTTTTCACTGTTTTTTTTTTTTTTGAAAAGTGTAAAACCCACCGAGTTGAAACTTCAACAGGTTAGGTTTTGAACATTCGTCTTTGCATGTTGAGGGTGTTATTATTGGAAACGAACAAAATGCATGAAAAACAAACGACCCTGTATGCCTTTACTAAGCATAGAAAGAAACATATAGCTTGGGGTATAGTAAACATGATAATAAAAATTGAATATTGTTGTATAATCCAGCTTACTTATATCCGCAAAGATTGAGTCCGTGGTTTCGTCTTCTGCCAGGGCTATCCCAGCTGCCTGTTCCGCCTTGATGCTAAAGTCCAACCGGAATGGCATGGTGAGCGGCTTCAGTACGAACCTTACGCTGGGTGGGCTCGTTTCTACGGTAGTGAACGTGCAAGCTGCAAATGGGAAACATAATAATGTGGTTTATTTTTTTCGGTCACTTTACTGATAGATCGGAAGTTTGTGATGAAAGTACGTTGCTTTGCACTGTGGACAGGTTAAACCACAATTGGGGGTTTAATCATATTAAAACAATATATCGCTCGCTCCATTTCACAAAAATAACTGGGATAAAGTACATGTTATTGACTAGTAACTGTGGAAGTTTCACGTAATTTGCGCACTCTATTACCAAGTTATGTATATATCTTAATAAATAAGATCACAAAACCACTGATCATTTACCGTTCTACGAACTGATGAATACCTATTAAATACACTGAAACATGGACGTTTACCCACCTCCGTGAATGAACGAAAACTTAAAAGGAAAACAGACAAAATCGCCATCAATATTTCAGGGGAAAAAAAGAGTTGACTTGTTTGTCGTATTCAAAACACAAGATCTGACATTGACAATAACGTTTCGGTCTTGACTCAAATGATTAAAATCCCACGGTATTTGAATGATTATGTGTAAGCTGTAATTCTCACTCGGCTCAATAGCTTCCAATGGCATTCCATGCTTGGACGGCTATAAAAGTAGGTAATTTTAGTAAAACATGCATTGCATCTTATAGCATGGATCAATTTCAGTAATTCTTTTTTTCTCAGATGAGTGGAAGAACATGCTCTTTTAATACATACTTCATTGGAGTATCAAATTTGATTTCGTTTTAAGAAACAAAAATCAAAATCCTGGGGTCACTTAGTCTTTTGGACTCACCCTGTACAAACTTGCAGCATTTAATGATAACTTTAATTGGCGTCAGGAAGAAGGTTTACCCAATTTAAAATGATTTGGATATTTTTTTTCTGTCACATTGCTTCATAGCAGACACGGAATACTCACATTTGGGGCCATCTAATTCGTGGCGACTCTCTATCACTCGACACTTGGCTCGGAAACTCGCAATAGTCTTGGCTCGAAGTGTGGCAGTGTCATCACCCGGATCAGCCATAGTGATAGTACCACAGGACAGGCCTGGCGCCGGCTGCATCACGAACACCAAGACTAGAGGTGCGACGAGGGCCAACACGTAACGCCAAATCCTCATTGCTGGACAATGGTTGCATCAAGCGTAAACTAAACTCGCTCGCTAAAAACTTGCTGGGAACAGTACACGACCAGAATTAATTGGTCGAAGCCTCATGGCCGCCTGGGCAATGAATAACGACCGGATAATTGATAAAACAGCCTCCAGGTAACCATGGGAACGCATCAATCCTTCAGCCATTCCATTAATGAAAATCAATTGTTGCATCGCCCCCACTAAAGCGGCTTTCGCTTTGAAATTAAAACAAAATGACAGTTTACTTTTTTGGAAATTCGTGAAATAAAACACATCTATAAATTACCAAACCTTTTATTTCCTCTATATGGCGAGTTTGATTAACATGTCTTAATACGGGCGATTCCAAATAGTGCGCCTCCAAGAGTTTGTAGCGCGTTGGCCAATCACAATGCGCGAAATCAGTCGACCTTTTCCAAACGGGCGTTGGGTCGACAGATTTTGCGCATTGTGATTGGCCAACGCGTTGCAAACTCTTGGAGGCGCACTATTGGGAATCGCCCGTATTGGAAATATCATTAAAACCTTTGGGTGTCCCTTATTAACAACAACAAAAATTCGCCTGTATCAAGGACGCGAGTCACAGTTAATCTTTTCCACTAAGTTGCACAAGGAAACGCATAACATTATGGGTAGTCTGGTTCCCGGTCCCCATTGTCCTCAGAACTTCAAATATTGCAACATTATGCATGACGTGCATATGTCTGAGTCCCGCCTCCTGGTATGAATTCAAAATCACAACAATAATGTTTACGCGCAACCAGCCTATTGCAAAATGGCATGGCCACAAAAAAGTGCAATTTCGGAGGTGATGAGTTTCGATTTTTGCTGGATTTGAAAGTGTCTCTGGAAAATATCAATAAAGAGAGGGGTATTACTGTTCAGTATTTAAAATCTTTGCAGTTGAATTGCTGGAAAGCTGTATTCATGGTTTGCGTACTTTTTGTGGTAATTATACAAGTAAGAGTCAGTTTTTTTGACAACCATGTGTTCAAATTTCGTCCATGCGCAAAAGCTGAACAGGATAAAACAATAAATAATTATGCTGCGCGCAGAGGTCATCCAATCAACGGGAGCTAGCTACCGGCGGTCCCCAATTTTTTAGGGTGGGGGGGGGGGGGCGGAAAACAGTCTACAATTTGGGTACCTAACTGCCACAGTGATGCACACGCACTCCATGCTCACGGCTGCGCTCGTGGTGCCTCGATGCCCACGGAAAGCAAAGTACCGGTACACACAAATTAACTATCACACAATATGCAAACTGAATTAAACAAAAGGCACATGAACACAGTTGCCCAAAAGAGGAAATAATTATGAAGTGCACATTTAGCTATTAAGAGAACAAAGGTCACAATCAGACTGCATCAATTTTTGTTTTATCACACCAGAGATTTTGGCAAATAAACCTGGCTGGTACCATCTGTCGATGGGGGCGCTGTACAAAACCGACAATTATGCACAGTACTAATGGACAATGGCGATACATGCGTGAAATTTAAAAAAAAAAGGCACCCGAAACGGCCAATGGCACAAGGGCACGACTTCTTTAAAAAAGGGCACTTGTTCAGAAATAAAGGCACTTGTTAAAAAAGGGCACTCTTGACAAAATATTGGAGGGGGGTGTAACGCTGGTGAAAAAAGGGAATTTGAAGGGAAAAGGGCAGTCTTTACAAAATATTGGAGGGAGGGGGGTTTAAATATCACCCTTACCCCCCCCCCCCCCCCCCCGCTGGCTACACCTATGTATTAACTGGCCGCCCCTGCACCCAGAGGGCGCACTCACTGACCATCCAGCGCAGTCTAGTATTAAATCACCATCTCGATAAACAAAAATCCATCCGTCTAAGTTATTTATATTACTGGATACACCGATGCCATTTCGAAGCGAATGTTGGCCATGACCCGTTTGCCCTCTCCAACGGTCTCTGGCCTTTTCATTTAATCAAGCCGACCTTCACGCCCTTTTTGTATTAACCTCGAATTTTATCTACCAAATTTTATTCAAAAACTTTAATCTCCCGAGTGACCCAGAGATAATCTTTCAGCTTTATTTGCTCGAAATGACTATGTATGCTCTGAGAAATAACAAACGGGGATCACTCGGAGAGGATACGGCTTTTTATTACAAGCTAAATTTTGCAACATAATTGCTAATGATGAAAGCATTAAGACTTCAATATACCAGTTTAAAGATGCTGACACAGACACAGACATTGGCAAAATGGGGAACCGCCAACATTAGGCTGGATAGCTCAGTTGGTAGAGCAACGGAACGGCAATCTGCGGGTGGTCGCAGGTTCAAACCCTGCTCCATTTCCTTTAACTTTTAGAAACTTAATTTTTAGAAAAAAAGATTGAAAACTGGAAGACCAAACTGCAAAGAGAAAAAAAAGCAAACAAAATAACAGAAGTCTATTATCTTAGATGTCCACTGATAATGAAATTTGTCATAATGGTACAGAATAAACTTGCTCGATTCGGCAATCATAATTGCACAGTCGTTTGAAATGGGTGGCAAAAAGGTCACGCGACTAATAACGAAAACAGCGTATCCTGATCCTGCATGCCCAGTCCGGATTTTGATTGCGCAATACAAACAGCGCCCTCTGTTGTTTTGCTGACGTCATTATTAATTCTCACACACGCGGTGCACGATCATCAGTGCGGGGTTCCTTTCCTTTCAGAACAACAAAATTAATTTCCAAAATATCACCAAAAATTAGTCGGGGAAACGACAAAAGACCAAGCCAGGATGGATCCTGACCGAAACGAAGGTGCAGCCCTCGACAGCTGGGAAGAGCAGGCGGATCCCGGGCCGGGAAATCACGGTGATACGGTGGACATTGGCAGCGAGTTTTCGGCGCTGAACGTGAATGCGAAACCCTTCGTCCCAAATGTCAACGCACCGGCGTTTGTTCCCAATTTCGGGAATTTCACCCCAAAAACTGAACCGTGTAACAACGAAGACACGGGTGAGTGGTGTTTGGGGGATGGGGATTGGTCCCTATCGTCCCTTTATGCGGCTGAGATGGCCCGTTTTGGCCGTAATCTACCCGAGACGTGGAGATACGCACGACAGATTGTCATTGATTGTGTCGGATCGTGTGCGCTTTGGTGTTGGTTGATGACGAAAGAGTGATTCATGCAAATGGCAACCGCACCAGTCACCGTCCATGCCATGCCATTCATTATTGTAGGCCTAGCACTGGAAAAGTAGCTGTAGTGATGAATCATGACTGTGTATATCAACATTAATAGAATTTGAAACTAGCCTAAGTAAAACTAGTTTTTTAATCTTATTTGACACATGATTGAGAATGGATTTAGGCCTAGCTTTAGGCCGAGTAAAAAAATTAGGTAGTTTTTGTCCAGCTGTTTTGTGAAGGAAAAAAAAAGAGGCTGACAATTTTTTAGTTGTTTTTTCCCCCCAAGATAGCGGATGGATTGTTCAATTTTCTTGACTATTTCTCCGTTCAACATTGTGTCCAAAGGAGGGATAAGCCTTTTATTTTCTACATCTTTTGGTACCATTTGTTGGAAATAAATAGAAAGACAAAACATTGACAAATGTGCAAAAAGTATGTTGGAAATGTATACTATATTTAAACAAAGTATGTATTTATTTATCAGTGCATGATATTATATGCCAAATACTTCCTTAGTGTAACATATGTATTTACATATTTACAATGTGCCAAAGGAATCATTCCCTCGTTTGAGCAATACAGACATTACACAATGTTAGTTCTATTTTTCATGCATATCTGATAGAAAAACTTATAAAATTGAACCTGCCACAAATATCGTGCATCCTATGCATAATTCATGTGAAATTATGGTATTCAGGCCATGCTCCAAGCACACTTGAAAATCTTTGTACATGTTTACTGAGAAAAGTACTGTTAGGCAAAAAAAAAAATTCGGTCTCTGGTCAGACCAAAGTTCCGGAATTGACGCGGGGAAGCGTTTTTTTTTTTTTTTTTTTGCTTTTTTTTTTCTTTTCTTCAAGCTTGGATTGTACAGACAAGGGTTTTTTTTGCTTTTTTTTTTCTTTTCTTCAAGCTTGGATTGTACAGACAAGGTGGGGTACTATTTTGCTTTTTTGGTGTCCTCATGTACATTGGTGTCCTCCCATAATTTGCCTTGGTGCTCTCGATCATTTGCCTTGGTGCAATTTCCCATTCCTTGGTGCTCTTTGGTAAAAAAAAAATTGAGGAGGTGCGGCAATAGAGGGCGCTGTTGGAGCTGCCGCGGAACATTTTGGGAAAAAAAAGATTGACGCGCATGATTAAAATCGACGCGCGCGCTGACCAGAGACCGACTTATTTTTTTTTTTTGGCCTTACTATTAAAAGGGTAAATTAAAAGGTGTCGGGGACTTAAAGAATTTTTTTTTTATTCTCCTTTGTCACTAGAAGATAAGCCATCAGGTCAGGCCTCACCAGCCCAAGATTCAGGAATAGCAGGTATGTTTATCCTCTGTGGGTGTAATTAGATGAATCTGGACACATGATTGCTGTACACACAAGAGGCGGCCTTCAATGGTGATAGCATTGTTCAAGCTATTGGACAAAGCAATTGAACAATAGCTAGCACAGTGCTTTCTACATTGAAGGGGGCCTTCATGATAAAATTGACAGCCTGCCCATATTGTTCTATAGGATTTGTGAGCAGTATTGTAATTTTTCTCCTGATTTGGACTTTTATTAGTATGTAAGTTAATCACCAAAAAGTTCATGATTTTTTTTTGCATTTCTGGATATTTGATTTACTGCTACCCGCCATTTTGTAGACTTGCAGTGGTGTAGTCACATCTATTACAAGTCCTTTGACAAGTCCAGTCCCAAGTAATTGGAGGAACAACGTCAAAGGAATACTTTTGTAACAGTTCATTTGAATAGCTAATGACTTGACTGGACTGAAGGACATCATGATGGACTTGTGATAGACTCGACTACAACACTGGAGACTTGTACATACGGTCTGTTGTAGCACATGGGCATGTGATTCATTTTTTCTATAGTTAGTGTACTTAACAAATACAAACATTGTAGCAGATTACAGAAATGCAGTACATTTGTATGTTCAGTATAATTTCCATAAACACTGTGCAACTTGAGATTTCCACTTTATTTCCCCCTTAACTGGATATTTTGGGACAAAAAGTAAGTTGGGATTATCTGCAATTAGGCTTGGATTATATTTCAAGAATATCAGAATGGTGACAATATTTTTTTGATACTAGTTAGTCATCAAGCAAGACCTTTGAAGTTCTGCCCATGCCGCTGGTTTGCGGTTCACCTAACATGTGTCTTATTGTATTTTTGATGACACTTGAATGATCTGCCCAGAAAAGTACCCAATAATTTTGAGACGGTATACCATGGACTCTCAAAACCCAATACCGCACAAGCCTATCTGCAATAGAGAATGGGCATTTCTGGAGCAGAAAATTTCTGATTATTTCTCAAGTGATGGATTCTTTTCCCTGGCCTTCAGAAACAGAAGATGAGACCACACCTCAGCATCCTGTACCCGATGCTAGTGAGACACCCCCTCCTGACCAGGATGGGGAGGCGGAGCCTGAGGAAGATGAGGAGGAGGAAGAATTAAGTAAGGCATCTGTTGGTTCTCAGGAACAATCTTAGAATCTCAAGATCTCAGTTCTTGCTTCAGAGGTTTTTGTTTTCAGGTTCTCAGTTCTTCTTGGTAATTCTAAGGACCTCAGTTTGTGGTTCTCAAGAACCGGTGTTTTGCCTTCAGATTCTCAGATTTCAGAAACCAGGGTTTGATACTCAGTTCTCAGAAACCAATGTATGGCTCTGAGGTTCTCAGTTCTTGTTTCACAATAACATTGTTTGGTTCTTGGGTCCCAAGTTGTGGTTCTAAAGAACCAGAATTTTACGCTCAGTTCACAGGAACCAGGGTTTGGTACTCAGTTCTCAGGAACCATTGTTTGGTTCTCAGGTCGTCAGTTCTTGGTTCTCAGTAACCATCATTTGGTTCTCAGTTCCTCAGTTCGAGGTTATCAAGAACCAATGTTTTGCCCTCAAATTCTCAATCTCAAGAGCCAAGGTTTGATACTCCGTTCTCAGAAACTAGCCTCTTAACTTCTCAGTTCTTGGTTCTTAATAACATTATTTGGTTCTCAGTGCCTCAGTTTGTGTTTCTCAATCTGAGCCAATGTTTTTGGCTTTAAATTCTCAGATCTGAGTAGCCAGGGTTTGGTACTCGGCTATCAGAAACCAGTATTTGAATCTAAGGTTCTTAGTTCTTGGTTCTCAACCATTATTTGGTACTAGGACCTCAGTTCGTGGCTCTTCCCAAGAACAAGAGTTTCGCGCTGTACTCAATTCTCAGGAACCATTGTTGGGCTTTCTGGTTCTAAGTTTTTGGTTCTCAATGACCGTTATTTGTGTTGTCAGGTCCTCAGTTGGTAGTTCTCAGGAACCATTGCTTGTGTTAGGTTTCTCAATTCCTCAGTTTGTGGTTCCCAGGAACCATTGTTCGTGTTGGGTTTCTCAAAAAGTTTGTGGTTTTCAGGAACCACCTCTTCGTGTTAGGTTTCTCTGGTCCTCAGTTTGTAGTTCTCAGGAACCATTGCTTGTGTTAGGTTTCTCATGTCCTCAGTTGTGGTTCTCAGAAACCATTGCTTGTGTTAGGTTTCTCAGATCCTCAGTTTGTGTTTACAGGAACCATTGCTTGTGTTAGGTTTTGCAGGTTCTTAGTTCTCAAAAGCCACAGTTAGGTTCTTTGGTTCTTGGCTCTTGGGTCTCTTTGACCATTGGTCGGTTCTTGGGTCCTCGGTTTATGGAGCCATTGCAAGTGTTTGATTCAAAAGTTCCTAGTCCTCAGGAGTTTGTGTTTGGTTTTAAGGTTGTTTGTCACTAATTCTTGGGTAACTAGTGTCTGATGTGTTACCAGAAGCCAATTTTAATGGAGCTAAGATGTGCATTCACACTCACTTGTCACGACTCATGAATAAGTTACATTTTGGTCCCCGATCACAAACATTTTTATTAATTTTTTTATTTCCAGACAGTAGTCCTTCCAGCGAGGAAGAGTTAGGAGCGAGGGCAGTTACCGAGACGGTAGCACAATCCTCGGGCAAATCCTCACCATCAGTAGCCGTCAAGAAACCCAAGAAATATGAGGAGGAGGAGGAAGACAAGGAGCGAAAAACTGAGATGGAACACGTCAATGTCATCTTCATTGGGCATGTCGGTAAGAGCAGTGGCTTGGTTATCATTTTTCTTGTTTAAAGGTAGAGTCCATCATTTGCAGCCATCCGAAAAGTAACTGGCGTAATTATTGTTGAAAAACTAACTTGGTTGAAAGATAGTAAGGGGACTAAACTCCCTGTGAAATTATTCTTTCTGGGAAGCTGTCATTTTGAAGTAATCAACGAAAGAAGGCATTTCCAACGGTGGTTCTTAAGAAGCACCGTAGGAAAATTTAAATTAGTAGTTCGTTTTGTTATTCAGCGAAGCGCGCACAAGTATTCGAACGACACACGCGCGCGGTTGTTATAATTCGTCGGATCAGTGCGCGACGTCGCGTATAGTTGCAATTCAAAACAATTCAAAACATTATTCAGCAACTCTTGATTTGAACTTGAGATCCTAGAATGCTGTTTTTCTCGGAATGAACAGCTGAAGCTTAGCTGAAACTTCATCAGGTTAGTTGCTCAGTATCCTTCATTAGATTTTGAACTCTTTTGTTGCTTCAAACGAAGAAAATGCACAAATTACAAATGATGGACTATACCTTTAAAAGGCATATTGCTTTTCATGTCCGTTACCAATTATAACACCACTCAAAATCCGAAGAAGATTGTCAAAACCAAACCTGTTGAAGTTTCAGCTCAGTGGATATTACACTTTTCGAGAAAAAAACTGAAAACCATACAAAAGGCCCCCAAACATAGTTCTGCTTCCGGTTTCCCTACCTACCCTGTTCTGAGAGCCCCTACCCTAAATGTGCTCTCCCCCCCCCCCTAGAAAAATCCTTGCAATGCCTATACCTTTGGATCATAAAAGACAATTTCTTTAAAAGCACTCTTTATTTCAAATATCAATCAATCAATCAATCAATTGAGAAATGGCTTTAAGGGAAATAAATAAGTAATCAATTGACTGATAGTTGGAATGTACCTACATTTCGTGATTTCTTGGCTAGAAACCAGAACAACTTTTTCAAAAATGAAAAACCACGCACGACATTTTGATCATGAAACACAATTTCGTTAAAGGCACTGCTTTATTTCCCAAATCACTCTGTTGACTGCTCGTTGGAAATCACCTACTTTCCCTGATTTCTTCCGTCTTGACCATGTTGTAGCTGCATCCTTCGCAATTAAGCTTCTCAGCCGCGAGTATGGATGTTTAGCCCACCAACATTTATTTTTGAAAATTTGAGCTGGATCACACTCATTATTATACACATGTTGGGCAGTTTATTTGATTAATCTAGCGTTGCCAATTATCAGGATAAATTATTCAATTTGATAAATTGGAAGCAACTTGACAAAAATGGTTTCCTTTTGAAAGTTGCAAGAGCACTTGACAAAAAGATAAAAGCCAAAAAAACCTCAACTTCCGTGTACTTAAGTCTCTCACAAGGAAGTCAGACCACAAAAAAAATGGTTGTGTTATTTTAAAATTGATGTTTAACTGAAAATGTTTTGTGAAGTGTTACGATTTTCTGGCTTGTCTGCAAAGTCCTTAGAAAAGTCTGTACTCAAGTTAGCAATAACAAAGCAGGTCACATGTGACTGTTGTTTGAGATCTAACAAGCAACGAATGGACTGATGAAAGAGATATGCTCACAATTTATGAAAGGTAACAAACTTTGGAATTCCTTTTTCTGTTTTAATCACCATAAATTTACAATTAAATTTATTTTTACATCTGCTTTTCAGATGCTGGCAAGTCTACCATTGGCGGTCACATTATGTAAGTATTCTTGCTTCAGCAGGCAAAACTGTTTGCGGACTCAAACATTGGGATGATGTTAATCAAGGACCCATTGAAGCAGTTCTGAGAAACTTGGCCCTGGCCAAGTATCGTCGTGTCCGAATTATTTGTGACCCGTTTCAGGAAAAGGTGATATAAGTCGCGTTGTGCCTTTACGTGTAATGGCCTGCTGAACATTGAGAGGTTGACATTTTTCATCAAAATTTGATTTTCGTTTTTTGTCTTGAATGACATCTTTGATACCTAAAGTTTAAGGATTCATTTACAGAAAAGTTGATTTCGATGAAAAAAGGAGAAAAAATAACCTTATTTTGGTGCATTGTTCTCTTTATTTACATCCAAAAACTATTATTTTAATCAATATGCAAATAAGCCAAAATATAGTAATCTGGTTTCAAAAAGTCTATTTCCCCCCCCCCCCCAAATCATTGAAAATAATCATTGTAGAATCAATATCCAAAGTTTAAAAGTGATAGTAAAACAGAAACATGTTGGTTGCTAAGAGGTTAAAAGTGAGCTTTTCATGCCCAAATCTACAACAGAGCCAGCTATTTCAAAGCCTGTTTTCTCAGTTGTGTAATTTGAACTCCATGGAGCTAATTAATATGCAAATTTGTCATATCTCCACAACGAGAAGGGATATACAGCTGTGTCATACACCAAATGAAAGCTTACATTGTGGGCTTTCCAGTCGTGCATTTAACTGGAATTTTATTTTTTACGACTTATATCACCTTTTCCTGAAGTGGGTCACATTTGGCTACGACTTGTAATTGCACACAAGTCTATGCAAAATGGCTGCAGTAGCTTTCCATGGGCTCGTGTGTAATTGGGATACAGCCATAGATTTTGAAAAAAAAAAAAAAAAATGTATCATCCCAGTGCCTGACTAACTCTGTTGGGTAATGCTTAAAGTATCTAGGCTTTTTCCTGTGAATATAATGTCTTGGACCACAATTTACTGCAGTTACAGTGAATTGTGGTGTTAAAAGTCTGAGTCTCTTTCTTCAGTGATATGACACTACTGCCTGTGCAGCCACCACAATCCTTCTACAGGTCCTTAATGCACGTTGAAGTATAACGGTCCTTCGCAGTTTCCCTAATTCATGTGTGGGTCATGTGGTGCGCCTGTTTATTTTTTTACCTTCAATAAGCATTTTGCTTTGTTTTATCATGAAGGGGAGTGTGACCTAGTGGTTAGGGTTCTTGACTCATGATCAGAGGGTCATGGGTTCGAACCACTTGCCGCTCTCCACCCAGGAGTGAAAATGGTACTACCGGCATTGGCTGGGGAGTAACCTGCGATGGACTAGCATCCCATCCAGGGGGAATAGAAATATGTTCAGTCATTTCATGCCACTGAAACCGGAGTTAAACACCAGCCTGATGGGCCATACTGGCTCATGACAGACTTTACTTTGTTTTATCTTGTAGGGTAGGGTTGACCCTTTTCTCTCGTTTTTTTTTATCCCATTGTTTAGGTACTTGACAGGCCAAGTGGACAAGAGGACTCTGGAGAAGTACGAACGAGAAGCCAAAGAGAAAAACAGAGAGAGCTGGTCAGTTTAATTTCACAAACTCTCTCTTTTTGTAAAACGAGGATGGGGTGTAGGCATGTGGTACTTCTACTGCGCTGTGAGTCCAGGACCAGGGTTCGAATCCTGCCCGCGACAAACAAGCAGATTGGCTGTTTAGTCTCAATTCCTTCAGAATTGTGCCTGTCATTTAATAGGTCATGTAAATCTGGAGGCCAAAGTCTGACATTTTTGCTGTTTCATTACCTTGTTACTTTGTAATTGGTCATTCAAGTATCATTAAGAATGACTTCAAAGGATGTTTTATTTGTTGGGTAGGTAGTTTGCTATTCATAATCACTCTTGGAGGATGACTGCATTAAGGAGTTCATCAGAAATATAAAATCAGCAATGTCAGATGTAACAAGGACAGGAAAAAAAGTGGACCCTAAATTTATAGCACGACCCGTTTATGAAATGACCTGTTTGTATTTCCATAATATGTCAAAAGTATTAACAAGATAGTCAGTATAGCAAATTTGTGTAGAAATGTATCAGATGTCCAGATATTGAGCATAACTGATCAGGCAATATCCAGAAACTGATCAGTCCCAATTCATAAATTGATAGTAAATGTCAGGAAATTGATAGTCAATATCAAGATATTTTTCACTTTCCAGAAAATGACAACCAAATCCAGTATTAAAAAAATAGACTGGTGAAATCCACAGACTGACCAACTTCAACCCTTTTCCAAAACAAGTTGTCCAGCAATTGCCACGACAATGTCCAGTCACTGTTAGGCCAAGTAATCAGTCTCTCCTTTATCCTGTCCGTCTTCTTTTATACTTTTTTATTTCATACATTTACAACATATTTTGCAAATATACTGTCAATATATTGTCCTTTTTTTTGTTTCCAACAAAATTGTAGCTGTTTAGAAAGGGTGACGGCTCCTTTTGACAAAATTTTGTATCAGTGAAAGAGTCGAGAAACAGGAAGAATCCATGCGCCGTCTTGGAAAATCCACCATGTTGGAAAAACAAAAGAGGGCGTCCTTCTTTTATGTTTCCAAATGCCAGGACGAGAATTGTTTTTTAAGTCGGCCTTACTGTTTTTTTTCCTTGAAAGGTACCTGTCGTGGGCTCTTGACACAAACCTAGAGGAGCGAGAGAAAGGCAAGACGGTGGAGGTGGGCCGGGCCAACTTTGAGACCGAGAAGAAACATTTCACAATCCTGGATGCGCCGGGACATCGAAGCTTCGTTCCCAACATGATCTGCGGGGCGGCCCAGGCTGACCTGGCAGTGCTGGTAAGAATGAATCTCATACCTTGGAAACTTTCTGAATATAAATTTTGGATTGTTTCTGGTGATAACAAGCAGTTTCTCTGACATGTTCCCAAGTGGCCTATCCAAGTAGGAACTAATAACTTTATACACTTGTCCATAAGGTTTTAAAAATCATATTGGATCATTTGCATTTCATACATTTTGTTAATTTCTAGTATAAATAACATCACTCACAATCGAAAGAAGAATGTTCAAAACCTAACGTGTTGAAGTTGCAGTTTAATGGATAATACACTTTTCAAGAAAACAGTAAAAAATCGTGCATAAAATTGGGGTCACGAAACTTAATTCGTTATTAGCATGCTTTTTAATAAAAATATCAGTCGACTGAACTTTGGGATTCACTTACTTTTCTTGATTTCTTGGCCAGAAGCCGGAAAAATTTCACGGGGTGTTTAGTACCAGTACGATCTTTAATCCAAGTAAGCTTTTTGATGATAGTTCAGTAGGTTACTTTGGGATAAAAGCAAATGATCTTTTATGCCTTTCGACTGTTTCAAATGGTTTGCATTGGTTGTTGTGTTTGGCTGAAATCCTGGCTCCAATTATCGGACTAATTTGAGGAACAAAAAAAAAAAAAAAACAGTTTAGACAGCTTAGGTTGCAGGTGCACGAACCAGAGTGTTAATCCTTTCATTGTTTCGTCAAAGTATTGTAATCTGGTATTTAGCTTATTTTTGCAGGCTGAATAAATAATCAGTGAGACAAAAGCGGGTGAATTGAATAAAAACAAAACTGAAATGAGAAAATGTTGTCTGCAGGTCATCTCGGCACGAAAGGGGGAATTTGAGACGGGTTTTGAGAGGGGCGGCCAGACGCGAGAGCACGCCATGTTAGCCAAGACGGCGGGCGTCAAGCACCTGGTGGTCCTCATCAATAAGATGGACGATCCTACCGTAGAGTGGTCAGAAGAAAGGTAAAAAAGGAGAATTACTGGCTGGAAAGGAAAACATTTCCTGAGTGCTTACTCTTCGTGCAATTTATGTTGTAGTTCCCTTCCAGGAGTGGCTTTTAGCCTTGTTGAATATGCATTAAAAAAAAGAAAAAAAGAACGCATTCCATATTAAGATTTGTGGGATGTTCAATCTTCCGCGAAGGAAACTTCCGGAAAAAGGAAAATCTAGAGCTTCAGTTTGAGGCAACCTCTGTATACATAGCAATTAGTAAAGTCTGTCACATGCCAATGTGGCCCATTAGGCCGGCGTTTATCTCCGGTTTCAGGAGCAAGAAAGGACAGGGAATATTTCTACTCCACCTGGACGGGATGCCAGTCCATCGCAGGTTACTCCCCAGCTAATGCCGGTACCCTTTGATACTCCTGGGTGGAGAGAGGCAAGTGGGGATGAAGTGGCTTGCCCAAGGACACAACGCATGGCCAGCAGCTGGATTCGAACCCCTGACCCTCTGATCACAAGTCACGAACCCAAACCACTAGGCCACACTCCCCAAGCCTCTGTATGCATAGATGCTGATCACTGTTGATAGAAGGCCTGTCACACTGTCTGCGATCATATATGCGCTCCCACTGCGTCCTTGAAAAATGGCTGGGGCGCAACAACAACTACTAGATCGCAGCGAGAACTACATAGGTCGCCAGATGGTCGCCATATGGTCTTTATGGACTCCGATGAGCGCCAAAGTTGTGAACATGCTCAAAACAATCGCAACACCTCTGTGCTCTGGCCAGGGCGCCGTAATGACGCAACTGGGGCGCCGTGCGAGCGTGAATCGTGTGACATTAAAGTGGCATTGAGGCAGCCTAGGTGCAAGGCAGACGATGTAGTCTCCATGAGAAAGTAACTCGACTGCGATGAACTTGTTGAATAAATTTGAAACTGGACTGCGGAATGACCGTTTTGTCGTGGTATTCATACAGCGCAAGTGATGTCACGTGAGCGTATTTTTGGTCGGATAGAGAGCGTGATGCGAGCTACTAGGGGGATCAACAGTGAGCAGAGCGCAGTGACAGCGCAGCAACAACTACTAGATCAATTAATTGGGCTTGACAGGGGCGCATAGAGAGCGAGTTGAGCGCATCGTAAGCGCGGGATGAGCGCAGTGTGAGCGTAGCTTGAGCTACTTTCTGGCCACTTAATACAGAAATTGTCATTTTCTTGCGTCCTTGCTGCGATTGTTAAATTTATTAAATATTTTTGGTCACCGTTGAGGTCTCTTCTGAGAGCGCATATAAATGTGACAGGCCCTTGAGGGTCTGAAAGATAAGGAAGACTTGATTTTCCATGAAGGCAAACTTCAGGAAGAGAACAAAGAAAACAGGAACTTCCAGTTGAGGTACCTATTGGGAATTGGGAAAAGTCTTAATCTTTCTCGAGCTTCCAACTGTGATTGTGAACATGTAGGTTTTCCATACATCTTCACAATCACAGAGGGCAGGACTGAAAAAAATTAAAACAATTATTAATTACGTTTTTGACAGATACGAGTTGTGCAAAACCAAGCTTGTCCCCTTCCTGAAGAAGAATGGCTTCAACCCCAAGAAAGACGTGTTCTTCATTCCTGTGTCTGGGATCACGGGAGCAAACCTCAAGGAAAAAGCTGGGGGTGTTTGTCCCTGGTACACGTAAGTAAAAACAACTGTTTCATATTCAAGTGAACTACAGATCGAATTGATCTTGAACTCTCATTTCAGGCGGGCCTTTAAAGGGACATAGGATCGTTTGCAGTTTCCCAAAAGTAACCTTCTGAATTACTATTAAAAAGCTTACTTGGATTAAAGATTGCTCTGATACTAAACACCCCGTGAAATTGTTCCGTTTGGCTTGCTGTCATTTAGCAAGAAATCAAGAAATGCAGGTGATTTCCAACGATCATTCAATTGAGTGATTTTGGAAATGCAGAATGCTATGGATGAAATTTTCACAATCAATATTTTCTGCGATTAGCAAATTTTTTTCTGTATGCAGTAGCTCCGTTTAATAAGCCATTTGCGAGTTAAATTTGAATAAAATCTGGAACACTGACTTAATCCAATGCTTTGCTCGTTTTAACGTTGCATTCTCCCAACCAAAGAGACGTGATTCGGGGCAAGCCTTATGCGAGCAACCTCCAGCTCCGGCATGGTCTGGTGTCTTTGTGCCATTCTCACCCATTGTGAACAATGTATTGGTGCTGAGCGTCTCTTATGTAACTATGCAAGAGCTTGCCCCGAATCATGTGATATAGCAACAGTGTCTTTGGTCTGGAGTATTCAAAGTTAAAATGTGCCACAGCATTCTGAGCAAGTCAGTATACCAGATGTTTTTCAAATGTAAATCCCAAAGGGTATAGGTCACTCCCAAATGGCTTATCTGTTCTTCAGTTTGTAAGTCTTCAGCTTGTATTTGTGTCCTTATTTTATCAGTATTTGGATGTTTTTCTTTCGTTTAGTGGGCCAGCCTTTATTCCCTACATCGATAGCTTACCATCCCTGGGTAGGAAGCAGGACGGCCCACTTCGGATGCCTATCACTGACCGATTCAAGGTACGGGTTACCCTGCGTCTGTCATTTTTTTTTATACCCATGATCCCATGGTCGTACTTCAAGTACAAGTGTCCAAGTACACTTTAGGTTGTATAGTGATCAGACGACTGCAAACAGCCGTTACTTGAGCTTGCTGACTAGTCGTGTTGACAGGATGATTGATTATCCATGCCCTGCGACGAGACCAACCAGACTCACTATAAGGATCTTAGTGCACAAGTGCGGTTCTTGTCAGAGGGACTGGTGTTTGACTAGGATTGTCAGGGTCAATAGTTTAACCCGGGCTAAAGGGGCTCTCACCACGTTATTTGGCTATGTTTGAATGAGGAACTTGTCAAATACGAAATATTTTGACCGAAAAATGTTAGAGTAATTAAAATATTGACCTATCACGGTAGAATCGCATTAAAATCGCGTTAATGCAGCTTGTGAAATGTTGTCCAATTACAAATGGACGCGGCACGTGCAAAATCTGAGACAAACAAATCTTATCGTACAAAAATTCCATAGGGTTGTCTAAGGGGCGTGGCTAACTCGCAAATGGCAATAGGTCAATTAAATAAACCAGACAAGATTTCAGAGCACATTGCCACAGTGGAGGGTTTGAATTCTATGAAATTCATCAAAGTAGACCGAAAGGTTTTTTCAATGTTTTGATGGAAATTGAAGGATTTTTTTTAGGGTTGAGGACAAGAAGGTATTGCGTAAGTCACTATTTCTGTACATGGGTCTTGACATTCCTTGGAAGTTGAAGTACAAAGAATGTTCCATTGGGTTCCTGCAAAGTGGTGGATTTTGGAGGATTCAGGAGGGGTCCTTGCAATAGCTGATCAGGGAGTTGGGGCTAATGAATGATAAAATGAGACTTGGTGTTTTCCACAACTGAAAGGCTCATGACGCAGAAGTGAATCCAACAACGATTGTTGTACCTTGGTTATTTTTCATGAAACACAATCACAAAAAAAGCATGATTTTTAACAGAAAATGTGCTAGAGGGCAGGGATGTAGTCAAGTCCATCACAAGTCCCTGCAAGTCCATCACAAGTCCTCCAGTCCCAATTCAACACACGAGCTATTCAAATAAGCTTTGACAAGGGCATTCCTTCGTAATTGTTCATCCACTGTTACTTGTGAATGGAATTGACAAGATTCCTGAAACAAAGAAGATGAAAGGTTCAATGTGCCGTGTCAGATATTAAAGATTATGAACTGGTTTTCTTTGTGCTGCAGGATATGGGAACTATTTTGCTTGGTAAAATTGAAGGAGGAAAGATCAAGAAAGGAGATTCGGTCCTGATGATGCCAAACAAGGTAAAATGGATGGATGTAATAAAAATATACCTTATAGCAATAATTAAATTTGATAATTGACGTTTCGCAAACCAAAGGAAAGCAAAAATATTGCAAACTTTGTTGTAAAACTGAATACAAATATTGACATTCTGTTTTCATCTCGGCACTTTTACTCGAGATAAAGGTTCAAAGTAAATCCTCATCAGACTTGTTGTGTACGTTGCCTTCTGCTTAAACTTGCATTCCCTGTGCCCTTCTACAAGATTAAAATTGTATGGTTTTTTTCCAATGAAAAAAACTTTGTTTCCCTTTTTGGACATCTGCAACCCTCTGAAATTTTGTTTGTTTGTTTTGGGCACAAACGGATCCGCTTTGAGAGCAGACTGGTTCCCAGCAAATTATCAATGCTGATTCTGGGGCGGGAACCAGCCTTCCCCGCGAGAACGGAATCATTGTCTGGCAGTCAAGAATTCCAGTGCTAAAAGAAATAGTAGAAAAGGAAATTATAGAGAATAAAACACAGAAAAAACAGAATGAAATTGGAGACTTGGTCTCAACTAAACTAAGGAAATCTTTGCAGAGCAATTTTTGGGAAAACCCCAATGATTCTGAGCCACCAACTCGAAACTATTGACAGTCTTTGTCTTGTCTTTCAGACAAACGTTGAAATATTACAAATCCTTTCGGACGAGGACGACACGACGGAAGCAAAAGCAGGCGAGAACGTCAAGTTAAAAGTCAGGGGGATCGAGGAAGACGTAAGAATGATGCTCCATCATGTCTGCTTGTGTTTAATTCAACTTTTATCCTTCCAGTTTTGTAGTTGAGTCTGTCGTAAATTCATCACAATTCATTGTCCCTTTCCTAACACCCACAAACTGTGGAATGTCATGGTCTAGTGGTTAAGAGCACCGGACTAATGCTCTGGTGTTTCAGAGGTAACAGTGGCATGGATTTGAGCCTGGGTGGACACTTGTGCCCTTAAGCAAGGCACTTAACCGTTATTGCTTCGTCCTTTGGATGGGACGTAAAGCCATAGGTCCCGTGTGTTGTATAATGCAATGCACGTAAAATAATCCAGTAACACTTATCACTAAGAGAAGGGGTTTGCCCCAATGTTTCTGGCCTCAAGAACCCTCATTTGTACCTCAGCCCAGTTCTGTCTCATTTTGTAAGACCACCTCACATTAACCATGTTATTGATTAAATAAATGCAGATGTCCTACTTATACTATTTTTATAATTGCATAGAATTAAGACCATATTTTTCTCAGATTTCAATTTGTTTTTGTTTTTTGGGCAGGATGTTTCACCAGGATTTGTGTTGTGTGAAATCAACAGTCCGTGTCACACATGCAAGGTCTTTGATGCACAAGTGAGTACGGCCCAGAAATATTATTATGTTACTTTGCGACAGTTTGAGTCGACATATCTCATCTTGTCACAGCATGTGACCCATGCCGAAGCGCATTGGACGTTGTCATTCGAGCAATTGTGATATGTGTGGGACCGTGTCAGTTGCCATGACAAGTGACACTTAGTGACAACATGTGACACTGTGTAACTGTTGGTGAGATGACGTCAGTATGTGTCACTTGTTGACACATCACTGTTTTTAAGATGATTTCGCACATGTCGTTTGTGACATCATGTTACACTGCTTAAGAGACTGTGTAAACCTGTTACAGGTAGTAAGACTGTAGGGATACTTTCGAGACCATGACACGAAGGTGGCACCATCAGTGTTGGAGCAAAGGCTCTGTCATCCAAAGGCCAAGGCCAGGGCTTTGACCCTCAAGGCCAAGGCCAATGCTTTGACCCTCAAGGCCAAGGCCCTAAAATCCAGCCTTAAGGCAGGCATCATGTCACCCATGTCACTTTGTTCAGCCAGGTCTCTTTGTCATGGCATTGGGCACATCGACAGCATCAATTGACACACGAGTGACACTCCTATATTACAGATGAAAATATGCCATATGACTTTCTGAAATTAAAAAAACAGTAGTTAAGACTCAAAATTCAGCATGTAAATGATATGAATGTGGATGTTTTCTTGGTTTTCGTCGATGACTTTCAGATCTTGATTGCTGAACACAAGTCCATCATCTGTGCTGGCTACGGCGCGGTGCTACACATCCACACAGCAGTGGAGGAAGTCCAGATCACAGTAAGCAAGTTTGACACTCGTCTGCTTAGCAGGAAAATACTGCTTAAGCAGATTTGTTTGCAATAAGCCATCTGCAGATGAATGATAGGTTAAAGTTGCGTTCCCCATGCTCTTCAACGAATTTGATTTGTCCGTCAAAATCCATCACTCACTGTGCTTCACATAATGCTTCAGGACCAAATCCAATGAAATCCACCACTGGTGCTGGTGGATTTTGATGGACTTGGTACACATTATCGCTTATCTCACAAAATCCCCCAAAATGGGGGATGGATTATGATTGAGTTACTAAGGCTAGGGTTAATAAATTTCCAACTTATATGTTTTATTCCAACAAAAACCCTCCTTTTTTTCTTTTTTTTGGGGACACCTGCAACGCTCTGAAAAAGGCTTTTGTGAACCGACTGGCTCCCGGTTCGTACATTATCGAGACTGGTTGTTGGGCGGGAACCAGCCTGGAAGGTCTGGAAGCCAGTAGTTTGAAATTGTAAAGTAAAACTTCGGGGCCAATTTGTTTTGGTTGATGTCACATTCAGAAGTGGATATCAAACTTTGTGTTGCTAGAAAAACAGTGATTTAAAAAAGCAATCTATTTTTTGGGATGAAACTCAGCACGGGAACGCATTTTATGTTTGGATAAACCATTCTGGATTCTGCTGTGTTCAAATGTTGGACACATTTGACATCCAAACCTCCGGACGCATTGCCACAGTTACATAAGGGACGCCCTGTATAAGTGCAGATGCATTGTTCACAATGTATGAGAATTAGCCAGAAGACGCAAGACAGTCCACCCCTGGCGCAAGACGCTAGCTTCAGCATTTGCCAGCTGTTGTTTACCCCTCTGATATCGTTTCAATCTCACCCTCGCAGACCCTTATTGCCTTGGTCGACAAGAAGACGGGGAAGACGATCAAACAGCGCCCTCGCTTCATCAAGCAGGAACAGATCGCTATTGCGCGGTTCGAGTGTGCGGGCGTGCTGTGTATGGAAACGTTTAGTGACTTCCAACAGATGGGCCGATTCACCCTTCGCGATGAAGGTAGTCTTGTTCCTATTTTTAGTTTCTTTCTTTTCTCTGTCTATTAGATTTAAGACAAATACTTAAAATACTTTTGTAAGAGATGAATCTTTCCTGATTTTAATCGGAAATCCGACTTCTTTCCGACAATCTTTTTCCCTGAAAGTCTGATTTTTAAAATTAAATTTCAACGAGTTTTCAACGAATTTTCAACAGCACCGCGATATCTGTATTGTAAGTGCAGTTTTAATCTGCTCTACCAGTCGTCAGTGCACATATTGTATTCTAGACGCACATAGGTAAGCCTGGATTGGAGTAGTTGTTTATTTTCTCTTACTTTTTTTAAAAGGTAAAACCATCGGCTTTGGGAAAGTTCTGAAGCTGGTCAACTGAAGAACAGGCAGTACCACCGACCGGCCGTGTGACTGTAGAGGGCAGCAGACTGGCATAAACTCAACCGAGACCAGACTCCAATGGACGTCTGCATAAAAACACTGTTTCTCTTAGGTCTTTAGTAGAGACTTGCGAGCCACTTCCACAAAATGAGGGTTGTTAACCGACCACACAAGGCTATGTCTGACACGGCAGATGTCCACAGATTTTGCATTTTCAGAAGTCGATTGTCACAGAGCGTATGCTGGCATTTCTGCCATTCAATCCAGTGCACTTTTGCGAAGAACACAGCATGCACGCAGCACAGCACATGCAAGCAAGTTATCTCAAGTTCAGGGGAAGTTTGATAAAACTAAGGTCTCGTTGGGACTGGCCCACGAAGTTGGCTTACAATGATGACGGCACAGTCAAGTAGACAGGCAGGCTTTGAAGTTCGAAGAAGTCATTAACTTTTTTTTTTCGTTCAATTTATGCAGACTTGGCAAATTACATTGCAACAGTCGATCTCATATATTTTCCCCATTATTTACTGAAAATGCAAAACTTTTTTTTCATTTTGTTTTGTACATTTTTTTTCTCCATTGTCTGTTGGTCAGAATTATTTTTGAAAAACAGAAGAAAAAATATGCAAAATTTAATCTGGCGTTATCACAAAACATCAACTACACAATATTGTTTTGTTTGCTTGACTGAGAAAAATAAAAAGAATCATAAAATTTAGAGGGCCTACTGTTTCGGTCTTAACAAAAAAAGGCATATCTTGTTAAAGGGAATATACAACATTTGCAAACATCGAAAAATAAAACTACCAAGTTTTTGCGAAATACCTTAATAGGATGTTGGTAAATGACAGTCTAAAGCATTCTGTAAAATTATGGCACCTGGTATACTGTCATTTTCAAGAAAAGTTGTATTTTTATATCAATTTCCAACGCTGATCGGCCGATCAGCGTTGGAAACAACTGGCTTTTTTTCAAATACTGGCCCCAATTGACCATTTCACTTGTTTGCAATCGATTACAAACCTATGAACGTGACGAGCCAGCTAGACTGGTTCCCTGACCTTACAATTCCCCAATGTATGTAAACTGCTCTGTTTCTTCTTATATGGAGTCAGGGAACCAGACTACAGGAAAATGATCGTTTTTCTTGGTTTTTATAGCATTTTCGAACCCAAAACCTCCAAAAAGTCAGTGTAACTATATTTGCTTTATATTTCCAACCCCCCAATTCCATCCATTTCTGAAAATTACAGCAAAAGCAAATGATGTATATTCCCTTTAAGAAATGTTCGGTCGTCTAACTTTGTTGATTAGTACATTTCAGGTCAATCCAGTCGGTATTGTTTTGCAGCAGTTTCATTCATTTTCAACACAAATAAATGATAATTGCAGGATTTGGAGACAGCGATTTCCTGAAGTGAAGATTTGTAGCTGTTTGGTTAGGATCCTTACTACATGTAATTCGAAACCATCCATATTGAAACAACTGGTTGGCAGTACTTTACAATTTTTTGGCACAACGCGCGAAAGGTATCGCCAGAAGGGCGTTGCACAAAACACGAGGTAAAATTGTTCAGCAAAATCGTTGGACTTTTGTGAAGTTTTGACTTTTTTGGCCGAAAGGTATTCGTGAATGGGAATAACTATGTGCTTGACTGGTATTGAAAAACAAGGGCATTATTTAATGTTCAAACAAACAGTTCTTAAGTACAACATGGAGCATATATTTGCATTTATTATTATGAATGATCATTTTTTGTACTTCATCTCTGGCACCATAAAATTTCTAATTTGGAAGCATTTCTTGCGTAGGTGAATTAAAAAGTGGCATTGATTTTTTTAATTTTTAATATTAAACTCCAATGATCAGACAAAAATTATGGCCAGTTACAACTCTATTCTGTGGGCGTGGCTTGCAAAGAGGGGCACAAGCCCCTTCAACGAAACGTTTACTCTGTCAAACAACTTTCATTTATGAACCTAACAAAACTATTTGTATGTAACACAAAGTAAGATTATAACTTGGTTGCGAAGGCGGGGCAAAAAAAAGTGACGACCCCGCATTTTACTGATTTCTGTATAAAGAAATAACAGACCCAAGTAAATTTTGGGCAAATTGTTGTTCTTTTTTCCTTCATTCTCTTGATTATATATTATAAAGATACCCGTCGGCCTTTTCCTTTGTAGTATGAGGCACAAAATAATATTTTGTTTTTCTTTTGAAGTTGGCTGTTGCATTATTTCTTCCTCTTTGGTTTTATCGATTATTTTTGGAAGCTTTTCTTGGGAAAACTTCTCGAGATGAATGTGTATGGATATGTTGTTGCTGTATCGATCGCACACTCTGTAGAAATACATTCAAGATGGCTTCTCTAGTGCCCAGTTTTATGGCGCTGCTTAAATTTTAGCAGAAAAACAGTTGCATTTGCTGTAATTTTCAAAAATGGATGGATTTGGGGTTAGTTCTCAATAGCAAATATTGTTAAACTGACCTGTTTAAAGTATTGTGTTCATAGATGCTGGAAAAACCAAGGAAAAAAAATGCCGTTTTTGTAGTCTGGTTCCTGGACCCTACTTCAAACGAAACGGTAATTTATACACTTTTGGGAATTGTCGTGTCAGGGAACCAGACTAGCTAGCTTGCACCCGTTCACTATTGTGTAACCGATTGCAAACTAAAATGCGGACCAAGAAATTTGGTAAAATTGGGCAGTATTTGAAGAAAAGAAAAATCAGTTGTTTTTCCAACGATGGTCGGCCAACCATAGTTGGAAATTGATACAAAACTTCAATTTTTCTTTAAAATAATAGCACACAAAGATGCTTGAGACTTTTATTCACTAACAGTTCAGTAAAGTATTTCATAATAATTTGGTAGTTTTGGTTTTTTGATATTTGCAAATGTTGTATGTTACCTTTAAAGGGAATACATGTATACAACATTTGCAAACATCGAAAAATAAAACTACCAAGTTTTTACGAAATACCTTACTAGGATGTTGGTAAATGACAGTCTAAAGCATCCTGTAAATTATGGCACCTGGTGTCAAGTCATTTTCAAGAAAATGGTATTTTTGTATACATTTCCAACAATGGTCGGCCGACCACCGTTGGAAAAACCTAACTATTTTTCAACTACTGATCCAAATTTACCATTTTTCAGTCCAAATTTTGTTTGCTATTGGTTACATGTTCATGAACGGGTGCAGGCCAGCTAGACTGGTTCCCTTGCCTTACAATTTTCCATCGTCTATACATTGATCCATTTTATCTTTTGTGGAGTCAGGGAACCAGACTACTTAAACATTTTTGTTTTTCTTGGTTTTTCAAGCACTTTCGGACACAAAACTTCAAACATGTCAGTTAAACAATATTTGATCTATTATACTAACCCCTCAAATAGTTCATTTCTGAAAATTACAGCAAAAACCAATGGTGTACATTCCCTTTAAGCACTATTTCATGGCATGGATGTGCTAATGGTAGTGCCGTTGGAGATTTCTGTTGTCACTGATGTAAGCAGCGTTTTTCCTCTTGCTGTGCTTACTGCTTACGGTCTCTATGAAAAAGAAGGAGGCTCTGTTAGCAGAAAATCGTGAGCTTAGCATCGCCATGAAATTGGGCCCCCGTTACCAGCCAACATGTTACACTATGTATGCTGCTTGTGGGTGGTTCTCAGCTAATTGCTTTTATAATAGCAATTAAATTGCTAAGCAGTGATTTCTGCCTAGCCAGTCTATGTATTTGGGGCCTACAGGTTTGCTTGCATTTCTTTGTTTGGTGATTAAATCAAACTAGCAGCAGAATTCCAACCTAACGTTGCTGTCGCTGAAGGGTTATTTTTTATAAAAGGTTGTGATTTCTGTAGAAAGTTGAACTCTGTTTATGCTTTCTTATGAACCCTCCTGCTATTAAAACAGTCACAGACAGTCAAAATTTCCATCCACTTCCCATGCTATACTTTTAGCACAGGCTAGTCAACAAAAGTCGGATCGTATGTGAAGCCAGCACTGTGACTAGTCAAATTCAGTCGACAGAATGTGAACAAAGCCGGCAAGTTGTGGGCACAGCTGGCTTATCAATTACCCACAGTCAAAGCATAGCTGTATCAAGTTACATCAACAGTCCCAGCCAGTCAATCCTGCTTTATGTAGGCTGGGAATTTTTAACTGTTGAAAACAGTTACTTGATTGATTTTGACTAAAGGGTCTACTTGGCACAGAATGTATAATTATAGGAGAACTTGTAGTTGCTGATACGGTGGGAGTCGGCAATGGTTGCTATGTCAGAACAGAAAATTGTGCTGTTTGGCCCATTTCATGGCTTCAGAGTGTACACAACTCTTGTAGGCCATCAGCCTGGGTGTTTGGTCAGTATCAAATCAGGGCATAAATGATTACAGTGCGCATGTGCATGGTATACCGCCCCTAGAGTGGTAACAAGCATTTTGATGGACATCTTGAAAAAAAGGGTGATAAGGCCAAAAAAAAAATAAGTCGGTCTCTGGTCAGCGCGCGCGTCGATTTTAATCATGCGCGTCGATCTTTTTTTTTCCAAAATGTTCCGCGGTAGCTCCAACAGCGCCCTTTATTTCCGCACCTCCTCAATTTTTTTTACCAAAAAGCACCAAGGAATGGGAAATTGCACCAAGGCAAATGATCGAAATCACCAAGGCAAATTATGGAGGACACCAATGTACATGAGGACACCAAAAAAGCAAAATAGTACCTACCTTGTCGTACAATCCAAGCTTGAAGGAAAAAAAAAAAGCAAAAAAAAAAAAAAAAAAGCCGCGTGGCCGCGTCAATTCCGGAACTTTGGTCTGACCAGAGACCGAATATTTTTTTTTTTTTGGCCTAACACCTACTAAAAAGCTGCCACCGCTGCAATGGTATCAAATATTTTCCAACTCTGGAGGTGTATACCTTGCCAAAAATCGCTATGACGATTATTCCCCTCATTTGATACCGGTTGCCAAAATTTGGACCGAGGCTGATGGCCTATTCTTCTTCTAAATGTGCACAATGGCAATGGGGTCAAAGTACATAATTTTTTTTATAAAGCATAATTCAATCCAGTTCAATGTACGGAAAATTAAAAAAAATACTTGGAAAACCAGGACCTCAATATTTTTTTCAATTTTTTTTTGTTTTGGGAAATCCCCCTGCTGCTGCACCCACCACAAAACACAGTTACGAATTGCATTTTGCTGCAAAGGCAGTTTGAAGCACTTACATTAAGGGGCCAAGTACCATTGATTCTCATCATTACTACTGATGTAATATTTGTGCTGGTTTTACAGCACACCGACACTGCGACAAAAAAATGTGCTTGCTTATAGGCTCTGTGCGCAAGTACATGTACCCTCTCAACGGTACAAATGGGAGAGTTGGGGAAGAACACTAGGAGAGACATTCGATGACATTGCTGACGATACTTGATGGTCACTTGAAGACGCTATATGGCTTTGTCGTGCACGTTTGTGCACAAAGCAGTTGTGCCAAGCAACCTCAAAATTTTATTGGTACGGTTTCATAAACCTGTATAGCTGAAAACAACAGTCAGAGCTAAATTTCATCCTAGAGCTGTTGTCCCTTGGCTATCAGGCATGCAAGTTTTCCTCAAATCAGCTGATTTCCTCGTTTTTCAAAAAATGATAGTACTGCAAAATGATAGTACCGTCTCTGCAGCAAGGGTTTACTGCGAAGTAAATGTGCTTGGCAAATATCGGCTGAGAACCAATAACAGACATTCTACACGGCATGACTTTTGGCTGTTAAACTTGATTGAGTTGGCAACGATTTTCTGTGCTGAATTAGGAAATCTTTGTGCCAAAGCACTTGAAATGCAATTGGCGTGAGTATAGCTTGCCAAGCACTAATCAACCAAAAATGTCTTGCAAACTAAAAGTCTTTGTTTCCACTGCTAAGCAAGATTGTATCCTGTATGCTGCTGAATGGAACTGGACATCTTTGCGGAATTGGCATTCAATCAGGCATGCAACTGGGAAGTAACACAAAAAAAGAGGAAATTCCAAGCTGAGTTTTTCATTTTTCAATGGCATAAGTGTGAAGTGAAAAACAAGGAAATCAGATGATGCGAGGAAAAGTTGCATACCTGATTGAATCCTTTTGAGGTTTTGAATCCTTTTGAATGTAAATTTGACAGCCAACGTGTTAAATTTTGGTTTGGTGGTATTGTATTTACTAAATAAACATGCTCATAATAGGTTTAACAAAATTCTGGATTCCTGCGTGATCTGTAGCCTGTCATCAGTAGTGTTTTTATTTGCAGCACACATTGTCAATGGATCATGATTGAGTTTTATGTCTATTCATAAGAAAATAACAATGAAGTCACACCACTGCTATCACTCCAAGGGCGGATCCAGGGGGGGGGGGGGCCAAAGGGGGCCATGGCCCCCCCCAAAAACGAAACCAATTTTTTTGTTTTTAATGTGACATCGCAATAAAGGCAGGCAATGAGTACACCACCATCTTTTCCTCAAAAAAAATTGGTTAAAGTGGTCAGAAATTGCCTCAGATCGCACCACAGAGCATCTAGAATCCAAAAAATTTTCGGGGCCCTAGCGGGCCCCGAACCCCACGCCGTAATTTTTTAGACCCACTTTTTGGGGGGACCAAATTTTTTTTTGGCCCCCCCCAAAAATTGTGTTCTGGATCCGCCCTTGTATCACTCAGTCATGCATGTACATTAAAACATTTCAAAGAACGGCTTTCGTCGAGCTGCCACAGTGGCCTAGTGGGTAGTGAATATTTTTGTTGGTTGGGATAAGTTTATTTAAGGGAAAACACTACGAGAACCTTAGTGTCTTCCATCCACACAGCGTGTAAATATTCATGTTAGGGTGCGTGACGTGATTGGTTAAAATACGATGTGTGCTGCAAAACAAAAATGCTGCCTGCAGTCACTGTCAGTTTATATCAGAAGAGGGCGCTGTATGTAAAAGCAAATTTAATAATACTACCAAATGCATCAGTTTCTAAACAAGCACTGAATTGCATGCCTGCCTGATTAAACCACCAGTTGATACAACTTTGAATTTTGCTGGCCCGTGCTCAGTTCATTAATTTCAATTTGAGAACGTATACTACACAAGGCTGAGTTTCGTCTTGTAAGTGAAATAGACTGGCTTCCATTCCATCACTATGCAGACTGTAGAAAGGACGGGCCGGGGCCAGTCATCTCTTGCCTCAGTGGTTCCTGTAAATCGACGTCACGCATAAAGGAATTATTGCATACCGTCGTCATGGCCGTCACGTGACTGTGATCTCGTGCACTGACACCATTAAGTACACTCGAGCACGACTGGGGAACTTTTAAAAGGTGCCGTAACAGACTCGCTGTGGGGGAGGTGTGGCGATCCCCCACAGCAGCATTTCATGGACTCGAGTCTGGCCCAATCGCTTCAAAAGAGAGATGGGCACTCCGTTCCTGTGAACACAGGTTCGTCCCCCCTTAAATGTAACCCATACTGGCCATAGAATCTTCAAAGATTTATTTAACCACTCCCAGTGGGCCCATTCTATAAATTAAGCCTTCTCATAAGATAGGACATCTATTTCTTTCTTTTTTCGTACATTTAAGATCAATCCAGTCAGAAAGCAGTTCACAGCAATTTTATTCATTTTCAAAATTTAAAGCATAGAAATCACCTGCACACTGGCAAGCATTTGCCAAATCATTAAGAAGAATTTCTTAAAAATTTGATTTCAAATCTTAACATAATTATTCAACACCGTACATTTTGGTGATACAACAAAGTTTGCAAAGGGATAAAATAAGAATAGTAAAATATTTGTACAATAAAATGTTTGACCAAGTAGTCCGAGTTATTTCACCTTTGTAATGTAAACGGTGTGACAATAAAGTTGATTTTTCTAGCAGGTATAATTGCAGTTCATAATTATACAAATAGTAAGCATGTCATGCAAGCATTCAAGCAAATGATGGCATCTTTAATTAAATTTTGAATAAATCTTAAACTACTAATAAATCTCAGAAAGCAATGTTTCAAATTTGTCGCACACTTAATACGTAGTATTGAGAGTCCCAATATTTAAAGACCGTCTCATCAATACAAATACTGCTTCTGGTTTTAGGTGGTACACAATAGCCTTAGGGCACAATGAGACACATTAGGAGGATACTATTTGATTAGGCATGTTAGGGTGAATTTGTGTAAATACCCCCCCCCCCCAACATCAGCATTGGGGTGATTGTTTCACTGCCAATCCTAAATTCTGGTACGGGGTGAGTCAAAAAAACAGAACCCAAACCTCAAAAATATATTTCATATTTAAAAAAATATGTAGCACTAAAAATAATAATGACTGGAAAGCCAATTTCATAAACTACTTTTAGATGAAAAAATTACTGAAATTGCTCAATTCGTTCAAAGAATATCACCATTTAAACACAATGACCCTAGTGGGTGCAGAATTTTCAAGCCTTATGGCCTTACTGAGGTCACCTCAAGCTCCACTCTGACGGATATTTTTGAGAGTTTTAAGGGGATTGACGCGCCATCTGCAACATGAGCCGACATTTGAAGAAAAAAAAAGTGGGGAAAAAATAAAAGCCGTGTCGCCGCACCACTTTTTGGGCAAGCTCCATACCAGAAAGCGAAGATTGTTTGGGGGCCTAACCATGGTTGCACTGAGTTGACCCCTGAGTGACGTCACGACTTCGGCAGCGAAATGAGTGTCTGAATTTTGGCCTCTGATACCAGTATTTTAACTATCTATTATTTGATGACTTGCTTTATGACATGGTTATCAGCCCCTGGTCTCATTTTCACCGTTTTATGACATGATAACCCTCGCCCCTGGCCTCCGTTTCAATTTTTGGGGAGATGTTTGGCCGCCTCTCCACTCTGGAAAAGTTTGTCAACGTAGGCAATTTTCTTGAGTGCCATGGCAATATGCTCGGCCGTGATGTGATGGTGAATGGCCACCCGTAAGCAAGTATCACTCACAGGACACAGTTGCACCTGGAAACAAAGTTCATAAATACAAATTTCAGTCCTCATGGTTAAGGGCACTGGATTCGTGGTCTATGGGTAAAGCTGCGGGTTGTGGGTTCGCGTCCAGCCGGGGTCATGGTGCGTGTGCCCTTGAGCAAGGCACTTTGTCACTCATTGCTTCTCTCCACCCAGGAGTAAATGGGTTCCTGTGAGGGCAGAGATGGTTATTGTGATTGATTAAGCTTGCTTGCGCCTAACAGGCAGCATCGAGCTGTATACTCCCCAGGGAGCTGAGATGGTATTTGGAATGTTTAATTGGCCCAATGATCAGGGGTAATAATAATACTGTAAGCGCTGTGATTTAGTTTACTATTTAAGAGCGTTCTTAAATGCCGATTATTATTAAATACAAATTTCATAAATACAAATCAAGGAATAGAAAATTGTATAAATGATTTGGCCCACCGGGCTCCACGTCGTCCACACGAGGCAAACCCCCGATCCGATCCTCCAAACCCGCGTACATGTGTGTATGTGTATGCATCCATGTACATGTGGGATTCACCTTGATTATCCTGTAACTTGCTGGGTTTGCGGTTATGTTAGTGATATGAGCTGCTTACGATTGAATGATCGAAATTATGTATACATGTACACACATGGGACTACATGGGACATGGGGGTAGTGTGTGAATACATTGTGGGCTTCGCATGCGTGCAATCGAATCAGGGTTTTGCCTTGTGTTTCGAAGACGTGGGGCCCGGTAGGCTGTGGCCAGCTCCTCTGCCTGGGCGAAATATGGCACGCTGTTACACATCCATACATTCAAGGCTAAACTTACGTCTGCAATGACAAAAAAGTTATCCAAAATGCTTCATGCAGAACTTTCAACCGTAAAAATGAAGGAAAATATGAAATGGATTTTGCTACCTGAATGCCCTGTCCCAGTTCCTGTTCTTCACCCTCGGTCACCGTCCCACACAGAAGATAGAACAACTTGGCCGACACTCCCTCCCCCATCATCAGGTACACCATGTTGGTTTCCGTGGCAGCTAGGTCACAGGTCACGCTAGGGCACTTGAGGTCAATGACTCCTGGGTAAAGTCAAGGTGGGGAAGGACAAAAACCCAAATGATGGCTTTTTTTTGAAAATTGGGATCCAACAATCACATCAGTGTTGAATTTATGAAAATATTTGACAGATATTTAATAAAAAATTGTGAGAGTTGCCAAGTATACAGGGTGAGTAAAAAAACCCGAAACCCAAATGTCGGGACCATTGTTTTAGTGAAATTCTGCATGTAGCACTTCCACAATCTAGGATATGAAAGCCCAATTCATAAGGTTTCTTTTAGTACAAGAATCATTCAAATCACTCATGTACTTTTCAAGTTATGGAATTTTAAACACAACCACCGTCTTAAAGTTCTGTCTGTGGATCACAAGAAGGTAAGTGTTCTTTCAGCAAAATGAAAACAAATCACATAGGAATGTGTGTGAATTGTTTTTGTTTTGCTGAAAGAACGCACACCTTTTTGTGAACCGTGGACAGAACTTTAAAACGTTGGTTGTGTTTAAAATTCCGTAGCTTGAAAAGTACATGAGTGATTTGAATGATTCTTGCACTAAAAGATAGCTTATGAATTGGGCTTTCATATCCTAGATTGTGAAAGTGCTACATGCAGAACTTCACTAAAACAATAGTCCCGACTATTGGGTTTCACATTTTTGGACTCACCTATATTGCAACATGCGTTACTGTAAGATTTAATCCTTAATACTGTGGCTATTTTGACTTTGAAAAGGAAGACAAGTTTTTGTAACATACAGCTGATGCAGGTACGCATGGAATATACACAATACTATTAATCTACACATTTTTGCCAAAGGAATTGAACGTGCATGTGTCCTTAAATTGGACAAATTCAGCACACTTTAACCAACAAATTCTCAAAATGTCTTCCAGCAATCACAAAGTCAAAGTACTCAGTCCACACTGTCTGGCTTTTCAGACTGAATTAGTACTACAAACGGTCAAATGTAAGGCGTTCTGGCAACACGAGACGGAACGGCACAGACCGTTGTGGAGTAAAACTGAATGGGGGTGATTTTTTTTTTTTGATTGTCAGATCTATTGATATTTGTAATCTTTATTATGTCTACTAAAGATATTTCAAATTTAGAAATAGTATACTGGTACATATAGAAATCATGGAATAAATGTGTTTCTAAGGAAAAACAATTGGCATCTTTTTCACAGTATTTGGCATCTTTTTCACAGTATTTAACTTTTTTTGACATGTCAATATTTTTTCCATGTCGATATTAAATTCGTACTTTTGAACAGCCATAACTTGTCAACGGAATGTCCGATTGAAGTGCAATAAACAGTATTGTAAGGAGAATTGTATTCCCTTTCCTAATACCCACATTTTCTCTCATTTTCCCAGAATGCCTGACGTAGTTCAGTACACCTGACAGACTCTGGAAGCTGAAAGACTCAACGACAACACTGCCAAACTGACAAAAATGGGTCAGGCAGTCATATTTGATACTTTTGAGCCCAAAGTAAGACTGACTCCATAGTGTATGTATAGGTTTCCTGGCTATTTTCAAATTCACCAACTTCGTCTGACATAAATCAATTAGGCAAATTTGTTTTCTGAATAACAACGGTTTGTCGTAGACGAGACGGAATCAAATTTGCTGGTATTGAATTTGAAATTGTCTGGCAAAAGACGAAATTAAACATTGGAAGTGTACTAAATCGATGTTGATGGAAGAATTTGAATATTAGTAACGGTGAATTCGAATGATACACGTTATACAAATATTGAGTGGCTCAGCGTGGAATGGGAGGAATATTACCTCAAGGTAAAATCTGGACTTTTCCACTTCATGAGGTGAAGCCGAGTGAACTGGAAAAGTCCAGATTCTACCGAGCGATAATATTTCTCCCATTTCACAATTAATAGCCACTCAATATTTGTTTTATATAACTGACATATAGATCCTTGTCATTAGATATATTTGAACTTTTATTTCAATACAAAACTGGAGGAAAATGTATTACTCTCTTCCAAACCACCCCTTCACAAAAAGTTTGAACCCAATGCTGTAGCGCTGGCTCTTTGGAACAATACGCGCTACGCGCAACGTGCACACCAGCATGCATTTGCACACAAATACCGCGTCATGGAACAAGAATGATCCTAACTGTTCAATAGTATTTCCCAAACCCCATGGGCGGATAGTACCTTTTGAGCCGCGGCGTGAATGGGAGCAATAATGAATGTCACGTGATGTGAGTTCCACCAATCAAATGACAAGGATCTGTATGTCGGTTATATGATTTCAAATAGCCGGGAAAACCAATACTTCATAGTTCCTACCTTGGGCTAGGAGTTTAGCGTTCTCATGGTCTGTCTTCAGTCTCGGTATTCCTTTCTCTAACGCCACCAGCCCCGCCGCCGCTAGGATACCGACCTGCCTCATCCCACCACCCAGGGCTTTGCGATGTCGGTGAGCTCTAGATGCACAAACAAATTGTCTTCATTTTAATATTACAGTGGTTGGCAGGTAGAACAAATACCCATTAGCCCTCCCATGCAAACATACATTCTGTGCAAAGTTGTCCTTTCAGTAAAAATCAATCAAGTGACTGTTTTCAACAGTTAAGAGCTCCCAGCCTACATAAAGCAGGATTGACTAACTGTCACTGTTTTTGTATTACAGCTATGCTTTGAAGGTAGGTGATTAATAAGACAGCTGTGCCTACTACTTGTCTGCTTTGGTCTGTTGACTGGATTTGACTAGTCACAGTGCTTGCTTACCACTGATAAAAATAGCTGAAAACAGCTGGAAAAGGTGTAAAAAAAAGCTTAACTTTGGAAATCTCCTACACTGTTGTACACAGCAAGTTACGGAAAAAAGCTGAAATCAGCTTTAAAGCTGAGATTTCACACCCCTGAATATGTTCTGACTGTTGGTGACTAGTCGTGTACAAGGCATGGCAGGGGAAGAGGACTGATTTTTTTTACTCTCTGTGACTGTTCAGACAGCAAGAGGGTTAAATAAGGGACTAATTAAAATAAGTTGACCATCAGACAGCTAGAAAAAGATATTGCACCTGTGAAAGGCCATGATCATCAAAGCATGAACCTGACTAAAAATATTAAGTAAGATTTGAGGCTTTGCATGGTGGAAATACTAAATAATGAAAGGTTTGCGGAAACACCGTGTGCGAATAATTTCTCAACTAAGAGAATGGTTCTGAAAAGAACCAGAGGTATAAACTCGACGTTCCGAATAAAAATATTATTATTATTATTCTGGTTTAATTATTAAAAATTTGAAACAGGCAGCCACAAGGCTGACATTGCACAATTACACAGAGTGAAAAGGATAAATTCAAACAATTAAACCACTCATTTTCAACATGAAAACCAGGCTACAGGGAAAACCAAAACAGACTTCATGTATATGTGCGTTTTAAGGCGTGACAGATGACACTCGCAAAAGTTGCATTTTACACCGTAAAGCTATAAAGCCTCCAGACAACTTCCAGGCTTTGAATTTTGGGCGCGGGTTGCTTTGACGGGCACCAAGGCACCCGTGTTTTACTTCAATAGAATACCCTGTTCCTGTACCACCAGTAAATGCACACCACTACTGTAACATAAAATGTAGACAGAATATCTAGGGGCACTGTCTGGGTGGACTATAAAAAAATGTAGGAGGATCATAGATATGTCAACAAGTTAAGCTAGATATCCTGGCTTACTTTTAAGGGAATATTGAATATGTCACCAGAATTGGGCGATTGAAAGGGTTCAAGATCTCGGCTTACACTAATGCTTGCAGAGTTTTTAACTCTTTCAGTGCCCGCGAAATTTGAAAAGTTTAACCCCAAAGTGCCCAACTTTGAGCGTTTTTGTTAATTGTTCAAAATTCTGTCCAAAAAAAAAAAAAGTAAATAAGGTTTAATCACTAAATTTGTTGTTATTGCTCTCTGGTATATCCTTGGTATATTGGAAAGTCAATAGTAGTCACGTACATAGTGATACACCCTGAAACACTGTCCTGCACACAGGGGAATTCCGCACATTTTGCAGAAAATATGAGTGTCAGTGCTGCGCCCTCTCGCAAGAACTCGAATGAAACAAATAAATACAGGTCGTAACTGAATGAAAATGATATTATTAGAAAGAGCGAGAGCGCCCCCTTGTGATAACATGCTTACTCTACCTCGTACATGTACGAGGTTTGGCGATTTTAAGTACGAACATTACCTCGTACATGTACGAGGTTGGCAATTTCGAACTAACAAATATACCTCGTACATGTACGACTTTGGCACTGAAAGAGTTAAGCAACATTGTGATCTTTAATAAGGTCGATATTCTTACCTTTTGATAAATTCTTTGCTGCCAACAAGACAGGATCCAACTGGAGCTCCCAGTCCCTAAACAACAATAGCAAAAACTGTCAAATTGGAACGATTGGGAAGTATAAGTGAAACCTCTGAATGAGAATGAATAGAAAGGTGAATAAGCTTTGTGAGATAGGCTTGATTGAAACAAGCCTTCTTATTAAACTCTCATTTGGTCAGCCTTCAATCACTATGGCCCTTTTTATTCTTAAGATTTAACTGTTTCAGATATTTATATATTTGGTTTTGTAATGTGTTCACAAACTTTAAAGAATGCAACTTCCTGAAACTCAAAATTTCTTCGGGCATGCTCTGAGACTTCATTTTGCTTGAGTCAAGAAAAAAACTTGCAAAAAAAAGAAGAAAAGTATCACAATTATAAAAAAATAAAAAGCCAGTTTTTATCCGAGTTCAAAGCTTTATTTAAATTTCTAAGCAAAATGTACAAATACTGACACATTTAATGAAACTACCTTAGAAAGACAGACTGACACTGAGTCACAATACTGAGCGATAGTGTCAGGGGTCACGTCCATGGCAACGGCGGCATTCATGATGCGTGCTCCATCCAGGTGAACCTGAAGGCTGTGGCTGTCGGCTAGCTCTCTCACCTACAAACAGGCCCGTCAGAAATCTACATTTTGAGTCTAAGTCAGAGGACCAATCCATTAAAGGCACATGGGATCATTTGCATTTATCCCAACACTAGTAACCAGTGACCAAGTTATTATCAAAAAGCTTACTTGGATGAAAGAATGTACTGGGCCCAATTTCATAGAGCTGCTTAAGCAGAAAATTTGCTTAAGCACGAAAAAACATTGCTTAGTAAAATTAGGTTACCGGCCAAAACTCCATGTGATGTACATTGCTTGTGACTGGTATTTAGCTGTTGTTTACTTAGCATAACAATCGCATAGACTTTTGGCCGGTAACCTGATTTTATTAAGCAAGACGTTTTGTGCTTAAAGCAAATTTTGTGCTTAATCAGCTCTATGAAATTGGCCCCAGGTACTAAACACCCAGTGAAATTATTCCGTCTGGCTTGCTGTCATTTCGAAAATATCAAGAAATGTAGGTGATTTCCAACCATCAGTCAATTGAATAAGTCTTGAAAATAAAGGTGTGCTATTGACAACATCATTTTTCGTGAAGGATCAAAAGGTTAGGTAAGCTTTTTCGTTGTTTTCTTGAAAAGTGTGATATCCACTGAGCTGAAACTTCAACAGGTTCAGGTTTCAAACATTCTCCTTTGGATTTTGAGTGGTGTTATTCTTGGAAACAAACGAAATGCATAAAAAGCTAATAATCCTATTTGCCTTTAAGTGATGAGTTCTAAATGCAACAGAAAGGGTACAACAGTCAATCAAAATTTACACAAAGGAATACAGGAAAGAAAATTCCTGTGCAAAAATTTAAAGTTTTTAGAAAATCATCGTAACTAAGAAAAGATAACATTCAAATGAAACAACATGTAAACATAGAGAATATAACGTCACATATTATGTCATGAAGCCTTAGTTCATTTGAAAAAAATTGTACTCATTGTAAACTTTTCCTTTTGTAATACTTGCCAAATCTCACAATATTTTACCTTTTGGATAAACTCAATGGGCACCACCTTCCCCCCGGCGGCATTGTGCGTGTTCTCGATGCAAATCGCACGAGTCCTTGGATAGTGAATGTCCTCCATGCGAATCTTGGACTTTGCGTCTTGAAGATCAAAAGTGCCATCCGGCTTATTGACAAGAGTCCTGGGGTTTACACCTGCGAACTGGACGGGTCACTACGAGTCAATCTGACATGAACATGGGTCATTCCGTAAATTTGTGGTCCAAAAGTGTGACATTTCTGTGTGCCTGTTACACCTGACCTGTGTAATTCTCCGAGCAACTATCATTAAAATTGACTTCATACTATTTTTTTAGTTGTTGAATCAGCAGGTACTTTGCTTTACATAATGACTCTTGGAGATAGAAGGGATTAGAGAATGTGTCCTGAATTTACAAATATCTTGCATCAGATGCAACAGGGACACGAAAACAAAAATTGGACCCCAAGTTTATGGACTGACTGATGCATTAAAGAGGTTGTGGAATGCTCGAAGACATTTCCGTCATTTTTTGGGTATATGTAGCCTAAGGTGTGATGAAATAAAAACGACTATTGTTTCTGTCATGAAATGAGTACAAAGGGTACTTTTGAGAGCTATTTTTCAGGTCCTGTTTCGACCCGAACGTGCAATTTGTGTAAAAGTCGTCGTTGCGGGCAGCAAACAAAACACAGTAAATCGTGATGTAATAGCAGGAGAGTTGAGGCTACAAGGCAAGTAATTTGATTTCTCTCACATTAAAAGTTGATTTCATGAAAAAAAGTCAAATTCATCCAATGTCTAAGCATATTGTCTAATGGACCATTATCATGTCGCGGCCATCTTGATTTTTTGACATTCAAATCAACGTAACCAAAGCGAGGCAGGAAGGAGCAATAGTCTGGTTCCCTTTTGGGAAAAAAAAAAACAATTATCATTCATTACTGCCACTGGATACAGGGAACATGACTGAAATGGTGGCAGCATGAAAATGGTCTGTATGAGTGGTGAAAAGGGTTTATATGAGTGGTGAAAAAGGTCTATAGATATGAGTGGAAGTTAAACCAACCTGTGCAATGCCTCCCTGCTCGTACAGCATTATATGTGACTGGTCGCCTAGCAACACCTCCTCCCCGCGACCTTGGCAGTGGGCCAATACTGGAGGGCAACACACGTTCAAACAAATCTGTTAACATTTTCTTACTAATGCTCAGTTTCTTTACGTTTTCTGAGTAAGAACTTCGGTTCAGAAAGAACCTGCTTGCTTTAGGGTGAACAGGGAAAAATACTCTGCTTATTAGAGTTGGACATATTAAACCAAAAGATTAACCCTAGAGATTTCAGTTTATGGAGTGTTATGGTGTCAGGGGCGGATCAAGGAACTTTTTGTGGATCCGCGCTTGTTACTGTTATTTCAACAGTTGAAAAATGGATCAGTTAAAACTGATTTTAGCTCCCAAGAATATGAAATGTATACGCTGGTTACAGGAGAATTAAAAAAAATTCTTGATGTTGATTGAAACTCCTTCTCTGGCTGGCAAATTCAGCTTTGCCATCACAGCAGTCAAAATCAATCAAGTGACTGTTTTTAACAGTTTAGAACTTGTTAATTTGATATAGCCATGCTTTGACTGGAGGTGATTGATATGCCAGTTGTACCAACCAGTTACCTCTTTTGTCTGTTGATGGAATTTGACTCGTCACAGTGTTTACTCGAATATGATATGACTGGTTTTTTTTACTAGCCTGTATACAAATGCATGGCAAAGGGAAGTGGAAGAAATGTTTGACTGTCTGCGAAAGATCAAACAATAGGAGGGTACATGATAATTATCATAAATTTATATTTCTCACTAGCGAGGAGATTTGACATGGTCCCTGATGGCACAAACAACGCGGCATCCTTCTTAAGCATCTTGGCCATTGTTTCCTCAAGTTCTGCAAAAAGACACATGAAAGAGTCTGAGTATATACACACAGTCACAAAGAATAAACATGATTTACACACACAGCAACAGGCATGGTTGTTTTACATTCGCTATGTGGACATTCCTTTGCTTTCATGTAGTTAAGAAAACTCGGTACAAAAAATAATTTACTTTAACTGTGAAAACTCTTTCAACCCAATTATTTTTCCACGATTCCCTTTAGTGTTTCTCTTCATTTTGTCACAGATAAACCTAACCCCAAAATGCCTCTGAACCTGTTTTCCAGAGAGGGCGAAACGTTATGTGGACACGGCTTACATGGCTTAGTCCACATAACGTCAACACAACCTGCATTATGTGGACACGTTTGTTCACAAGTCCACATAGTGAATGTAAGACAAACTCATGTGTATCACATAGAAATGCACCTTCCCCCTTCTTTAATCAGTTTCAACAATACACTGACCACATGTTTTAGACCTCTTTAAACTCTTTCTTGATTTTTCATTGCACTTCACTGCGATCGGCTATACCGGTATTATTTGTCAATTTCTTGAATTAACTTGTTATTTTTTTAAAATATCGAAGCCACCACATACAAATTACAAAAGAACTCTCTCAAACCGAGTAGCCCTGATATCTGACCTACATTTGTACCACACTTAAATAAAAACAAACCAAAAAAATGAGCAATTGTCTGATGAACACAGGTCAGTCCTTCATTAGAAATAGGAAACTCTTAAGGGTATCCTGTTAAATGGCATGATGAGAACCTTGACGGTTTGACCTCAATTAAGCCAAGAGATTAGGTCAAACTTTCACACATACATGGTGTAAGGCAAATACAGCTTGGCAGTGTCCCCATTCAAGCACACTTCAGGGTTCGACCTTAAAGCTATAGTCCATCATTTGCAGCAATCCAAAAAGTGACCGACGTAATTAGTGTTGAAAAACATACTTGGTTGAACGATAGTAAGGGGACTAAACTCCCTGTGAAATTATTCTTTCTGGCATGCTGTCATCTTGAAGAAATCAGTGAAAGAAGGCCTTTCCAACAGTGCTTCTTAAGACACACCGTAGGAAATTCAAATTAGTAGTTCTTTTTGTTATTCGGCGAAGCACGCGCAAGCGCGACACACGTGTGGTTGTTTTAATTCGTCGGATCAGTGCGCAACATCACGTAGCTGCATTCGGCTTTTTTTTTTATTACTTAAATAAAAAAAAAAAACCCAAAAAATGAGCAATTGTCTGATGAACACGGGTCAGTCCTTCATCAGAAATAGGAAACTCTTAGAATATCCTGTTAAATGGCCTGATGAGAACCTTGACGGTTTGACCTCAATTAAGCCAAGAGATTAGGTCAAACTTTCACACATAAGGCAAATACAGCTTGGCAGTGTCCCAATTCAAGCACACTTCAGGGTTCGACCTTAACTTTTTTTTTCTCACTAGCCAGCGGGGCTACTGAGTTTACTGAAACAGACTCTTTTCTAACCCGCAGGCATTTTCACTAGCCGGCATGTTTTTCTTTTATAGAGTGTCTCATACATCCTGAGGCAATATTGTCAGTGTTTTTAATGGACAGATCTAATAACTTAACCCTAAGGGGCCATTCAAAATTTTCGATGTTTTTAAATTGCAATTTTTTTTTGAAATTTTTTTGACCCACCCACCCCAATGTTCGCATATGGTGCTCCGATGGACGTATGTACACAAACGTGTATGTACATGTACATGGTACTTTGTACATGTACTGGATGCATACTGTACCCGAACGCTACGCGCAAAGGGTTTACGAATCGGAATGCAGAGAGTTGAATTGGCAAGTCAAAACAGCTTTTATTTTCTATTTTCTATTTTTTTAATTGAAAAAAGTGAATTTGTTTTACAATAATTTCAATAAATTAATTTGACTGACCCACCCACCCACATTTTCGAGAAAAAATTGATACCGGTTTGCTTTCTGAATTTGATGATTTATTTCTTCCTGTCGTTTTATATTTGCCGTAGCCTAATAATTTTTAACTCGCCAGCCAGGCTACTTAAGGAATAAATTGACTAGTCTGTTGTTGTTTCGACTAGCATTTGGCTAGCGGGCTACTAAAGTAGAACCCTGCGCTACTTGTAGTTTTAATGTCACCCCCTCAAAAAAAAAATACACAAAAAACACACACACACACACACACACACACACAAAACTGCAGCCCAAACCATATTTCTTTTTTGAACACACTATGTGTACGACCATAGACAAGTATGCATCCAGAAAATAACCAAATATAAATTTCATGGGAACCTCCACAAAGGGAAATTTCATACCCTTATCGTAATTAAATTGAATATTATCATCCTTGAACAGGTTTCTGGGAGTAAAAATTACAAAAAGACCAACCGGTAATTGAAATTAGCATTGGACAAAATAATTTTGGAAATATATTGGCGTATCTAATTTCTAGCATGTCATTTGCAGCACACGCACAGATTGTCAAGGACGTCACTTTCTCATTTAGCAGACAGAAACAAATGGGTTACGTCATCTGGTTGCAAAATAAGAATTCACCATAACCCCAAAGAATTAAATTGGGGTAAAACACCATACATTTGTTTTGTATGCTACAATATACTCTCTTGTGTCTGCACCAGCAAAACGAACTACATGTTCAAAGTAAAACATTATTTTTGCAAGGTGTACAAATAGCCAAATGCTAAGTCTATCGCAATGTTGATTAGTGTTGAACTTGAGATGACTTGATAAACATGTACATGTGCTAAGTGCTTACTTTTCACAGTCGGGTCATCGCCCCAAACATCGTCGCCAACTTCTGCTTCAAACATGGCCTTCCTCATGTCGGCACAGGGCTTGGTGACCGTGTCACTCCGGAAATCCACCACGTATGCCATGACGTTCTGAACATCAAGTCCAAAATGGAGAATAGTAATTAATGCAGTATCATATATTATTATTTAAATCAAGCTTCCAGTTGTAAAAATAAATCAGCGTATTGCATACCTTTGTTAAAAGTACCCGGATGACTGCAACCGGATGACTGCAACATTATGTCCCTACTAAAAGTACCCCGATGAGGACAATATTAGTTCTTATTATATTATTAAACGTTATCCCAATTTGTTTCCCTGGTTCCTGCACAATCCAGAGCGTAGAAACTCACAGTTGTTAACCATTGTTAACCAGTCAACAGAGCGTACTGCAGTGTTGTAGGACTCGAGTCCAGGACTCGACTCGAGTCACATAGGAAAATGACTGAGACTCGGACTGGGACTTGACCATGATGACTCGGACTCGAGCTTGGTGACTTGTGACTCGAGTCACGTATTTTCATCAAAAGAAAAAACATAACATTGAGTATTTGTGCGACGAACGTAGCATTCTTTTTTACTCCATAAACAAAACACGGTGCCGCGGAAAATCTTATCCAGGGGCCGCGCACCCACGCCTAGCGCCTACACGACGAGCACCAGGGCCAGGTGTCATGCCAAAAAGTGTTTCGTAACATGCAGGGAAGAGATGGAGGAGGATTTTTTTAGGGATGGGAATTAAAAGGAAAACACACTTTGGGTCTAAACAACATGTACACACACAAGGTAAACTATATACACTGGGATTTACTTAAAAGACAGAATGGATGATTGTAAAATAATTTTAACATTGATTAGTTTGGTGAACAACTAAGACCAAGTGACTCGTGACTCGGACTCGAGGCTTGTGACTCCAGACTTGGACTCGGACTTGAGGTTTGTGACTCGAGACTCGGACTAGGACTTGACGTTGGTGACTCAACTACAACACTGGTGTACGGCAAGGTACCGTCGCACGAGGACACAGTGTGCAGCAGGGTATACCTGCACATGTCAACAAAATTTGCTTTGGAAAGCGAAGAATATTCAACGAAATTTATTTCTTGCGGATTAAGTCAGCCTGATATAAATAATAATATTGGATGTTTTTTTTATGGGGGATATAAGAATATATTGCACTCACTATAACAATATATTCTTATATCCCCTTCAAAGCCATCCGATATTGTATAAATATTCAGAATATACATGTTTGCGACGTGATCTGAGAAAATCTGTTGGATGATAGTGACTTTGATTTTTCAGTACTGCGCAAAAAAGTCCAGACAACATTCCAATAAAATTGAATTTCTATTTGGATGCCTTACATACGTACATTTGGCTTTAATTTAATTAAAATGAAGTAAAAACCAACTAAGCTTTTGATGAAAATTCTGTTCAATGACAGACTTCATTTTGAATCTGACTATTATGTTTTAGTAAGTTGATTTCTGGTTTATTTTCATTTGAGTAGAACTTCAGTTGCAAAGGTTGGTGAGGAAATAATTTAAACAATTCTAGACAGAGGTGCATTTGTACATGTGCATGTAGGTAAGTCATCTAAGACTCTTAATTAAACAGAAAATACTTGGGATAAAAGCTACTTCACTTTACTTTTTTCGTGGTTGTTGTCATGTAAAGATTTATGTTTTCTTTCTGGTTGGTGGTAGTCAATGGAAGATTTCACACAATGTATAGCCTCATCCTTGGCCCTTATAGGGTTCAACCACAGGTCAGTTCAACCACAGGTCAAAACATTTAAGAAACATTTTACCTCAAAACCACACGGAAATGTTCAAGGTTTAATATTTCAGCTGAAGTAGAACTTTGTCCTAAATTGAGTTGGAGTTTTTGTCAGAGACCCATGTCAAAGTCAGAGCCGAAACCTATGTTTCGAAAACCACAACAGTTCAACTACAAAAATATGGTGACTTCTTGAGTGGTTTCTGAAAGTACCTTGCAGACCAGTAGTGCCTTGATGACAGATTCATAGTGATCAGATATTTTGGAGGGATTTATTGCAATCTCCAAAGGTCATGACCCCATACCCCCCACAATCTACATTTCTTTCATCAGCAACGATAGGCCTATGCTTGCATGGATAAGAGGACTTTTTGTTGAGATGAATTTGTGGGAATGCCACACACCAAGGTTCATACTACATTCTTGGCCAATCTTGCATGGAGTGGAATTGGACCAGTTTCCACGATGACAGTGCACACTGCCCGCCATTATGGTTGATGTGAATGCCACCACAACACACACGGAGGTCATGAACACAAAAATTATCAAAAAAACTTTGCCCTGTTTTTATTGCCCAATCCAAAAAAAATTGAAAGAATTTTTATTAAAGTTGTGAACTCACGATGATTCAGCACTTCCTTGTTTTTTGTTTTGTTTTTCAGTGCAATGTTTTGTTTTTTTTCTTCCCTGCAATGTTGTCTCTGGTCTAAGCCGTGGACAGTATTGTTAACGAGTTTTACCAACTTAATGTAATTAACGTAAGTTTTTAATTACGTTAAATCACAGCAAAGCATGCTGGAGCAGAAGTTGTTGCATAGTACATACTTTATCAGTCCGAAAATTTGGGACTCTCAATACTGTGTATGAGAGTCCCAAAACTTGAGGTATTGAAAACATGCAAAACAAGAAAATAGACTGGCACCTGAAACAACCAGTCCAACACAGCCTCAGTACTGCATCAATCAACCATGCCAAAAGAATTTAAGAAACATGTGGCATGAAGCGGGAACTAGTCTCAATTTACTACACATTTCTCCATAGTCAAGCCAGCAGACTACTGACACTGAATGAAGCGGTCAGTCTTTTCAAATAGTTGGACCATGGTTGGACATGTACCAGTCTAGTATTTAGCCCCATTTTGAAATCAGTTGACTTCCCTCTCATGTGTAAAATATTGAAGAGAAGTCTCCTTTAAAAATTGAATTGAGTTTGCAAACTTGGTTGGTGAAATACTGAGGACATTTTCTTTGCCCCAGTGAAATTTTTGGAGAAATTTGTTGGCTTAACTGTGAGTAAAGTGGGCCTGATTTAGATTTGCACGTTTCAGAGCACTCCAGAGGGAAAGATTTCCATATACGAAGTTCACTCAACACCCTGTGTACAAACCCTATGAGATTGGACTGAAACATTCTAAGTGTTTTCTAAGAAAATGCTTGTATTTTCTCACTGCTCAAATTGACTTTGATGACATGAAATCGCTATCTGGGGGCTTGTTAGTCAATACAGAGGAAAATTAGTGAACTTCGTATATATATGGAAATCTTTCCCTCCAGAGCCCTGATACTTCATATAAGCAACAAACACTAGCAGTCTTGAAAGGTGCGGATTACCAAGATAACATTCCAACAGGAATATTTCTTTGGACCGTGCTTACGGTTAGCTTGAGTAACGGAAAGATTCCCATATCTGGCCATCACTTGTCACCCTGTGCACAAACCGTATGAGAGTTGAGACTGGTCTGAAAATTTTTAAGTGTTTTCTCAGTAAATACTTCAATATTTTCCCTGCTAAATTTGATTCTTTACTGACATATTATCACTTTCTGATGGCTGATGGGTCCCTGAAGGGAACACTTAGTGATGGTCAGATATATGGGAATCTTTCCACTTATAATTCCAGGCTCTATTGATTTGTTTGCACTGAGTCAACTGGCCATGGTGGCCAAATAGCACGGAGTTGAGTCCAGTGCGTGGCCGGCCATCATGTAGCCCAGGTTGGACGACGTCTTTGTCACGCCCCAACTATCGCATCGGTCCCAACTATAGTTGGGACTGTCCCAACTATAGTTAGGTCTGGAGTTGCGCCGGATGCTTCATGCTTGATAGATCTTGTTGGATTAAAATGTTCCGCGGCGCTGGCACCGTGTATTCGTCGTGCATGTGTAACCCAGAAAAATGGAACAAAGGAATTGGACCTAGGATCTCTAGAAAATCGCGAGGAAAATTAAGTTGGCAAAGAGACAGAGATTCAAGAGCTATCACTGGAACGCATTTATTTCTCCTGAACGACAATTAAAAAAAACAAACTAAACCAAAAATAAAATTATGAGACTCGAAGAACAACCGATTTTGTACCTGACGCTCGACCAACCTTGATGTTCTCCTAACCAAACAAATGTAAATGACCTTTTACTTTCCCTAAAGATAAAAAAAACCTGCTATGAACCAAAAACCTCAGTATAATGATCACAACTGAAACTAAGTAAATGAAGCAAAATAGACTAAAAAAATCTAAAATGACACGAACCAATAGACAAAAAAAACAACTCAATCACTTCAAGCCATAAACCAACCAAAAACCATAAACCAGATAAAAAATAAAGACACCAACAACTAAAACCTAGAACGAAGATTTAAAATTAAAACCAACAATAAAAACCTAAGATTTAAAACCAACTAAAATTAAAACCAATACAGCATCAAAAGAAGGTCATAAATCGAAAACAACAGCTTAAACAACCTGTAGAAATAATAAAAAACGCAAAGTAAGTATAGAATTAAATGAGTACATTATAAATCCTAATAATAACTAGGCCAACCTAAAACAGGTGCTCTATTCTGGCAATACCACACACTCATCCTTATCAATGTGATTAAGAACTTCTAACCACTGCATAAACAATCAACAGTGCTGAGTTGCCACAAGCATAGTTATGTGTGCTCCAGGTAACAACACTAACTTTCTTGTGCATACTAATGAGTCTTGCCTTGTCCATGTGCTTATCTCCAAGGTCATCTACTAGGCTCTGTGGCCAAATCCAGCCACCCAGGCTGTCAGCTAGAGAGTTTACAAGTCACTTAGCACTTCTTGCATACGTACACTGGGGAACCACTATGCCTTAATTATTACCACAAAACATACAAAGCATTTCATCAACCAACTGCTCAGTGGACTAGGCAAAGTCTAAGGCCCTGTTATCTTAACTGGTGGTCAACCTGCTAAAAATAAGACACTGTGGCTGGGCAATGTCCCTTCAGTAAAGTAAAGAAATGCATCATACATGTGCACAAGTAGGGACTCATTATACAGAATAAATGGCAAGTGAAGGATTTACTTCCAACTATCTAAATTCTAACACTATTGGTTAAATAAAAAATCCAGCTATGTAAAAGATGAAATACACCTGTGCAAAACTTAAAAGATCACTTGTTTTTCTTCTCAAGTTCTCATACAACGAAAAAGTAAAGTTGTAAACCATGGGACTAACCATCGGATACGACATACATGTAGTATAATGCACAAAAATACATCGCGCAAAAGTAACTCTCTTGTGAATCAATCTTAAACTCCAAGTGTACTTGAACTTCACACTCCGTATAACAAGAAAAGAACGAGGAAATTTCAATCTCAGGTCACAAGAACAAAAGTACCAATTGGATCACTAAATATTTATCTATTAAATGTACTTTCACTTCTTAGTTAACAAAACAACAGAAACTTGAGCTTACCGAATCCAGCAGCAGACCAAACTTTCAGGGTAGAAAAGCCATAGATTTTCAAGGGAATCTGCAGAGCAAAACTAAATGATGCTGCCCTGCCTTCTACCAGTCTGCAAAATGAGGCATGGACCACATGGTCTCACAGATAAGGGGGTCTCTGTTCTGGACAGGATGTTTACTCTATCCAGGGGGCGTACACTACTATCCTCCTACAGCACTGCTATTACTTTACTGTGTCATAAACTTCTACTTAATTAACTTAAGAGGGCTACAACACAAACTAAGTGTATGCAAGTCAGGGGGAGGGACTCCTATGTTGAAAACCAAAAGCTAATGCAAGTTAACTATGTGGCCCTGCCACACACTCGCCAACTAAAATACATTGCTATCCTTAGCAATGGCGCAAGGAGAGTGTCAAGACTTATTACTAGAATCCTCGAAAATTGTGACCACTATGGGCATAATTCATTAACTATTCACTGCCAGTCTCCAAACCTGCGAGGCGGACGGATGCTTCTCTTTGGTCGTCGGCTGGTCCTCACCTCCAATACACTGTCAGAACTAGCGGAGCTATCAGTGGACACTTCAGACTCATCAGCTGTACTGCTACCATAGGATGACTCTGGTTCTTCATCCTGCAACTGATGTAGGGGTGGGGGTAGATGGAGATGCGGAGGATAATCTTCATCCTGGAACTGTGGAGGGGGTTGAAGTAGATGAACCTGAGGTCCGTCCACATCTTGGGACTGCGGAAGTGGTGGAAGTAGACCCTCATCTGTTTCATCCTCTACCTCGAAAGGACAAATGGCCAGTAGGTCTCGATGTAGATTTCTTGTCTTCGTAGATCCACGTTGCTGAATGGTATACACTGGCAAGTCTCCCAGTTGCCTAAGGACGATGTAAGGTATTTCCTCCCATTTGTCTCTCAGCTTACCTCTGCCTCTTGGTGTTTTGTTGGCGACAAGGACTCGATCTCCTGGCTGAAGTTCTCTCTCGGTTCCATGAATCTTTTTGTCATAGTTCAACTTTTGCTTGTGCTGTGCCTTCTCGGTTGCGAGCTTCACCTTTTCGCTGGCATTCCGGAGGTGTTTCTGCATCTGCTGGACGTACAGGGACTGGGGACGGTTCTCCTCTGACTCTGGCTCCCCTGGAGTTACAAGGTCCACGGGTAGCCTAGGTTCCCTCAAGAACATCAGATAGAATGGACTATAGCCTGTTGTCTCATGTCTCGTACTATTGTAGGCATAAGTCATCGACTGCAAGTGCATCGCCCAGTTAGGCTTCTGGTCAGGTTCAAGGGTTCCCATCATAGACAATAGCGTCCGGTTGAAACGTTCCGTCATGCCGTTGCCTTGGGGGTGGTAGGGAGACGTTTTACTTTTCACAGTACCGAGGAGATTACACAGCTCCTTCACTATAGCTGATTCAAAACATCTCCCCTGATCAGAGTGAATACGTTCAGGGATGCCGTAGTTCTTGATATACTTCTCCCATAAGACTCGTGCCACTGTATTTGCAGTCTCATCTCTCGTCGCGTACGCCTGTGCATACCGGGTGTAGTGGTCTGTCACTACCAGGATGTGTTCGAAACCACCTTTCGACCTCTCCAGTGACAAGAAGTCTATACAGACCAACTCTAATGGTCGGGTTGTCTGGATGCTCTGAAGGGGTGCTTGTCGCCGAGTGTCCGGTAGTTTCCTTAGGGCACATCGCTTGCACTTCCCGACATATGCCTTCGTTTCAGAATATAAGCCGGGCCAGAAGTAACGGTCTCGTACTAGCTGGACTGTCTTCTCGAATCCAAGATGTCCCATCTTGTCATGGAGATGTTTCAGGACCTGGGGTCGCAGTGACTTCGAGGGGATGGGCAGATAGTTGTCTCTATCCTCTGTGATATGGACGTAGAACAGTGCACCGTCTTTCACTTGAAGGTTATCCCATGACCTCAACAATCTGCGGACTGCAGGAGCTTCAGCCTTCATCTGCCTCTTACTTGGCCTAGACTTTCGTGTCAACTTAAGAGTTGTCACACGACTGATGTCCAAGTCCTGCTGTGTCATTGCTACACCTGGTATCTGTTCAAGTACAGTTCCCACTGTTGCATGCTCCCTGGCCTCAGGCCCTTCAGACACGTCACATGACCCAGAGGAAGCACATTCTTCAGAGTACGTACGCTCCGCCATTGAAGTGCTCGGGTCTCCTTCCTGAGGAACCATCTGCTGAGCTGCTATTGGATGTTGAGTAGTCTCCTTGTCTACCTCATCAACTGCATTCAGGATCTGTTGTACATCATTCCTGGGGATTCTGGACAATGCATCGGCATTTGCATTCAGTTTGCCTGGTCTATACACAATGCTGAGGTTGTACTGGGCGAGGTCACTAATCCAACGATGACTATGGGCATCTAACTTGGCCTTCTTCAACACATACGTGAGCGGATTGTTGTCCGTCATAGCAGTCACCTCGTTACCATACAGATAGTCCTTGAACTTATCTGTCACCGCCCAGTGAAGTGCCTTGAACTCCATCTTGTGTGCTGGATATTTCCTTTCGGCGGCGGACAGAGAGCGGCTAGCATATGCAAGCACTCGCTCCTTGCCTTCTTGTGTCTGCGTCAGAACTGCTCCTAGACCGTCTCTGGAGGCATCAGTCTGCACTGTAAATGGGAGGCTGTAATCAGCGTACGCCAAGATGGGTGCAGAGATCAGCTTAGACATCAGTGTGGTGAAGGCCTCTTGACACTCAGTGGTCCAGACAAAAGTTGGCTCCTTGCCACCTCGTTTTCCCCCAGTTAAGGCGAAGAGAGGAGCTGCTATATTGGCATAGTGTTGGATGAACTTCCGATAATAGCCAGTCATCCCCAAGAAGCTCCTGACACCTCTCCTACACGTGGGTACAGGCCAACTCTTCATGATGGAGACCTTTTCAGGATCCGTGGCAATCCCCTTGGCAGACACTATATGGCCTAAGTATCGAACCTCGGTCCTGAACAGTTGGCACTTAGAGGGTTTCAACTTTAGTCCATGTTCTCTCAGCCGAGCAAAGACCTTGCCTAGACGTTCCATGTGTTCCTCTATGGTGCTGCTGAAAACCACTATATCATCAAGGTATATGAGGAGACTCTCGAAAGTCATGTCACCAAATACAGTGGACATTAACCTTTGGAACGTAGCTGGAGCATTAACAAGGCCAAAGGGCATGCGGGTATACTCATACAACCCCATGGGAGACGTGAATGCTGTCTTCGGCTGATCCTTTGGTGCCATTTTCACCTGGTGGTAGCCGGACGTGAGGTCTAGGCATGAAAAGTACCTTGCCTTCCCAAGGGCATCAAGGGCCTCGTCAATCCTTGGGAGTGGGAATGCATCCCTGGTGGTTCTGGAATTCAGCTTCCGATAATCGACACACAGGCGAATCGTTCCATCCTTCTTCTCTACCACAACTATGGGGGACGCAAAAGGGCTCTGGCTATGTCGAACTATTCCTGCCTCCTTAAGCTCTTCAATGTGGCTTCTTACCGCTTGGTACTGGGCTGGGGGAATTCTCCGGTAGGGGAGCCTGAATGGAGTTGGGTCACTCAGTGGTATTTCATGTTCCACTGTGGTAGTCGAACCCACATCTAAGTGCCCCTTGGAGAACACATCTGCATTCTGAGATAGAAGCACGTCGACAGCCTTCTTCTGAGATGGGGTCAAGTCAGCACCCTGCAGATCAACCTCTGGCACTGGGCTGGTGTCGACAGCAACTTGTTCCATGATGACTGTCTCTTTCTCATTTTGCACTGCCGCTGGACTGACCAACTTGAAGCAGGAGAGGGTCGCTACCTTTGAATTTCTCCGGAGAGTCATCCGGTGATCAGACAAATTGCAGAGTTGGACTGACACCCTGGAGCCCTGCACCTGAACCAGTGTGCGGCCTACTGCCAGCTCCTTAGTGAGGCTGTTGTCTAACATGGCAGTGATACTTCTTTTGCGCACAGACTTTGGTAGCCATGCCTGAACAGCAACTTTCTCTCCAGGTGACAAGTCCAGCGCATGTCTGCCTGCATATCTACAAATGCCAATGTCTCCATTCTCCTTAGCAAGGTCTGCCCCATCTTCATTGACAACCTGGAAAGCCTGGAACCACTTGGGGGACAACCGTTGCGTTTTCTCCATGAACTTCAACCCATGAGAGCCCTTCATCCTGTCCCGACTGGCACGTATGACATTGGTGCCAATGAGTACAGGGGTGTCAAGGCGGAACGAAGTTGCCGGAACAACAAAGGCCGGAACCCCTCGGATATGTTGACCCATAACATGTACATCGACCGTTATGACTCCTAGGTGTTGGACAACTTGTCCTCCGGCTCCTAAAATGGACACGTCGGAGGTACGGAGTGGTTGGAGTCTGAGCTCAGGATATCTCTGGATGAATTCATTGGTCACCGTGGTTACTTGCGAACCTGTATCTATTAATGCGAAACAATGAATTCCAGAGAACCCAATCTCTGTTCTGTTGACAGGCCCAGCTTCTGGTATCTCAGCTGTCCTCTCCACACCACTCGTTCGGTCCTCTTTCACATGGCTATTGATGGATGTATATGTATTAGTGTTAAGTGGGCTCTTCCCTGTTAAACCCGCCGACTGCCCTACATCCGCAGGTTTTGTCCGTTTAACATAGGCTGAGTGGTGGGGGCCTGCTGCTGCTGTGGTTGCTCACTGTGGTTAAGCTGGGGGCAATTTCTTGCTAGATGTCGGCGATCTCCACAGTTGAAACATCCAGTATATGGGGGTTTGCCCGATTGGGGCTGACGGGTGGGCTGATGTTGGAAAACAGCACCCTCTAGTCGTGCAAGGCGTTGACCATGTTGGCGTTGCTCCTGGAGAACTCTGTCTAAGGCCTCCATCTGACCACGATGCATCCCCTTCATCTCCTCCAGTTGTTGCGTCATGAGTTGCTGGATTATCGGAGTGTTGGGGTCGTTTGGCCCGAGTGGGACCGGGACAACCTCCTTCACGGGTTGGGCTGGCCCCTTTACGTCTTTACCCAGGGCCTTAACTTGGGGCAGGCTTTGAGCCACCTCGCTCATTGAGAAGGACGTCTGCTGTCGTCTGAGGTCTGCTGCCTGCCTCTCCTCTTCTTCAATAATGTGAAGTTCCCGGCGCACGTCCCGGAAGGCCATAAACCTCGGTTGCATCGGCGCCAATCTCTGCTTGTAGTGTAGGTTCTTCAAACCCACCATGAACTGGGTTGCCAACATCTTGTCTCGGCTCTCTTCCTCGGACTTCTGTCCCCGGCGCCGCCTCGTCTCTTCAACCTCCCTCAAGGTCGATTCCAATCCAATGGCGAACTCCATTGGGGTTTCGTTTCCCCGCTGCACCCTGGCGTAAAATTTGGCCACGGGAGACAGGGCACTTTTGTCTTCCCCGTATTCTTCCAGCAGCTCGACGAAGGCTTTCTCCGCGTCTAGACCCTCTGGTGTCCTACTCTCAAGGTTCAGCAGCACATCTCTCGCTTTTCCTCCTGTGTGGCTGACAGCCTCATGAAACTGGAGGATCCCTGGGGCTGTCCCCTTGCATCCAAGGAGGAACCGCATATCCCGGATCCAGTCCTCCAGTCGGGGGCCGTGTCGCTCCTTCCCGCTAAATGTTGGCACGCTCTTGACCTGATGCGTGGTCAACATCCTTGGAGCTCCCTGTCCTCTCTGCTCTGCCGCGGTGTGGAGTGGATCTAGACCAGCAAGACGTAGAGGGGACACTCCTTCTGATGGAGGAACCAAATGTGGGTACTGACGGTGTGCTCCTTCCATGTTCGGTGATTGACCAAGCCCAGGAGTAACTGCGTATGTTGTCTGGGGCGTCAGTTGCGGAGGGGTATCCGATATCAGGTGAGCTGTTCGGTGCTGGTTCGGCGTCTGCGTCATTGCAATCAATATACTCCCAACTCTCGACACTGTATTGGTTTTCCCTAACTATGACCTGTCTCTGTGTCCTACCTTAAAAATTCCTGGCTAAGTTATATAAAAAAACAGTGCACTAGTACCCGGATTCTCCACCTAAAAGAAAAAAAATGTAACCCAGAAAAATGGAACAAAGGAATTGGACCTAGGATCTCTAGAAAATCGCGAGGAAAATTAAGTTGGCAAAGAGACAGAGATTCAAGAGCTATCACTGGAACGCATTTATTTCTCCTGAACGACAATTAAAAAAAACAAACTAAACCAAAAATAAAATTATGAGACTCGAAGAACAACCGATTTTGTACCTGACGCTCGACCAACCTTGATGTTCTCCTAACCAAACAAATGTAAATGACCTTTTACTTTCCCTAAAGATAAAAAAAACCTGCTATGAACCAAAAACCTCAGTATAATGATCACAACTGAAACTAAGTAAATGAAGCAAAATAGACTAAAAAAATCTAAAATGACACGAACCAATAGACAAAAAAAACAACTCAATCACTTCAAGCCATAAACCAACCAAAAACCATAAACCAGATAAAAAATAAAGACACCAACAACTAAAACCTAGAACGAAGATTTAAAATTAAAACCAACAATAAAAACCTAAGATTTAAAACCAACTAAAATTAAAACCAATACAGCATCAAAAGAAGGTCATAAATCGAAAACAACAGCTTAAACAACCTGTAGAAATAATAAAAAACGCAAAGTAAGTATAGAATTAAATGAGTACATTATAAATCCTAATAATAACTAGGCCAACCTAAAACAGGTGCTCTATTCTGGCAATACCACACACTCATCCTTATCAATGTGATTAAGAACTTCTAACCACTGCATAAACAATCAACAGTGCTGAGTTGCCACAAGCATAGTTATGTGTGCTCCAGGTAACAACACTAACTTTCTTGTGCATACTAATGAGTCTTGCCTTGTCCATGTGCTTATCTCCAAGGTCATCTACTAGGCTCTGTGGCCAAATCCAGCCACCCAGGCTGTCAGCTAGAGAGTTTACAAGTCACTTAGCACTTCTTGCATACGTACACTGGGGAACCACTATGCCTTAATTATTACCACAAAACATACAAAGCATTTCATCAACCAACTGCTCAGTGGACTAGGCAAAGTCTAAGGCCCTGTTATCTTAACTGGTGGTCAACCTGCTAAAAATAAGACACTGTGGCTGGGCAATGTCCCTTCAGTAAAGTAAAGAAATGCATCATACATGTGCACAAGTAGGGACTCATTATACAGAATAAATGGCAAGTGAAGGATTTACTTCCAACTATCTAAATTCTAACACTATTGGTTAAATAAAAAATCCAGCTATGTAAAAGATGAAATACACCTGTGCAAAACTTAAAAGATCACTTGTTTTTCTTCTCAAGTTCTCATACAACGAAAAAGTAAAGTTGTAAACCATGGGACTAACCATCGGATACGACATACATGTAGTATAATGCACAAAAATACATCGCGCAAAAGTAACTCTCTTGTGAATCAATCTTAAACTCCAAGTGTACTTGAACTTCACACTCCGTATAACAAGAAAAGAACGAGGAAATTTCAATCTCAGGTCACAAGAACAAAAGTACCAATTGGATCACTAAATATTTATCTATTAAATGTACTTTCACTTCTTAGTTAACAAAACAACAGAAACTTGAGCTTACCGAATCCAGCAGCAGACCAAACTTTCAGGGTAGAAAAGCCATAGATTTTCAAGGGAATCTGCAGAGCAAAACTAAATGATGCTGCCCTGCCTTCTACCAGTCTGCAAAATGAGGCATGGACCACATGGTCTCACAGATAAGGGGGTCTCTGTTCTGGACAGGATGTTTACTCTATCCAGGGGGCGTACACTACTATCCTCCTACAGCACTGCTATTACTTTACTGTGTCATAAACTTCTACTTAATTAACTTAAGAGGGCTACAACACAAACTAAGTGTATGCAAGTCAGGGGGAGGGACTCCTATGTTGAAAACCAAAAGCTAATGCAAGTTAACTATGTGGCCCTGCCACACATGCATGCCGCAAGGCTGGCCGGTCACGTGGTACTGCCTAGTTGGATGAGTTGTCCAGCTGCTGGGTTTTATTATCCAGCAACATTTAGCAAAATTCAAAGATTGCCATTGCCGGCCAACTATAGATGGGCCCCACCCATAGCTAATGTCAAAGGTCCCAAGTCGGACATGTAAGCAGAGCTGTAGAGAATGTTTTATAGTCGTACAACTATAGTTGGGACTGCCAAATAAAAATATTGCGGTGGCCCAACTACAGATGGTCCACACCTATATATCATTTCATTGGTCCCAAGTAAAGTCAGATGTGTATTAGAGTTGTAGGGAATGTTTTATAATCGTACAACATAACAATGTACACTATAGTTGGGACCGCAAAATAAAAAGATTGGGGTGGCCCAACTATAGATTGACCCCATCAATAGCTAATTTCAGTGGTCCCCAGTAAAGTCAGACGTGTATCAGAGCTGTAGGGAACGTTTTATGGTTGTACATCAATGTAAACTATAGTTGGGACACCGCAAAATAAAAAGATCGGAGTGGCCCAACTATAGATGGGCCAGCCCAACTTACTTACTTACAGGTACTTACAGGTCCTCTTCTGATGACAGGCCTTGTGTGGCCTCTAGGATCAGATCTTCATAAATACTAGATTTGAGTTCTGTTGTGCGCAAGCCTAGTGTGGAGGTGGATACTGGGGTGTCTATGTCATATTTAAAGGGGTGTGAAGCCCACATCTTATCCAATCTGCCCTCAAAGGACTTTGTACTAGGAGCTGAAACCACAACTTCTGGTAGGCTATTCCATGTGTCAGTACATCGATGCACAAAGGAGTACTTTCTGACATCCAACCTTGTCCGGACCTTGTTTATCTTATACTGATGGCCTCTGGTCACACTGGAGCTTAGGGGGATGAAATTGGAGACGTCGTTGTCATACTTTCCACTAAGTATTTTGTACATTTCTATCATATCTCCTCGTATGCGCCGATAGGCCAAGGTTGGTAGTTTGAGATGTTTTAGCCTTCCCTCGTATGACATGTCCTTGAGACCTGGGATAAGTTTGGTTGCTCGTCGCTGTACATTCTCCATTTCGATTATATGTTTCTTGTGACGTGGTGCCCAAACTTGGTTGGCATACTCGAGATGAGGTCTTACCAGAGCTTTATACAACAACAGGAAACTATCCTCATCCAAATGGTCGTACGTTCTTCTAATTAGACCCATGATTGAATTTGCTTTATTTATCTTTATAGACAGGTGACTTCCAAAGGATAGTTTATTGTCGATGATGACCCCAATGTCCTTTTCTTCCTTGACTTGCTTCAGTGGGTGTCTGTTCTCTCCCATGGTATATTGTTGATCTTCTACTTTGGTTTTTCCGATCCTCATAGTGCTACATGGAACTTACAGTTGGGACCGTCCCAACTATAGTTGGGACAGGCCCAACTATAGTTGGGCCAGCCCAACTGTGGAACTACAGTTGGGCCTGTCCCAACTATAGTTGGGACAGGCCCAACTATAGTTGGGACCGATGCGATAGTTGGGGCGTGACATCTTCATTGGAATGTCGGTCGTTTCGTACCCAAGTCGTTTCGTACCCAGGTTGTTTCGTACCCAGGTCGTTTCGTACCCAGGTCGTTTCGCACCCAGGATTCATGTTTGTCTTCTATATTGTAGCGTGATTTTCTTTGGTTGCTTTTCAGTTTTTCGAATTGTACTTTTTATAATTAGGCCAAAAAAAAAAAAAGAATAGTTCTGCTTCCGGTTACCCGACCGACCCTATTTTTAGGCTGCGACCCTAAAAATTGTATCGGCGATTCCAAAAAAAAAAAATTAAAAAATGATTGAATAAATAAAAATCTTAATCTTATGTCTTGTCTGTCTTTACAAAGTACCTCTCAACAACCCTTTTGCATCAAAAAATGCTTGTATTTATTGTTTTCTTACTTACATTCGCTGTTTTTTCAAAAGAAAACTCCGTTATTTTTACAAATTCACTGCGCGATTCAACTACATGTACTTCGCAATTCGATGTCTATAATCACGTGCGTAATAAGCGCAATGCGGCGACGACTGGTTCCCGCCGCGCCGCGCAGGGGCCAATGATGAAATGCGGTAACTAGTCTGTGCACAGCTATGCGATCGATAGCGCTAGCATGGCTATGCAGGCGCAGGCACGTGCTCAGCGCTCTGTCAACTGGTCGGATTCGACATCGTAAAAATGCTGAGAAAGACATCGTAAAAATGCCAAGAAAACACCGATGGAGAAAGAACATTTTTGCAAGTTAATTCACAGATTTGATCTAGCTTGTCTGTGTATGTATTTTCCGTGTTTGCATGACTGGCTTAATCTCCTTTGTGCATCATAATTGACTGGGTACGAAACGACTTGGGTACGAAACGACTTGGGTACGAAACGACTTGGGTACGAAACGACTTGGGTACGAAACGACTTGGGTACGAAACGACTTGGGTACGAAACGACTTGGGTACGAAACGACTTGGGTACGAAACGACTTGGGTACGAAACGACTTGGGTACGAAACGACTTGGGTACGAAACGACTTGGGTACGAAACGACTTGGGTACGAAACGACTTGGGTACGAAACGACTTGGGTACGAAACGACTTGGGTACGAAACGACTTGGGTACGAAACGACTTGGGTACGAAACGACTTGGGTACGAAACGACTTGGGTACGAAACGACTTGGGTACGAAACGACTTGGGTACGAAACGACTTGGGTACGAAACGACTTGGGTACGAAACGACTTGGGTACGAAACGACTTGGGTACGAAACGACTTGGGTACGAAACGACTTGGGTACGAAACGACCTGCTTCGCTTCATTGCATTACGGCTGTACACAACGGAGTCCAACCTGAGCTAGGCCATCATGGCCATGTCTACTCCAACTCGACTCTAAAAGTAAAATGTTAGACTAGAGATTGCAAATGCAAGGAAAATCGTCACAGTTGGTTGATCAAGTACATGTAACGTTACTTACCAGCTCAAGTTTAGTTCGGGAGACTTTTAAGAAACTCTTGTCTGTGTTGTTTACGCCTCCCTATGACGCTCACTCGCTGCGGTCCTACTAAAGCGCGTCAACAAGCGTCAACAAGCGTCAACAAGTTTTAGTAGTCGTTAAGTGCGCGTCAACAAATTTTGTATAGGCTTTTGAACAATAAAAACAGCTTTATATGGTAGAAACAGCAATAATGAACATCTTCTGCATATCAATTAATGTTAAAATTATTTTAAAACTTGGTTTTTTGAACGCGAAATGTACGACGAATTTGTCGATAAAAGTTGGCCGCCATCTTGTTTATGTGTAGCTAGCCGTACTACGCATGCGTGAAGTGTAAAGAGCCATACTACGCATGCGCGAAGTCTACAGCGCCATCCAAACAAGATGGCGGCCTACTTCTATCGACAAATTCGTCGTACATTTCGCGTTCAAAAAACCAAGTTTTAAAATAATTTTAACTTTAATTGATATGCAGAAGATGTTCATTATTGCTGTTTCTACCATATAAAGCTGTTTTTATTGTTCAAAGGCCTATACAAAATTTGTTGACGCGCACTTAACGACTACTAAAACTTGTTGACGCTTGTTGACGCTTGTTGACGCTTGTTGACGCGCTTTAGTAGGACCCACTCGCTGATATCTGGTTCTCTGGAGTTGAAGTTTACGAAACCCGGACCCGCGTCCAACCGGCCCCGGTTGACCAATGCATTGCCGGCCGGCCGGCTGAATAGGGTGACCGTAAGGTTATGGCAAAATTCTGCTAAATGCAATTCAAAAATCTGTCAGATTCATCAAAAATCTTCCAAGTTCCCCCGAATTACTTGAAATATACTATAAATACTTAGAATTACTTGCAGATGTTGTAGTATTGCCTTAATTAAGTTTCAAATTACATTATTAACAACATATAGTCACATAAAGATGTTATGAAATTGCATAAATTTTGGCAAAATGCGTACGTTGCGTCACGACAAACTCCGTTTCCCAGTGAACCTCAGCACATATGCCAGCCAATCTGTCGCATTATGATTGAAGCTTTTTTAAACAAATGTATCATTTTTTTCAATTTTGCTATGTTTTTCTGTGTCAAATATCCATTTTTGCAGAATTCTGCCAGAAATCTGCAAAAAAATCCTTTCTGTCAAATTTTGTCAAACTTGTTTTTTTTACAAAAAAATCTGTCAAAGTTAGCCGAAAATCGGCTAAAACGGTCACCCAACGTCCGGCGCCGGCCTCCTTTCTCACGCTCATTCATAGAGGGCGCTAGTGCCGAGGATCATCAGGATGGCGTATTTGTTTTCCTGGGGTTGCAGACCAGTAAATAAACTGCCATAGACCCCAATGATAAATGCCCCCACTTCAAAAATTCGGGGGAAAAACTCACAACTCTCCAAGGTATTCCAGACACACATCAAATTAAAGCTAATTTCATCATCTTTCATTTTCTTTTCAATGTTTGAGGGGTTATCTAATGACTTTTAGGAGAAATGTCCATCCGAAGATGATCACCCCTTAAAATGGTCCTGAAGCCCATGGCGCCATTTTGAAAAACGACGCCTACACTCCAGTGCAAAATAGAACGCTTTTATGGCTCCAATTTCATCCAAATTGCACAGAACTACACACTCACAGTCCTGTGCACGGCTTCCAACCATATTTTTTTTTACAAACCCTCAAGTTCACGGCCCACAATATGCTCAAATAGCGAAGAATTTGAGGGCATGCAAATCGTGATTTGGCCGGCGTAGGCGATTTCGGACCGACTTACTGGCCTGCAACCCTAGGAGGATCGAGGGTTGGGGCCAAGTCATGCATAATTCAGTTTTTCCTTTGAATCATTGCAAGACAAGTTATAGGTTATCGGTCTTTTTTTTCCTCTTTAAATTAAAATTATTTCAACGATAAATTTAGAGAAGAAAAATAGTGGATGAAAATGACCAGCGACGACGTGGATTCGATCTGGGATTTGTATCCAGCTCATCTGGCTAGGCGTAGCTCGACTGAGTTGACGACGACCGTACTTTTAAAATGCTTTATTGTAACTGAAGGTGGACTAAATAACAACCATGCTCTTGATATCATTGTTCTGTTCTCATGAATAAACATATTCGCCCCAACCGTACTGGGAATAAAAGTGACGCCCGGCGCCATTGATGCACCCTCATTTGGAGGAATGATGAGGCCAACAAACAAAATATTCGGTCTCTGGTCAGACCAAAGTTCCGGAATTGACGCGGCCACGCGGCTTTTTTTTTTTTTTTTTTTTTGCTTTTTTATTCAAGCTTGGATTGTACAGACAAGGTAGGTACTATTTTGCTTTTTTGGTGTCCTCATGTACATTGGTGTCCTCCATAATTTGCCTTGGTGCTTTCGATCATTTGCCTTGGTGCAATTTCCCATTCCTTGGTGCTCTTTGGTAAAAAAAATTGAGGAGGTGCGGAAATAGAGGGCACTGTTGGATCTACCGCGGAACATTTTGGAAAAAAAAAAGATCGACGCGCATGATTAAAATCGACGCGCGCGCTGACCAGAGACCGACTTATTATTTTTTTTTGGCCTTATCTCACATTTTTATTTTGGAGGCCAGGGGGTTAAGGGGAATATGAAATGTGCAGCATTTGCTTTTGCTGCATTTTCAAAAATAAATAGATTTGGAGGATTAGTATGTTATAGCAAACATTGATAAACTGACTTGCTTCACGTTTTGGGTTCGGAGATGCTCGAAAATCCAAGAAAATCAACCATATTCTTGTAGTCTGGTTCATGCCCCATTATAAGATGAAACGGAACAATTTATAAAATTTGGGGAATTGTAAGGTCAATTCTCAAAGAATCAGTCTAGCAGGCTTGTACCCCTTCACAGGTGTGTAATAATCAATTGCCAAGAAAATGCGGAATAACTAAATATGAAAAATTAGGAGCACTTTTTGAAACAGTTTTCTTCAATGCTGGTCGGTCGACCATCATTGGACCTGAAAATAGTTTTGTTTAAAATGGATGCTTTTGACTGTCATTCCCTAACAATCCAATAATATATTTCATGTTTTTGATCACTTCGTTATTTGAATGATGTTTGTAAATGTTGTATATTCCCTTTAAGTTCTGGGTAAAGGTCGAGGATGCTCTTTTAGTGTGCAAGTTTCGAGTTAAAGCGCACGCTTCGCCGAATAAAAAAAACGAGTGAGTAAAAGGAAAAGGCCATTGGTCTTACTAATGGAGATCAATGGTAAAGGCCTTCTTTCATTGATTTCTTCAAAACGGCAGCTTGCCAGCAGAAAGAATAATTTCACAGGGAGTTTAGTCCCATTACTAACCAAGTATGATTTTCAACAATAATTACGTTAGTTACTTTTTGGATAGCTGTAAATGGACTGTACCTTTAAAGCCGGCCTCAGGTCGACCTTGCGACGACACAGATCAGTCGGCGACTGACTTTTCATGATCAAGCTGCGTCTGAGCTACGACCATCAGGAACAATTCAGTCGCCAATTTTTTGCGACCTGAGTATAACTGCGACGATATATAAAAGGGTGTGTCGTTTAGAAAAATCAAATGACGTATCTTGAGCATATTGTCCGATGCGAGTGCGTTCCCAGTCTTGTTGTCCCATGCATCACATGCATGTACATGTACATACATGAACATGACATCTCGTATCAATATTCTTTTTCATCCATTTTTCCCCATGACTAGTAGGCCAATGTTTAGGCACAAAATAAACCCAGAACTGAGTCGTTGATAGTTTCTAGTTCTGGGCCCAAAACGCAGCTACGGACGGTCCTCTCACATAACCGCCATATAAGGTAGGTCAACGCCTAACTTAAAAACGACTTTAATTGGGGGCCGGTCAATCTACAGCTGTAACTTTGCGAGACAACCTCGTCCCCAGGACATACTTGATTTTCAACCTCGTTTCCAGTAAGCCCTGGGTTTGGAACTTGCTTCCTGTATCCTGATTCGATACCGCAATTAGCAGGTAATGGACTTTGGTGGTGTAATTCCAACGTCTATTGTTATGTTGAGTGTTTTCCCGTTCATTGTAATTATTACGTCCACACATTCTCAAAAACAATCCCTTCTTTCCAATTTTATGCAATTAATATGAAATGTGATACTGCACATTTGCTGGATAAGATTGTAATCGTAGATTCGAACTCGGATCACCTGATTAGAAATCAGGACTACTTGATTTTAACTTTGAAAAAAAAAAAACCACAGGGTTTTCGTAACTCACGGTGCGACGAATTGATTCTGTTTTTACCCCAGACACCACATACAATAAACGCTGGCGTAAAGCACAGGACGGTACCAGACTATTCTCATTTGCATACGTATCCAAACATTTTGGATATGCAAAATGATCCAACACTATAGGGTGAGAGAGCAGGTAGTGGTGGGAGCGTACTGCTCGACACCATGGGAACGAGGCTGCTTTGCGAGAGTCACTCTTTCACCGCACTGACACATTATATATTTACGCCGCCATATTTTGTTAGCGTTAAGTGCCTCGCTTTGAAAATGGCGTCGCATGGGATAGGTCTATCGACACGAGAAGCTTTCAACTTTTATTTTGGAAGAGTTTATAGACACTTTTCCAAAAGAGAATCAAAACAATGACAAATCTTTGGTCAATATTTCAAATCGGACCTCTGAAGTACATGTTTTCTTCTCTCTAAATCTATATATAGAACACTATACCATATTCTGCTACAATTACCGTTACTATTCAGCAGTGCCAGATGGAATTGCTTAACTTGCAAAGAAAATATAGAAACTTAAATTACAAACACTTTACCTGTAAGCATATTATTCAGCCCATACTGAACTTGAAAACATTCATGTTGCGAAAACCTTGATAGTGTACAACATTTTTATGTAATCTTGACATACCCTGCTATTGGTTGAGCATGGAGGATCTATATATACATCCACTGCATATAAAATACATATCTTTCCCAGCAAACACATAATGCTGTGATAACATTTTTGTAAAGTCGTAACGATGTTATATCTAAAACATTAAAAAAATATTTTAATGACTTTATAGAAATATCATGACATAAACAAAAACATTTTAGTAACGTGATTTAAATGCGTCAAATTTGACATTTTATCAGGTATGTTAAAGCGATATAATCAAAACGTTATTACCAAATGTTTTAAACAGGATTTATGGAGAAAATATCATGATATATACAAAACAAATTTAAAAACGTGATTTAAATGCCTCAAATTTGACGTTTTATCAGCGGGTATGTTGAAACGATATTTTCTCAACGTTATTACCAAATATTTTAATCAAGATTTATGGGTGCATGGAATATCATGATATATACAAAAACATTTTAATAACGTGATTGAGATGGCTCAAATTTGACGTTTAATCAAATTTGTTAAAGCGATATTATCAAAACGTTATTACTAAAATGTTTTAAACAAGATTTATGGATGCAATATCAATATATAATTGATAACGTGATTTGAATGGCTCAAATTTGACGTTTATCAAATATGTTATTGGCGATTGTAATTATTATCTAAACATTCAAAAAGTTCCCTTTTTACAAATTGCAAACAGTGAGTTAATTGTGAAAAGAACATTCGTGAAAGAAAATTGGGCCTACATGTGCTGGGGATTCGGGAGATTCACAGTGCAGTGCGCCACCGAGCTAGAGTTTGCCATGGAGAGTCCATACTTCATGTTTACGGTCGACAAAACATGGCCCATTTGAACGAGTGTCAGTAGACAACTTGAGCTATTTTGTTATAGATTTGGGCATAGCGTTCTGCCGCCTTACAAAAAAAAACTCACCGTACTGATAAAAAGCAAATAACGGGGTAAACAGATACTCTAATCATACGCTTACGAAAATACTGACCGCAAAAACGAACAATTTCAAATGTCCCGCGCTGCGAATTTGTCGACTATCTCCCATGCACAATGCGCTGGGAAAAATGAACTCTCCGTGGCAAACTCTTGGTGGCGCACTGCATTGTGAATCGCCCGAATTGATTGGATAGAAATTCTTTACCACTTATTTTTCATATTCTTTCAGAAATTAATTTAAGCTTAATAAAAAAACAGACGTACATCAGTTTTCTTTGATTGACCTCTGCCACATTATAACCAATTCTGTACCGTTTCTTCACAATATTTGAGGCTGTTGCGAAAATCCCAAGAAAACATTCACTTTGATTATCAATATCTTCATCCCGAAATCTTTAAAGTCAGGGATTTATTTTAACGTTGTCGTGAGTATTGCCACAAAGTTGCAAGGGTTGGAACATGTATACTCACTTAACTATGCTATTGTACTGTAACCAATGTATACAATCTAATTTACGAGTGATCCGTGGAATGTTTAACTGGGACATCCTTAGTAAGCAGGAAAAGTTGGTCTTCTTTCTGTAGAAAAAAACGACAAGAATCAAAAATGGTAAAGATGGTCCAAATTTATAATTAATTTATATAGTATGGCTAGAAAGTTTGCAGAATAGTCTGCAGTGGAATATGAGTCATGACACCTAACATATTGTTTGCACATTATATCACGAAAGTAGGCCGACGTGGAACAAGCTGCGCCAAGCTACTGCACATGTGGTGTAGGATTCTACAAGTCACGTCACATACATGAATACGCAAGTCTCGTAGACCTTGTCCCATACCGGTCCGCACAGTCAGCGAGACAGGCAGGAGCGCCAATCGCTTCTCAAAAGTGGGGGACATACCTTGATCAGAACTAATGCGAGCGCGAAGCCCTAAGGCGTGCTGCTAAGTGCCCCCAAAACAATTTATTCTAGGCACTGGTGCCGTTGCAATCTGAGGCAATTTTGACCACTTTAACCAATATTTTCTAAGCATATAAGATAATAATTTAAACATTATTTTCAAGGTTGAAGTCATTGAATCAGCTATTGTATTCTGAGCTAAAGGCATGGGTTTCGGAGCCTAATAAATGTATAATGCACCGTCTGTATTAGCTTCATTTCAAGTCTTCCATCTATAAATGTAAGCCCCACGAACCCCGAACACGGCCGTAACTGAAGCCACTCAGTCACTGGGACAGGTAACCAGTCTCAGTCACTGAGTGACAGTGAGTATGCAGTCATTGAGTCAGTCAATAAGGTATTAGGAAAAAAATACAATTAAAAGTGTCAAAGTACGAAAACACAAGGGCTCAGTGCACCATTCGATATGCCTTGTTTCGTGTCTAAAGACTGTAAACCTCACGAATACATGTGTCATCAAGTCACTCCAAACACGGTGTAACTGAAGCCACTCGTGTGTTGTACACATCGTAAATATCCTACCTGCTGCAGTTTTTCTCGGAGTTCCTCCAGTTCATTAATATTGTCCCTCTCTGAAGCCTGTCGAGCTTTCGACGCGGAGGACTCACCATAGCCCATGGAATTCATCATGCTCAAACTGATGTTCTTCTCTTCAACTGAGATGAGGAGGTACACCTGGTGAATACACATTTAAGTTTTCAATGCCATAACAATACGTCTTAAGAGTGACTGGTACGAAAATAAACGACAAAATTCTTTAACTACACGTCCTGCCTACATGCAGCACTTATGTGTTCATACTTGTCGATTACATCCCACGTGTGCTTGGGCGTGACAAGCGGGCAACACGTGGAGAGGTACCGGTACACCCGTTTAAATGGAATAATGCACAGGTTACCAAAAGAAGCGCCTTCACAGCCTCAATAAGCCTATGTACTGATGACGTCACACTTTGTTTACGCGTGTGCTTTCCCATTGTGCTCGCTGGACCGTGGACCACTGGCTCCATAGGAAAGTGCATGTTAACGAGTGTGACGTCATTAGTACAAAGGCTTATTGTTTGATAATATTATTATCTGGTGGCGGGCCTTCCTGGTCACTGTTAATTGTATTTTAAAGCGATCCCTTTAGAAAAACAATCCTAGCCAAACCAACGCAAGGGTGTGGTTCCCGGCCGGAGTCAAGTGAGAACTTAAATCCTCCAGGTGGCATGGGGTGATACTTCTGTCTAAGTTGATTTCAATAGCTTGATTGACTTGGACTAACTTGTGCCGACTTGTGAGGTATTGCCAGGACCCCTTATGACATGTACCTTTTATCAACAACAGTTCGAGTTCAGTGCTGCACCGTAGGATTGATTCAAATAGCTTACTTAATAAAGTCTGTTGAGTTTGAGGTTGCAAGCCTTACCTTTGGAATGAAATTCAAGCACAGCACTGCAGTGTTGACGATCACTATGGCAACCCCGGGAACCAAAAACGTCATATTGACGTCATCACCCAGGATGGTCATGGTTGGGACAACTAGGGCAATGGTCAAGGCGACGACGTACACTGATGCTGCGATGTATTTACCTGTCATCAAAACACAAGCATTTACATGAACTCTAAAATCTTTACCTACGAAAAAGATTCTTCGCCCGAGGTACGTGAAAAGTATTATTCGTCGGGAGATTGAATTACTTTCGCAAAAACAAAATCTTGTCATAAAAAACACACAAAATCGCTGACTATATGAACAGGATCGGAAAGTTAAAATTAAAAAAGAACCCGGAGATCAATATTTTCATCATGATGCATTACTGTCATTAAGTCGTGTCACGGCGATGTTTCTTGTCTCCCAGGCCAAGAAAAGGCCAAAGGTCAAGAGAACTCCCTTCACGCCGTAGAGGGCGATGGTGAAGTACTGGGCATGCTCACTACTGCAAAACCTGATCACTGGGACGTCATAGATCTCCTTCTGTGGCTCTGTCGTGTCAAGCTGTAAAATGTTTAAACATAAGAAATTATACAATTTTAATTGAGGCCCAACGATGGAAGGGGTGATTATTTTGTTTCACAAAACTTAATTTCCTCTAAGTCACGCTGATGGCAATGTTCGGCATCATTCTTTGCTAGGGATATCACGATGAAAGACAAGGTCACTTTTTGTCAAAGCATGTAGAACATTAAACTACATTGTTGACGGCGGTTTCATGAGCACCTACCCGAGGCTCAAGATCTCGACTGGTAACAGTCGTTGTATCCAGGGCAATCCACCCGGCAAAAATGACGCAATCTACGAAGACAGCCGTCAACACTACGCATATAAGCTTCCAATCCGGTAGGTCCTGAATATCAATAATTACAAATAAATTTGTCAAGCAGTTATACACTTTTTTTTGGAGTCAGGAAGATCTGGTTTTATGTTTCATTTATTTGAAAGAAAGAAAATACGCAGTGTGTGGCTTTGAAACTCATTTTGTTTATCATGACGCACTTGCCTTCAATTTCATATCTCATATCAAGATTAAACGAAGATAAAGCATATCTGCTGCCACCAAGAGTTTTGCAAGTGCCCTTAGACAAGCTTCTAAGTTTACCAAGCCGCGGCTTCGTTTCTGACATCGGCCTTATATCGCAAAGCAGATGGAAAGAAGCCTGTTACCTTCGAACTAAATGAATCTATATAGAGAGTGCTCATATTTTTTTGTTTCGTTGATTATCAGCTGCAGATAACGGATTCATACTGTAACAGAGTCTCAAGAGAAGAATATCGACTCCTTGAGCTTGAATCCAAACCAAAGAGGAAACCGAGGTTTCGTAAACCATATTGACTGCTTTCGGTTCTCTGTATTTTTAAAAGGTCGGTTATAGCTTACACTTGCCGATGCAGCCTTCAAAGAAACTTGTGATAGAAACGCAGACTCAGCGTTGTTAAAATCTATCACATATATCTTTGTGCACAAACAAAAAAATCTCCTAATACCCCAATTCTGAAACCTGCACAAACCAATCCTTTTCAAATACTAATCTCGACCAAGGCAGGATCACCTTCAGCAATTTTCAACAACAATAGTGTCCACTGTCTCCCTGATGCATGTGATGTCAAACAATTTACTAGAAAGTGTCTCTCTGAGCTGAGGTACGTACCCGGTACATAGTCTGAGTATCACCCGTTATCCACGGAGCCAAGTCTCCTGTATAACGTCTGATGTGTCTAAGCATGCGGATTTATGCGATCTTGCGCCTCGGCCAATCGGATGCGGAGTCGACTTTATTAAATCGTGACAACAACAGCCGGGCGCGTGTCGCGTAACACAATACAGAGCGCGTGACCACAGCTTTTGTTGCTGTGTCTAGGTTTTTTTTTTAATCCATGTCCATAGCGCGAGAACGGTTAATGACCGGAGACCCGATATAAAAAGAGAATGACCAAAGACCCGATATAAAAAGCGCCCACTGATTAGTTAAAATCTAGAGGTCAAGATGCGATTGTCTTGCATTTAATCAGCGAATCTGCTCAATTGTTAAACATAGATTACCCGATATCCAGCCGGTTTGGAAGAATTTAACCTTGCCTGCTATTTCACACAGCGTGTGTAATAAGAACACTTCAATCAAATTATAAAATCGCCTTCGGTTCCCCAGTACGGAATTCCATCAAGCGAAGGACGAAACGATCGAGTTTTTATGTTAAATGTTTCTTGGCATTTTAACCTGCAAGATTGCATTTATGTGACTCCAAATGCACATCCTTTCACTGAACGATGACATCACCTACTTTCCCATATTTGAAGCGTGATAAAATGTCAATTGATTTACGCTTGTCAGGGCCCTCAATGATTGAGGGCCGTGACAAGCGTAAATTCAATTGACATTGTATGAAGTAGGGTAGAACATGTTGTTTGTGCATGTTTTTCATTTGAAGCAACAAATGTGCTCAAAATCTCAGTAAAGACGTGTTCTTAACTAAAATGTAGCTCAGTTGGTGCTGTAGGGCCTATTCTCCGTAGGATCCGATTTCAATTAAAACAATTGCCGTGTCATGTTTTGAATTGCGCCCGAAACATCCGGGGCACGATCTCATTCAACTGATTGCAGCTACGCACTAATGTCACGTAGGTCATGGGCCAACATCTGTATCAGGTATAGAAGTTGAGGTTCGTCTTAACTTTCTGGTGTCAACTTGCAGTAAGGTCAAGAGTACTAATTCGATAGTGCTGAATCTGAATCTGGTTGTTCACATTGGCCCAAATTGCACATTAACCTCATGACGACAGTTTTTCTCATAATTTTGCCCATTTTTGGTCAAAAATAGTATTTTTGCCATAACTTCTTTGTTTTATGTTTAAATGCTTTCAAAATTGACAGAACAGATAAATAGCAATTCGGCATGAATAATATGTCATTATTGATACATTATTTATAAATTCCGATATTAAAAACAAATTCTTCTTTTTTATTCTATTGTTGTAATAATATTACGTGATATTACTATTTTTCCTTGGTTGGCTAACATCGTCTTCTGAATAATTATTGAATGCATTACTGAAAAATAACTGCGATGACAGAATAGAATGAACAATACGTTGATTGTAGTGGTCAAAGTCGCTCCATAACACGAGGTAATCTTTTATGTAAATATTACTCACAATCTGTTGGAATTTCTTCACTGCACGGCTGAATATAGCGTGTATGCGGTAGGTCTTCATGAAAATAGAACCGAAAGCAAACGAAAGCCCGAGGGAGATAAGCATCCTCTCCAGCTGAAATAAACAAGAATACAAATCCCCGACGAGGGTTTTCAAAACACGTAAAAATATCAACGTGCTTTTCAGGATGGAATAATGCCTAAAAACAATACCTAAAACATATGCAAGGTCGTTTTTAAAAGCTTCCGGTCAATTCCCTGTTTAATCCTGAAAAACAAAGGTGGATTGCTTGATATTCCAAGTGTTTTTATCACTTTGAAAGGATTGAGATTAAAATTGAACTTACAAAATAAGCCAAATAAAAGGCGGTACACACCGTATATATTCCTTTTGCTACAGAGTATCACGTTCATAGCTTTTTCGAAACATTTTGTCAACTGTGGACGATCCTCTTAAAAAAAAAAGACGAAGGGCGTATTGACTGTTCATGGGCAAGAACTTCAAATGTATACAAGCGTTATCAAAATGGCGCTCAATTTTTGCAAACAAAGATTGTTCACTGTAAAACCTAGTGTTTAACTTTTAAACATTTAACATTTTTATAATAACATTCATTGTTCGGAGATCCATAATCATAAAACAAATAATTAAGCAACCTGTTTAAACATCTTGTTTAACTGATAAGCGTTTCTAAACAGCTAAGTTCACGAAGCGTTTATGTAAACAAGGGTTTAGAAATTGTTATCCTGCAAGTAACATTTCAGTTGAAAGCACAAATCGGCAGTTCCCAAATTTGATACTGCAGTAGCCGAGCGCTCGCGCGGGGGTATCGCTGCGTTGCATAATTAGCGAAGATGCTTGATCACCGCACGTTACAACCGTTGCGCGAGCACGCGCGACTGACTATAAGCCATCTCTCGATCGCTGATTGGTTCCCTGGGATAGCCTTGGGAGAAGAGAAAGAAAAAAAGTTAAACCGGCCTAGAAATGGCCAAGACGTTAGTGCGAGTATGCACGGTGGTCTAATTGCTGTGCCATAGAGGGCTTACTATACTCTCAAATGCATGCTGGTGTGCAAATGCATGCTGGTGTGCGCGTTCAGCGTTGCGCGTAGCGCGTATTGTTCCAAAGAGCCAGCGCTACAACGTTGGGTACAAACATTTCCTGAAGGGATGGTTTGGAAGAGAGAAATACATTTTCCTCCAGTTTTGTATTGAAATAAAAGTTCAAATATATCAAATGATAAAGATTATTATGTTAGTTATATACAACAAATATTGAGTGGCTTTAACTTGTGAAATGGGAGAAATATTATCTCTCGGTAAAATCTGGACTTTTCCAGTTCACTCGGCTTCGCCTCGTGAAATGGAAAAGCCCAGATTTTACCTTGCGATAATATTCCTCCCATTCCACGCCGAGCCACTCAATATTGTACCAGGCATACGCACGAAGGTGCTTCGTGCACTTGATTTCTCTTTGACCAATAATTACGACTGTTTGCCCAATTACACGCGCGCATCAAATTAAGCACGCGTGCGGCATGCGCGTAAGCACACTCACGTGACACTTGACGATGATAGCCGTATCAGACAGGTCTTTCTTGTCCCAACCTGTAGCGAAGACGGAGGCGTAAAGAAACAGACAACCAACCAGAGTCAGGTTACCCAGGAGAGGACTCGACATCTTGATGGCTCTGGATCGTGGAAAGTTAACAATGCTAATTACTGATATGTGCTTGTGAGAAGTTTATATATCAGCATATGATTTTACAATATCTATTTTTAGGACGGATAGTAAAGTTTATATTTCTACAGTCGCCAGTTTCGTTTCCAGTGCCACCTCAAACACCTTGAGATTCTGTGGAAACTTTTTTAGCTTTTTGGTATTTGTTCGGATTTAGGGACGGTAAAAATAGGCAACGTGGTGTTTGAAGAATTAAGACGCTTGACTTGGTGTCTCCGGCTTAATATCAATTTCGTGCTTCCTTCAGGAGCATTTTATCCTAAAATACGAAGCCAACAACTAGAGTATCTTCATTTTCTTTGACATTAGCTACTTCTAAAATGACAAAAGCGTCGTCGTTAAAGCCAAAACCGGCGATAATTTTAAAGAATCGACAAAACTGAATCATATGTGAAGTTGTACCTCCTGTGTTTGTATCTGATGTTAAGGAAGAGGAACACTAACGCCAGGACGGCACCGAGCGAGGATAGGGAGAAGAGAATCGCCCGTGCGGTGGATGAGACCTCCAGGACCAGGGACCTCCTTGTAACGCCATCCACCGGAACATGGTCACCTGAGTAAAGGTTACAAGTCATAAAATCGGCTCGTAGGCAATTTGATTAGAAAGATCGAGTATAGTAAATCAACTTTAACTGTAAGTTTGGTATTTGCTTCCGCTTACTGAGAGTTCGTTGCGTTTGAGGATAATTTCAAAACAGCTCCGAAACCAAGGAAGTATGTGTCAAATGTCCAGCTTTTGCTTTTCATACGCTTTAAAGATACAGTCCATCATTAATTTTGCAACCATCCAAAAAGTAGCTGACGTAACTATTGTTGAAAAACATACTTGGTTTAAAGATGGTAATGGAACTAAAATCCCTGTGAAATTATTCTTTCTGGCAAGCTGTCATTTTGAAGAAATCAATGAAAGAAGTCTACAGACGCATCGTTGTAATGTCCGTTAGAAATTGGTTTGTTTTAGCAAGCGTTGACACAACGCACAAGCGCGCAGTTGCTGTAATTCGTCGGTTCAGTGCGCGACATCGCGTAACTGCAATCGGCTCAGTGAGAACGCGTCGATGTCTCGGACGCTGAATTCATTAATATATAAATGCATTACAAATGATGGACTCTGGCTTTAAGGACTTTCAATTATACCTGGCCACTGGATACTCGTGGTTTCAGAATTGACCAGGACAGCCTCCTGAATCTTGTAGTGCATCACGTTCTTCAAATTTGTGCCTTAGAGAGGAAATATAAAGAAAATTCATACTTCACAATGTTCTTAGTTGGTCAGTACGCCAACTAATTATTGAAAGAATTTGCACTCATTTAGGGTTCAACGGTTGTTTTATGCGTGCATTTTTAGTTTTTATATAGTCCCATATAAGACATGACTCTTGATTTGGCCTAACATGCAAGTTACATATAAAACAACGTTATTGTGATATTCAAGTAATATTTATTTTTAATCGTGAACTTCAATTGAAGTCCGAATTCAATTTACAGGGGGTAAAAGTGACATTGCAATGCTTTCACCTTGGGCCTGATCAATGTAGATCGTCTGCGCTATACGCTGGCCATCCTCAATGCGAACACGACCCTACCAAGAAATCAGAGGGATAGTTATCGCACTGTATATTTGTGTCTCTCTACAGAGCATGCACGCACATGAACAAAGTACCTAGATTTAACCCAACAAAAAGTCTCTCTCACCATATTCACAACATGACCCGATAAGGCCTAATGTCGCAAACGGCTGTGGGGACATCACTGCTTTTATTCATACAGATACTTTCAATGGTAAACTATTGCCTGAAAAGTATGATCTTCTTGGGCTACTTCCATTCCATGAACCCACCGCTATCGCTAAAGTTAATCAACGCAAAACCCCTTTTTGGTCTCCGGTACACTTCATGCGGCCAAGCCGTATGTCATGCCTTGTTTCATTTACACCTAAATGATGACCTTTTTGCAAGTGTCTTGAAACTGCACTATAGTGTATTCGAATTTGATTATGCATACTAAAAGCTTCAACTGCTTTCAAGTGGTAAAGAAAGAGCATTCTCTGATCTTGGTTCTCATAATTATATTACTCATTATTATATCACTGATCAATTTGACATCTCAATACATGCATAGCATAGAAGCCCTACAAGCACAGATATAACTTACCGACAGTCCAGAGAACTCCATGTTATCGGCGTGGTTCAAAATCACCCTCGCCATCTCGGTGTCGGAATAGCTGAAATCTTCAAGTCTTCGAGGAGGTTGCAGACGATGCAGGTCCGCTATGGAGGAATTCAAGGCCAGTGCCACGGACACGATGCCGTCGTGCGTTACCGGGACCATGTTATGACTGAACGGGAAAATGCTGTTGTAGTAGTCGTAATGCTCTGGCAAAGGTTTCTGTGAATTGCATCAAATGAAGCATAACCTTCAAAGTTCTCACAGTGTAAGATCATAATCATTATAAAATGCGAACTCGGGTTTTGTAGACGTAGTTATCCAAATCATATTTTCGAGATAAAAAAAATGGAGAGAACGGTTGGTTGTATTCGAGGCAAAAGTAATTTTCCTCGTAGGCTTGTATCATCACTAACCTTCAAAACGTTGATTAAATTTTAATGTAACATTAAATTTAATCAGAATTGTGCGCATCTATAATATATGGGGAGTTTTTCTCTCTTCTTTTTGGGATAAATCCCGTTTATCAGTTGAATATCTGCAATGATTTCCATTTTTGTTCATACCTCTTACAAAAGATATATTAAAACGTAATTTTAATTCTCTTACGAAATATTTTTTTTAATTTACGTGTAGACTATTTCCAGAGAAAAAAAACCACATGACCATACTTGTATAATGATATTATATTCCAGAGCTCTTATCTGTAGTAAAACTAGGGCCTTATTTCATAAAATCGTGTATCAAATTCTAGGCCAAGCAAAAATCAGCTAAGAACTCATGTGCTACAATCCTGGCCAAATCTCGCTGGGCCCCTTGCCCCGCACAATGTTGTCTCTCATTGCGCGGTAGTGTGCGCTCCATCAGCTGAGGAGAACAACATTGACCGGGGGAGCAGGGGAGTGGGTGAGTGTGGCAGGCTCAGGAAGTACCCCAACCATTTTGGCCGGGATTGTAGATAAATGTGGCCAAGATCAAAATGGCGAACGTATACCACTCCGTTGAAGTCCAGCTCTGGTAGACCCTGGGAGCGATGTTTGACGTTGAAATGTAGGGATAAATCAACAGCAGAGATGATCTCCTCTTCCGTACAAGGCTCGATATCTGACGGTGTGCCGACCAGCCACCATTCAAAGTTGGCCCAGTCCGGCGGTATCAAGACGTACTTGGCACCGGTCAATCCGGCCAAGTAAGCCTGCAACACGAATCTCGCATTAGGGAAAAGATAACGAGTGTTTTACTCCCAAAGAGTGTACATTCACTCTATCTAATGGGACCAAACGTTTTAGGGGGTATCTTATTTAAATTCAGTTCGAATAAAGGCGGTCTTCACTCGAGTTTCCACTGGATGATTTTGTTTTATTCAGTATTTCAATCTAAACTTAGAGTGATTTTCACACTAAATCGTCGATAGTTATTAGTTTCACTCTATGGAAATGAGAGGTTGTGCTATATGGTTTTGCTTCAAATAGAGAGCTTGGCAATTAACGGATAGGAAAGGCGCTATGATTCATGACTGCCCGTAATGACAGGCCATGTCCTGTCATGTGAAGTTGTGATGACATCACGAACCTTTTTAACAATTCAAAATGTCAACACAAAGGTTACCGTTGCTATAGTTACGCCTTACACTGAAGTCAGCGACATTTTCATGAGAATAAGGAGATTCCCTTGTATATAGAAGATCTGAAGCAGGCTCCTCCCCGTTCCAAATGAGGGCAAACATTTTTATGGCGATACGTTACCCAAGAATTCCGCGCTGGTAATCACCACTTCGCGCATAGTATTGTCAACAAAATGAACGAAACTCTCTTAGCCAAGTGGTCCAAGTTTCAAGAATATTTGGGCAAGCACTACCCTGCTAGTCCTTGAAATACGTTAATTATTAGCGTGGAATTTTCTTCGCTTTTCTAGGTCTGTTGAGAGGGATTCTTCGGTGCATAGCCAAGGATTCGGGCCCATCTCTTAAGCCTCCTTAAGCATCAATATGTCCATGAACTCACCTGACAGAAAAAGTTCTGAGTCGCCAGAATGCTTGAAAATCCGGTATATATGATTCTGACATCTTGGCGCTAGAATCAAATCAAAGATAAAGTGCAATATTATTGTTCTAACAAGAAGGGTAACACAATTTTTCCAAAGGTCGGTTATGACATCTTGTTTCAAGTGGACATTTTCATTGCTAATTATACTCTTCTATGTCTGGTTTTGCATTCCCGATTTTCTATTTCCAGCTTAATAATAGAACTCACAATTGTAATTGAAATATCCGGGGAAATCGACGACATTTAAAATCATACGAATGAAATACCTTGAGGTTTTGAAGATGCACTTGCAACAAATTGATGTTTTTGATTCCTTCAGATGCCACTATTTCGACCTCATCAGCCTCTAAAATCTCACGGAAGTCCTTCATATGCTATGGAAAAAAAACTTGGAATTATTTGATATTTTGGCGCTCCATACAAAACAAATGATATGGCAAGTCTTTGGTGACAGGTGTAAATCGCCAATCATTGAACAACATAACGCCACCAAAATGAACAATGTGTCATAAAGAAAACTATTATGTTTCTTTTCGCTGTACAGATGTCATGGGGGATGACTAAAATCAGATTTCAAAAACGTAGAAATTCGAAAAGCGGGTTGGAGGGGGGGGGGGCTGCTGGACACCACATGACACTAGATGGCGCTGTACATGAGACAGATGTACATCTTATGTATACTGACACCCCTTAACCTTACATTAAAACGGCGCATTAAAACATTTTGTACTTTTCTACCTTTCTTCAGTACTATTGAATACATTTTGTTTTGGGGGAAGTTAAAAAAATACCTCAAAATTCGTTTTTTGGGGTTTCTAACCACGAAAAGGTGGGGATAATCCAATTGCCCCTTGGCCAAAAAAGTGGGAGGATATATACCCCCATCCCCCGGGATTTACGCCCCTGTAGCGCAATCGCTGCATGCGTATGATTTAATGAGATGTTTGTTGACCGCTCATAATCATATTCATAATTTGTTCTGAGTGCGAAGGAAAGTTTGGGTAAGTACGACACAATTGGTAAGAATATCTCTTTGTGTGAAAAATAAACCGTCTCTATGTTTTAATTTCCCCTTTTTTCACTACAATCTTATAAAGTCAAATAGAGTTATCAAATTTTTGAGTAAATATGCAACACAGGCAGGAATATTACTTTGTGCTTAAAGTTTCGCTGTATTCGTGAATGCAGTATTTTTTATTCCCCAAGAGCAGATTACTGGATGGTCTTCATTGCCAACTAAAATTAACTCATGTAAGGCATTATTTCCTTGTACCTTGTACAACTTTTTTTCTCCAAGAGATCATATACCAGCGTGATATGCCCAAATAACATCAATTAAACGATACATCTTTACATCCAACATAGACGTAATGATGAGCATTCTCACGTTTTGAAAAGCGGCATTCTCCTCGAAGATGAATGCGATACGCCTCCATCCCATCTCCCTTATAAATGCTGCCACAGCCAGTAATCGGGACCTGTCACTCGTGTCGGCTATTACGGTGTACGGGTGCGCGGTGCGATCTGCTAGCGCTGGGCTTGATGCTACACACATCTGTCAGTTAAGAATTCATCATAAATGAAGTATTCTAAATCTCGGTTTCGTCTCTGGCTTCGGCTTCACCGTTCTTGTCCAAAACATAGACAAATTCTAACATTTTGGGATGATTTTATAAAGGCTCCAATGTTTCTGAAGCAGATTAGGCCAATACGAGTTATTAAATAGTTTTAAACACTAACCGTCGATAATACAATTCCTTCTAGAAATGGTACTTAAAACATTAGAAAGACACTAAAATGTCTCCCCAATAACCAACATATCCCTAAATGTGTGTTTTGCCGGCTTCAAACGCTCTTTTCAAGACCGATTGGAGTCTGGATGCTGATAATTACCCGAGCTGAAAGTCTCATTCGTAAATACCTTTTCGGTCAAAAAAAGTCAAAACAAGTCAAAAAGTAAAAATTTCCAACGTTTTTTCTTTCAATAATTTTACGTCACGTTTTTCAAAACACCCCTGTAGCTATATTATGGCAGTGTCCATGTCGTAAACAACTCCTTATATGGAGAATGTATTTGTGCCGGTGTAGTCAGAATTTAGGACTATGAAATCAGACTCACTAGTAATATTGCGCATGCCTACGTGTGCATTGTGAACGTTCAACCGATAAAACGGAAAAAATGCTGGCACTGATCTGACTTAAAACGGCCCAACTAGCAGCTGACTATATAGGTGTAGTCAACTCGGTGCAAGGTTTACCATATTCTAGTCAAATCTGATTACTTTTTGAAGAATGGGATTCTTGACAGCTTGAAATCACCTGAACGATGTTGAATCTTGCCGCTACCTTGTTGACTATGATTGCCTCCTGAGGTAGGAGTGGTCCCCATATGATTGGTACCGCTGCTCCGGAGTAGGCTAGATTGTAGAGTATTCGCAACCCTTCCTCCGGATCAGCTCTCTACAAAGAATATTATTAGGGACACGGGAGACTGAGGTGCGTGAGTGTCACTACACTCATGAACACGTATGTTTCATTATTGGGATAATCTATTGAATTCTTAGCCTAATCCTAACCGTAACTTCTTCCAATACATTGCAACACCTGCACCTATAACCCTTACCCTATTTATTTAATTCTAGCCATAATCCCACACCTATCACGTCAATCAAACTGATACTAACTCAGTTCAATTTAGTACAACATTTATTTCTATCCAACATCAACCAAAATGCAATAGCTTGTACATTGAGGGAAATCAAAATAAATCATGCATGGGAAGGACAAACATAATACAAGTATAACTTACAAGAAAGCTTGTCAATGGCAGGTGCTAAAAGAACACTTAACACTCAAACGCAATCAATTGGAACCAACAAACATGCTATTGTAAGTAAAATCAGAAAATATAAATGCTACCAAACATATAATTAATTAACAATACAGGAAAAATAACTACAAAAATTGGAAAACAGGGATGAAAAGTGTAGATTTCAATATTATGAATATAAGGTATATTCAGGAAAAACAGGGTGAGATAAAGGCATACATGTACTTCCAAAAGCGAAGCTTGTATATGGAAAGCCTTCATTATACAGAAAACAAATATCATGCACTGGGAAAGACGGACAAGACAAAGCCAAAACGGGACAAATAACACCAAATGGAACTATAAAGGAGTCAGCTAATAGCTTGAAGGAATCAAACATACTAGATATAAGGAGCAAATGGCAAAAGAAGTGGAAAACAGAGGCAAAGAGAGATGAGAGTAAAGTATGATTTAAACAGGCCCAAGGATGGTTTGGTCGGATCGACTCATCGATGGGGTTCCATACACGAGGTCCATGATACCTAAGGGTGTTCATGGAAAAAGATGTGCGAGTGAAAGGCAGGTAGAGATTATTACGGGACCCAGTGAAATTACTGTAAATTTCGTGTAAAGTGGTGAAAAAAAGAGGAAAATACTTGAGGAAGTAGACCATAGTACATGACAAGACCCGTTTGCTGTTTGTTAATGTCAAAGAGTGTCAGAGTGTTGAGACGAGCGAAAGATGGTGCAGTGTGTTCACGAGGGTGAGAAGTAGTACAGATTATGAGGGCTCGTTTTTAAATAATAGCGAGGGAATTTCATTTAAATAATGGCGAGGGAATATCATTTATTCGTGCTTGTGCGTGCCCAGACTGTGGTATGGCAAGATGAGTGTGTTATATTATTGGGTGATTAGTGTTGAAGATGGAAGGAAATAACGAAGTTTGGACAGAACACCAATATTTTGAGAGATGACATTGGAAATTGAAGAAATGTGATCACAGCTTGCCATTAATAAACACACCCAGAAATTGAACAGCATGAATCGTTGTTATTGGGTAATTGTGTGTTTTTAATAACAGGTGCTGGGAAAACTCTGTGATCTACTGGATACCATACATTTGGTCTTGCATGAATTCAATGACAGCTTGTTAGCTCTAATCCAAACAGCTTTGGTGTAAATGGTTTAGGCCAATTTATTTCTCAGTGTGCAAGAGCTGACGTTTTCTTTTCATGATAGCAGCACTCCTGCAGCAGGACAGGTGCAGCGCGCGATTTAAATGCGCGCTCTCTTACGTAAAGGCCCTGTCACACTGTCTGCGATCTTATATGCGCTCTCACTGCGTCCTTGAAAAATAGCTGGGGGCCTGTCACATTATATGCGATCTCAAAGGAGACCTTACGGCGACCAAAAATATTTGATAAATTTAACAATCGCAGCGAGGACGCAAGAAAATGACAACTTTTTGTCTCAAAGAAGCTCAAGCTACGCTCATACCGTGCTCTTCCTGCGCTTACGATGCGCCCAACTCGCTCTCTATGCGCCCCTATCAAGCTCAATTACTCGATCTAGTCGCTGCCGCTGCGCTGTCACTGCGTTCACACTATGCTCTGCTCGCTGTTGATACGTCCTAGTAGCTCGCGTCGCGCTCTCTATTCGACCAAAATACGCTCATGTGACGTCACTTGCGCTGTATAAATACCACGACAAAACGGTCAACACACAGTCCAGTTTCAAAATTATTCTACAAGTTCATCGCAGTCGACTTACTTTCTCATGGAGACTACATCGACTGCCTTGCGCCTATAGGCTGCCTCAATGCCACTTCAATGTCGCACGATTCACGCTCGCACAGCGCCCGAGATGCGTCATTACGGCGTCCTGGCCAGGGCGCAGAGGTGTTGCGATTGTTTTGAGCATGTTCAAAGACCTTGGCGCTCATCGGAGACCATTAAGACCCTCTGGCGCCCATCTGGCAACCTATGTAGTTGTCGCTGCGATGTAGTAGTTGTTTTTGCGCCCCAGCTATTTTTCAAGGACGCAGTGAGAGCGCATAATCGCAGACAGTGTGACAGGGCCTTAACGTTTTGTATCACGCCAAGTTGCATATCTGATTTCCCCGCAGGGTGATTCCGTGTCAATGGGTGGTTGATTATTCTTTGTTTTACCCCATCAAATATCTGTATGCAGTATTACAAACGAAATTTGAGATAATATGTACTGCATTGGTAGGGAAAATGTGTCTTCTGTACTCTGAAGATAATGAAGTTAATGATGATGCAAGGTGAATATAGGTTTCACTCTTTTCCATAGCTCGACTTCCCCTCCCCGCCCTTTGTTTTTCTAATTTAATTACCACACCTGGGCCGAAAATAGTGTTATGCAAATGTTCCTCGTCTTCGTCGAAGGGATTTCTTTTATGTAAAGTATTTCCATAGTTGGTAGTTCACATTAATGTTTTGATATTTAAGTGGGTGGATGTTAACGCAATACAGCCTTGGGCAGCAATTACAAAGGCAGTTGCAAATTAATCATAAGTGAAATGTAATGAAAACAGAACCACCCAATTTTTTATGCGACTTTTTAAGGCACGAGAGTATAATTATTTGATTTGACAACATAGGTTGTACATAGGTCCTGACAGAAGCTTAGGTAAGGGGTATCTTATATCTCCGTGGCTGCTGTTGAAATTAAAAACAAATGCCTTTTGTGTGACTCGAATCGTTTTAATCAGACATGAAGATTAATTCGGCATCCAGAGCTGGCCTGTATGCCACATGATCGTAAAAGAAAAACTGCCACAATTGGTGTGCTCGTTTAATCATACATTTACAAAGGTGGATAAACGTGTGAATTATTGTAGGCCACGTACTTGATAAATTTAGGAAAGATATGAGAACTTACATATATTCCTGTGGGGGTCTTATTGAGCATCGAAAGAAGGGGCAGGCGTTCTCGTCAGTTACCTTTGTCGTGTGTGTTTTTCTTATTGGGTCGCACGCGATATGACAATGTTTGAGAGGTGGGCTGTCCGTTCAGATTGTTCTGCTATGTGTTGCACTATCCAATAGGATTTATATAAGGAGTGTAAAGGGAATACACAATGTTTTAAGTTTTGTGTTCATAGATTCTTGAAAAACCAAGAAAAAAAACACGTTCTTGTAGTCTGGTTCCCCGACCCCGCTACAAATGATTTCTTTTATGTAAAGTATTCCCATATTTGGTAGTTCACATTAATGTTTTGATATCTAAGTGGGTGGATGTTAACGCAATACAGCCTTGCGTAGCAATTACAAAGGCAGTTGCAATTTAATCATAAGTGAAATTTAATGAAAATAGAACCACCCAATTTAATGAGACCTTACATATAGCCTAAAGGCACGAGAGTATGATTATTTGATTTGACAACATAGGCTGTATATAGGTCCTGACAGCGGCTAACGTAGGGGGAATCTTATATCTCAGTGCATGTTGTTGAGATTGAAAATAAAGGCCTTTTGTGTGACTTGAATCGTTTTAATCAGACATGAAGATTAATTCGGCATCCAGAGCTGGCCTGCATGTATGCCACATGATCGTAAAAAGAAAAGGAAAGATATTTAGAACTTAAATATATTTCTTTGGGGGTCTTATTGAGCAGCGACAGAAGGGGACGTTATCGTCAGTTAACTTTGTCGTGTGTGTTTTTCTTGTCGCACGCGATATGACAATGTTTGCGAAGTGGGATGTCCTTTCAGATTGTCCTGCTATACAGGGTGAGTAAAAAAAAACACCCGAAACCCAAATGTCGGGACTATTGTTTTATTGAAGTTCTGCATGTAGCGCGTTCAAAATCTAGGATCTATTTACTTTTCAAGTTACGGAAATTTAAACACAACCACCGTTTTAAAGTTCTGTCAACGGATCACAAAAAAAGGTGTGCGTTCTTTCAGCAAAACGAAACAATTCACACACATCCAAGAACACTGAACATTTTGTGATCCGTGGACAGAACCTTAAAACGGTGGTTGTGTTTAAAATTCCGTAACTTGAAAAAAACATAAGTGATTTGAATGATTCTTGTACTAAAAGAAAGCTTATGAATTGGACTTTCGTATCCTAGATTTTGAAAGTGGTACATGCAGTACTTCACTCAAACAATGGTCCCAACATTTGGGGTTCGTTTTTTTTTTACTCACCTTGTATATGTGTTGCAATATGATTTTCATAAGGAGTTAAAAGGAAGAGGTATAGCAATGTGGCATTTGGAACATATGGGCCCAAATGTCTAGCTGTTCTAACAATCTAGGCATTTTTATGTAGCATGCACGATATGAGACGGAGGGAACCCACCACCCTCCTTTGTGTTGGTCATTGTGTTACCAGAATCTCAGGGATTCTTTTGAGATATCTAGGGGGATGTGTTAGGTAACAATAGTCTAGGGTTGGCATAGGGTATAGGGAGATTGGGGGTACCCCTTCGTCTCATATCAAGCTGGGCATAAATCTAGGGATTGTTTAGGATGGGTTAGGACTGTGGTACTCAGTATTTGGTTTATAGTGTGTAATAAATTCTGTGGTAACAACGACAGCTCTCCCCCTTTCAGTCCCACTCGAGGCAAGTACCATCCCTGTGGCAACCTCTCTCTCTCTCTCTCCCCCTCGCTCAGAAGTTAGGGGAAAGAAAAAAAGATGAGTTCCCCTCCAGATAATGAGGCCTCCTAATTGCCCCCTGTAAACTGAACACAAGTAACCGCGACAACATCTAGTCTTTAGCAGTGGCAAAGTGTCCGATTTTCCGAGGTGATTTTTATAATCGCTTTCTGTTTTAACGGTATCTTATGTAAGATTATATGCATTATTTATCCATTCGTGTGAATGTGTTTTGGTAACTGACAATTAAGTTTTTCACAGAATAGGCCTACCTAAAATAAAATGAATATTTTGGTGTTAAATAGTCTTGTGAACGCTTTAGGAACGCCTCGGAGAGGTGTATTTTCCAATTAAGAAAAACCTTTTAAGTTAGATCTCAGGGCCTGACGTCTCGTTCCTAGAAGATTATTTATCAAACTTGCCTTGGAGACAGATTCTTCTAGGATCGAAATTTCAAAACAGATTCTCTGCAAGGATCGAAATTTCAGACCTTCTGACTTCTTCTTTCTTTCAAATGCCAATAAAGTATAGCTAGAATATATATGGTCAAATATGACTTACCCCAGTCCAATTCCACCTCATGCTGAGATGGTAGCCATCTAGAATCCCATCCAAGCTGTTGACGTGATCTAGTGTTACCTGCGCCACCTCTTGTTGCATTCCTATGGCAGGGCTGCCCGGGAAAGCGAACAGGCCGCCCATGTGAATCACGCATTTCCCGCCAAATGTTGCGTTGTGCGTGTTGTTACATCCTGCGGACCCGTGTGGCGTGAACGCGGCGAGAAAAAGCCCGAGTGCCGCGGTGAAAGATATTAGTTGAAAGACACGCATCATTGGGAATGACAAAACGTACGACAGCACTGCAAAAAGATGTTTCCAAAAAAGATGAATATTTTATTCTGGTCCATGGCAATATCTGTAGCAGCGATTTCATGTCACGCTGCACGCAATTCAGAAGCGCGCTAATGAATGGGCCATAAGGAACTTGATCAGTAGATAGTTCACGGATTGGACATGCAAACTCTGGGGGTTGGCATATTGAATGCACTCTTCTTGTTAAGATGTCTGAACGTGATCTGTGAAGTATGCGCGCGCATAGACCAGTTCATGTATAAACTCAAATTTATGCGCATGTGCAGACGCACCCATCGGAGACTAAAATACACTCGACTGCAAAAAAAAATATGAGGACCAGCAGTTATCTTGCATGTAATATCTTGTATTAAGCATTTTGCTCGTGTCTAAAAACGAAGTTCTATTTTTACAGAAATAATGTTCATGTCTTCGTGCATGCATAAACAAATGCCAGTTGACGCACATGATCTGAGCCTTTTACATCTAGTGTCGTTAGACTACAACAAATTTGCCGACAAATCACCCGAGTTAAAAAAGTTGACAGGATTGTTAAGCTCTGGCAGAAGCTGCTACATGTCACTTGGTGGGTCGGTCTGTCTGTATGGTGTTACACATGTGCCATCGGCGTCGCAGTTTTCGGCTTCGCATTTTTTCAGTTCTAGCAGTGATCATTTTGATCGATTTCATGCAAGACTTCTGGCAAGACTTCTTGCAATACGGCCACAGCTTATTGTGCACTCGTACTTGTTTCCAGGTCACCCGGCCTCCGTAAAATTGAAGAGCTGAGGGTGGGGGGGGGGGGGGGGGTAGACTGTTTCCCAGGGAACCAGACTAGGGAAAGGCTGGTCAGTATCTTCCTATAGGTGGCGTCGTCCAAAGCGGACGCGTCGTTAACGGGCACTGTCAGACAATAATTGGCGCTCTTTATCTGGGCACGTTTGCCGACAGACGCACAATTTCATTAATAGGTTTTTTTTTGGGGGGGGGGTTCCGACTTCCGTTACACCCACATATACACCCCTTTTGCGACCGTGTTCGCATCGATTAATTAATTGTAGGCGCAATCACATTCAGACATGCGAATTCTATGGCATGCAAGTTTGAACATTTAGTCCCGAAAGTGAGATATCTATATTTCCAATAGAGATATCTCTACCCCTACCAAACTCGATCCCGCTTTTAAAATTGTTTCAGTAAATCTAATATTTTGTTTTGGCAATTTTTTTCCACAAATTTTGATCTATACCATTCTGTGAATTAGACTATGGAATATCCCCCTGCACCGCTTTAGGTTTTTTTTTCATGCAAAACAAGACTGCGTCTTGACCTCGAAATTCTGACCAAATTCAGCGGACGTCTTCTATCGGTTCTTCGGTAACACGCTCTTATATTACAAAAACATAGCAGCCAAATTAACCAATCAACAGCTTATAGTCCACATTTCTAATCTGAATGACGTCACAAATTCTAAAATCGACGCCGATTGGCTGGCGCGTGGGGTCGCATAAATTTGTCTGCTCGCAAATCACATGCTGGTTACGGAGAGGGCTCCCCTGAACATCTGTGAATGGCATGAACAATGTGTTATGGGCAATGAAACACTCAATAGAGGGCGCTTTATTAACAGAGCGGGAGAGCTTCGAAACTGTTAGTCGACTAATCGTAGAATTAAGGTGTTCAGTTATTTTTGATTCAGCATGATACTACTGTATATTTTTTTTCTTTTTTAATTAACTCATAACAACGATGATTAGTTAGGCCTACTCGTTGTTACAAGAAATGATCAATACACATGTACTTACAGATTTTATTCCCTATGTTGCTTTTGCATTATGTTTGTGAATTTTAAAATGAAATTGTTAATTTGTGAATAAATATAATTGTAGTAAAAAAAAAAATTCTATTGAAACATTTGTTGCGTACATTTCCATAGGTTCTCAGCACTATACAGCGATATAGGCACTGACACAATTTTACTCCTTTTTGTAATAGGCTTATTTTGTACGCCCCTTAAAATACCATCAAGGTATACTCATTTATACTCCTGAATTGATATCGAGAGGCAATTGTAGTAAAGTGTCTTGCCCAAGAACGCGAGCACCAAGCTCCCCGTCAGGGTTCGAGCCCACGTAACACGGCTGCACCGTGTGAGTTGAACATCGTAACCACCACAGCGCTCCAAACTGATATTAGAGCTGAACGATAACCCCACGGGCTCAAAGATTGACATCACTGGGAAATCCCTAGATCCCATTTCATCAGTTCAGCACAGGCAGACATGAGTAGATATGAGTAAACATAGTCAGTTTATGCCCACATATAACCCGGCAATGAAGCAGAGACGAACCTTGAACTCCAAATCACAATACACTGGTATCCATTGTACAGGTTAGTACATGTACGTAGGTCTTCTGCAATCGTTGAATAAAAAAGGGCTTCGTTTTTCAAGTCTTTCAGTACCTGTACGGCACAATCGTTAGCTTTGTTGTTGCTCAGTGCTGTGGTAGTGAAAGCCTAAACACTGCAATAACAAGGTAAGTCATAATAAGGTGGACTTTATATTAAAACACGTATGTACATTTGCATGAACATGTACATGTATACGTACATTTTATTTACATGCGGAATGCACTTTATGAGCACACCCGTTAATGTGGTGTACGTGTACATGTCATTGGCGATGGTAAACTGTCCATAGTCCAAATGTATACACCCTATAAACGCTGTCAGTGTTGGGGCAACAACAATGGTGTTGGCACTTATATGGCTGACAGAATTTGCTTTGGGAAAGAACAGCTTGGGGAAACAACATAAATTAACGGTCAAGGGACGTACGTCATAAAGGTATTGTCATGTATTTTATAAGTTGTGAGAAACTGGATTAGGAAAAGGATTGTGTGGTCATGGACTTTGCCCCGTGATTAATATCATAATATTATGACTGTTTGCCGAAGTGCAAGGTTATACCGCTTTGAAGTATATGATGTATACATGACCAATTACCACCTTCTTTGGTCAGGTCGTATATTAATCAGCAAAAAATGTATGATGTCAATGCTCTGTAGTTCTAAATATAGACTATGACAAGATGGCCAGATCGCCTATGTAGCCGTCCGCGATTAATCGATTGCCCAAGCCTTATGTATGTTCGCCTATATCCGAGCATGTACATAAAATGGCCGCTCACATATACGCGCCCGTATGTGGACTCGTGTCGATATGAAATAAAGCTTCGGCTTGTGCTCAGTATAATGAGTCAACAACATTCTTTATGCTAATGGAGCATCTCGTATTTTTTTGGGCAAATTTTGTTTCACAGATTTTATTTCTGTTAATCCGTGATGCATTATATGATAAACGGCATTGTTCTGATTACTTATTACAATGTTTCAATGGTTAATATTTGATGCGCATACAGGTTACATGTTGACAGTTTACATATTAAAAAAGACGTATGAAAATGACAAAAAAGTTAACTCAAACCGATGAGCAAATACTAGGCCTCGTCAGTTGGCTTATTGTCAAAAATAATGTCCCACATGCAATTTCGGGATTAATGAAACATTTCAAAAACCAAATAAACTTGATGCCATATTTTCCTACCACAGAAGAGCGTTTTCTGGATATTGCATGGGTTTTTTTTAGCTGAAGTGAAGAATACACATTTGAATACCTATTTCCCCTGATCCCTTGTTGGTGGGGAAAGCCTCAGTTATCAAGACTTTTTGTAGCAGAGAAACAATTTTGAACAAACTTTCTCTTTAGGGTCGGGACGCCTTTCATAATTTGGGGGTGGGAAAAATAAAATTGCAAGAAACTACAATATTAATCCAAACTCATGCCGGTGGGGCAGGAAATTATGTCCCCCGCACAACGGTCCAGGACAGAATTCCCTTGGGAAAAGTGTCCCCAAGCTAAGGGATTCTGTCCTTCCCGGGGAATTCCACTGATAACACTGATCGAACTTATCTTTATTAATGGTCCTCATATTTCTCATTATGATTCTCGTAATGTTTCTTGATGACCAACAGGAGTGATTTATCGTTCGTTTTCTTTTATTTTTGCTCCACTTTGGAGAACTACCTGTTTGGTGCACAGGTGCGCAAACTGAGCGGGAGACTATAGTTAAAGAACATCTCAAACCTCTGATTTATTTAAAAGAGTTGGTGAACCGATCGCTAATTTTGCTCTTCTTCTGATGTTTTGCCCTTCTTTCCATAGTTTTCTTACTGATGCAGTAGGCAAGAATCAGCTTTGACAAAATGTCTACTAATGAGGTACCAAACCCGGTAAGTGGGAGTGTTTCGGAAAATTTTATTGGGACAAACTCTGATGAAGTATGGAGAAAGGTCCCAACACATATTGAAAGTTCTTCAGGATGGCTTCAGATTTGAAATAGGCTTCGGACAACTGGGAATACCTTAAATCCTTATCAGGCTCAGACATTTTTTGTAAATCTCGTCTTCATGATTATATTTTTGGTTTAAATTTTCAGAGGGGACACGTTTAAAGTCTATTTAAATATTAAACTAGGCTAGCAAATATTGTCATCAGGAATAAAGACAGATCAAAGATTTTTGTTCAACCGTTTGAACTTTCCACGACTCATAATAAATAATAAAGAAAATAAATACATAAATAAATGATAACATATTTTTCAAAAAGTAAAAGTATGCCTGAATAAAAGGTAATGTAACATATTTATTGTTTGAGAGAATAAAATCATGGTTGTTTAATTAATATTTTTTTTTATGTAGACCTTGCCCCGAAACAAAAATCAAAATTTTGAAAATGTTACAATGCACCTAGTCAGTTTCCCTCACCGGTCTATTGTGAAATCAAATAATACTTTTAGTTACCTAGTGAACGGAACAACACAAGACGAACAATTCTCGGATGTGTAAACCAAATTTAATATATTTTTTCATTCTTGAAAATTGTTTTAACTTTCTTGGAAAAGTTAACCCGAAACGTGTGCAGGGAAAATATTAAGTTTTGTTATGGTTTCTGTTGTTTGGGTGTTTGCTGGTTTATATATTTTCTTCTGCATATTTTCTTGTTGTTGTTGTTGTTGTTGTCGTTGTTGTCATTGTTGTTGTCGTTGTTGTCATCGTTGTTGTCGTTGTTGTTATCGTTGTCGTTGTTGTCCTTGTTGTCCTTGTCGTTGTTGTCGTTATTGTCGTTGTTGTCGTTGTTGTCGTCGTTGTTGTTGTTGTTGATTAATTTCGTTTTGTCCTGCTGCCATCTCAGCCACCCTACTATGAGGCCTTTGCCAAGCCTGTCTACCCAGGTGCACAGCTGGCCTACTCAGCCGCCACCGAAAAGGCCGAATCTGGTGTGCCAACAGTCGTCTCCTCTCCAGTCAGTAAACCATTTCCTTTATTTTACTCTTTTTTTTACATGTAGTATGACATTTAGGCATTTAGGCATGCCAAACGTCCTTTTTATTTTTTTAGCCTTATTATGATTAAAAAAACAAATTGTTGCCGAACATGAAGGTTCAGAGGGCGATCATCAACAATACCCAACGGATTGTTTACCAGAGACAGGGACATTTGAACCCCTTTGTCTCTTATCAACATATTTGTTATGAAGGTACTGCTAAAATAGTGCAACAAGGCCTTTAGATGACCAGTTGGAACTCAGAGAATAGACATGGATGTTGTTTGTGTACCAGTAGGGCCAGCAAATTGCCTATACCAGATGGTTTTAGTCATCGGGTATGTCCGAAACTGAGAGTTTAGAATCAAGTTTGACTACACGGGTAAACCTTTAATAGTCATGTTTAACAGTTACTTTTAAGGGAGTGTCGGCGTAGTCTTTTATACACAGTTTGCATTTCAGTCTACATTCTAATATATTTTTCATAGATCAACTTAAGTAAGATTGGGCCCTTGAACAATCCACGGAAAGGCAACGGAGTACAGGAATGGATGGGGCCCTCTCATGTGAATCCTTTGTTTAAACCCAAGGCAAAATTAAAGGCCAGTAAAGTTTCTATCTTATAGAAATTGTTTGTTCATTTTGTAGGCTCTACCATATTTGGGCATGATTCCCAACGGGATGAAGATAGGGAAGCTCATTGTGGTCAAACTCATCGTGAAGCCTAATCCTAAAAGGTAAATATCATCAAATCAAACCAAAATTGCTATTTCTCCAAGACACTGGAAGTTGTTAAGTGACATGGCAATGTGCTAAAAGCCTCCTCTTTATTCCGAAATTAGGATCTTGCACATGCCAGATGAAATAATGCATCAAACTTTCTGAGGTTGCTGTGTCAATCAAGATATCAACATTTACATTGTGTTCTTTAAGATCACTGTGGAAATGAAAGTTATATAATGGTCAGAAATCTAGATCTCCCCCACAGTACACCAAGTTGCAACAGTGTTGTAGGACTTGAGTCCAGCACTCGAACTCGAGTCGGACTCGAGTCGGACTCGAGTCACATTTTTCGTGGGAATTAAAAGGAAAACACATTTTGGGTCTAAACAACATTTACACACACAAGGTAAACTAAACACACTGGGATTAACTTAAAATACAATGGATGATTAAAAAATTGATTAGTTTGGTGAACAACTAAGAACAAGTGACTCCTGACTCGGACTCGGACTTGAGGTTTGTGACTCGAGACTTGGACTCGGACTCGAGGCTTGTGACTGGGGACTGGGACTCGGACTCGACGTTGGTGACTCGACTACAACACTGAGTTACAACATGGCAAAGGTCTCGATGCTACTTTGCTTTTACTTCAATACCAAATTCTTGTAAAATCCTATTCTCTTGGTAGGAATTTTGTATTGTTCGAGATAAACGGAGTTTCGAGTTATCCGAGTTTGAGTTAACGAGAGTTTACTGTACCTAGAAATCGTATAAAGGTACAAAATTATAGTTGTTTAATTGTTTGTATTCTGTTGATTATTTTAAAATCTAACATAGGTTCCACGTGAACTTCCAATGTGGCATGTGTTCCAACCCACGAAGCGACGTCGCACTACATTTCAACCCACGGTTTAAGGACAAGACGATTGTGTTGAACACCCTGCGCAACACCCGATGGGATTGGCGTGAGCAGAGGCCCAAGATTGGCTTCCCCCTCGTCCCGAACGGGACCTATGAGGTAAACATGTTGTGGTCTCGTGGTTAAGAGCATGGTCTGCGGGTAAAGCTGCAGGTTGTGGGTTCAAATCCAGCCTGGGGTCATGGTGCGTGTGCCTTTTGGCAAGGTTTTTTTCACGTTACTCATTGCTTCTCCCCACCCAGGAGAAAATGGGTACCTGTGACGGCAGAGATGGTTATTGTGATTGATTCTAACTGCTTTGCGCCGAAATGGCAGCATCGAGCTGTATACTCCCCAGGGAGCTGAGATTGTATTTGGAATGTTTCATGGGCCCAATGAGCAGGGGCAGCGCCTTGAGCACCAGTCCTGGTGGATACATGCGCTGTTTCAATAATAATAATTATTATTATATTCTATGCCAATTCTCACATAGCACATTTGAAATCAATGCACAATTAGATCTTTTTCGGTCATCCCCGCTCGCTCGGTCTGCACGGTCGAATAGTCGACCTCTCATTCATTCCAAATCTCCAGTCACATACGGTTAGGCTGTTATCATCCATTCACGTCATCCAACCAGAGCCGTCCGTGATTGGTCGATAGTTGTCATATAGACCGAAGTCACTGACAGCAGACGACCACTGATTGGTCACTGTTTGAAGGTCATGATATCTTGAATATTGACCAATTTACCAAAATTAGGATTATAATTTGAATTATACTGCACCAAAATTTAAATCTAATGATGGCTTTTTGAAATTGAAATTGGTAATTGAGCTCGACGATGTTCTGGAACGAAATTAAATTATCGTTCCGGGGAATGTGTGTGATATAAGCAGATAACACCCTCCTTTGAGAATCATCATTGTATGATTTGTGATTTTATGGATCAACAGAGAACCGTTTATTTGTTTACGTGTAGATCATGTTCCTGTGCGAGAAAGACAAGTTCAATGTCGCTATGAATGGCTTGCATCTCTTTGAATACAAACATCGTCTGCCGTTTCAAAATATCAGCGCTCTGGAGATTGCTGGCGATTGCGACGTCATCGAGGTCCAGTACAACTAAACAAGACTCGGAATTGGTTTGGTGAGCAATTTCCCTGGCAACGGCGGAGAGTGAGGCCTATCTGTAGTTGAACATTATTTAAACAGAGAGTAACGGATTATTTCACATTTGCGCGATTGCAGGATTTGAGTTCAGAAAGGCTCTTTTTGAAATCTTCGAAGTCTTGGATTTACAGACTTTACTGATTGAGTTATATTTCTGCGAAATGCTATTTTTCTATATATATTTGTTCCTGAGATAATATATTTGTTTGTGATTCAAGCTTTAATGTTTTTCCTGAAGCCAAGTTTTGTTTTCATTAAGATTTGGGATTTGTGATTCTAATTGTGATTGTGAAGATCAATGATTGTTCTGTAGCTCATGATGATAACTTGTCATTGTCAAATATTGTGATATCGGTAATTTCTGGTGTCTTTGTAATCCGTGATGTTGTAGTTGCAGCTCAAGCGACAAATGTAAAACAATTGTAAGGAAAGGAAAAGCATGGAGAAGGAAGTTCAGCATATTTGTTGAGCATCGGAATGGATTTTGCTTTTATATAGTGGTATTAAATGACAACAACAACGAAGGAAGTGGTCTTTCTCCATGGAGATTCCGCTTACCGCTTACAGTTCTTTCTGTGTACAGTAGTAAAATAAACAAACTGAAATTAACATTAAAACCGTTTTCCAATTAAAAAACGATATTATTTTATTTTCATTTACCCTGATGAAAATTTAATGTTTAAGCAATGTATGTATATTTTGTCTTTGAAATCTTGTTAATATATTTTTTATTTTGTTTTCCTTTTTTTGGCAGCAAAACGATTTTTGGCAGAATTTCACAAATTTTTGGATCACTTCTGGACTACACATTACATGAAAATTAGCTACTGCTGAATAAAGTAATGTTTTGATTATAAGGTATATTTTAATGTCAGCTTAAAATATTGCTCACTTTTGTTGGAAGTATACATGTATACTGGACTTTGTTTGATGACCGTATATATATATATATATAGAGAGAGAGAGAGAGAGAGAGCTTCATGATTATACAACTTCATAATGTATAACAGTTCATAATATCTTCCTCCATATTGCAATTTTAATGGAAACCGTTTGAGTTCTCGCAGTTGTTAAGTTCATTTAAGGCTTTGTATACTACTGCAGGCTTTGCGCTACTTTGTGCTAATATAGAAGCTTATCGATAAGTTTATGGTAAAGTATGAAGAGTGACAACTCAAGTATAGAATTAATTAATTGTGTTCACCTTAATTAGCTCCAGCTGTAATCGCGGTGCTTCATGTGGCTAAGTGGCTTAGTAGGCTTTGGGGTACTTAATAAAAATAGATCCGGAAATGTCCATACATGGTGGTGCAAAAAGAAGGAAACCAACTGTTGCCAGCAATTTTCACCTACTTGTTGTGCATATTTCAAAAATTCAATTAAATGGTAGTAAAATATTGATCTTTAAACGTAAGTGACGAAGAGACATTGCCAATTATGCGTATTTTGCCTCTGAGAATAATGTCATGTGCTAAACCTGTTTGTCCACGGACGGCAATATTCCATCCGCTTGACTACATATGAGCACCGGAGCGTAATTCAAAGACAAAAACACTACATTTCAAACAAGGCTGAGCGTTTGTTTGGCCACAACTTTGAATCCCCAAGAAACATTGGTAATTTAAAAGACAACACTCCGAGCATAGGGACAGAGGCCGAGAGTTCCGTATTGCGATGAATATCTTACTTAAACGTCATTTTCTGTTTCAAAATATTCTTATTCAAAGGTTGCAATTTAGTGACATTTTCAAACGCTGTTTTGTTTTGATCCGAAACATTAACTGTAGAGGTTTATTAGGATGATTTTCAATTTGAATAGTTTAATGAATATATACAGTTTGTATTTATATGTTTGCATGGCTTAAACGATTATATTCATTGTGCTTATGGTTATATTACTCCCCTTCATTTATTTGGTTACTTACCTCGGCACTCACACTAAGCAATACATGATTAATAGTTCAATTATTCTCGTCTAATTCCTGTATTTTATGGCTAGTACGATTTATACTGAAATAGTTTAACTCAACGATCGATGCGGATATTGTTTGGTTGTAATTACAGCAGCTTTGTGCTGGGGAAATGAGTTTCTGCACGCGTTTCCGCGGACGGTCCTTCCGACCCGAAGTCAATGGCAGCCACGATTGTCTGTGCACCGTGGCCGCGCCTGGCTACACATTACACTCAGCTGGGATCAATGTTTTATTTTTTCTCATGCAGAGAAAATTAAATCTATCAGAACCAATTATTAATCGTGAACACACATTCACAAAACCGATGATTAGTGGCAATAATTCGGGGGTTTATTTAGGTTGTAAAATCTAGAAAAGCAGACGGGCATTGCCGTGGCCTGTATGTACATGTAGCAAGCCCCATTTGTGGCTCAAAATAGGCCTCAACGTAGGCCTACTGCGCGGACTTTTTTTCCGTATTTGAGCCACCAGCAGTGATAGCAACATGTAAGGAAAAGTTGTCTGGAGGAAATCGAAATTGGGACTGTTTTGTTTTCACTTGATATTCCCTAACCAGGGAAAATCAAAAGGTCTGCACATGTCCCCTGACCTGACCCAGAGAAAAAAGGGCGTAATTTTTGGACAAACTCTGCAAATTTCGCCTGAAAATTACAAGACAGACAGAAACAGAATTAAATATTTCACCCTCGTTATAAACAAGGTACACGTATATATCTTTCATAGTGAATATCAAGTGAAAAGACAATCATAATTTTGATTCTTAAAAACCATTAAAATTGGCTTCATCACCATTGAGTGCCTCCAGAAGTCAGGTATTGGAGCCCTAGGGATATTTGACTGAAAACTGGGGGATTCTGAAGGGGACAGAATACCTCATTCCTATAGATATACTTGCTCGGGGACTATTCGCACGGCTGGACAACAACTCTGGCGCCATTTCCTGCAGCTGTTTCCTTCTTTCTGTCATGAACTTCAACATGTATTTTACATGCGCACTTTCTGCAACATTTTAACACAGCTATGATCAACGAAACAGATTGTATCAGTATTCGTCAAAGCTAGCAGTGAATCATTGTTCATATATGGATACCGGAAAGCATGTGCGTGTTCAAGTATTTCCTTTTACCTCACCGTGACTTTCTTTCAACTCGCTCGAAATACTTTCACTTTGGTAGAACTTCCCTAACAAATTGAGCGAATGCATTGTCAGACAATTCTAATTAATGGAAAAAAACTGATGACTTCAATTGTCATCTTTTATTCTCACGATACGAAACCAAACACCCGTTGACACCAATGAACGTGCTTTCATTATACAAATAATAATGAGTACTTTTTGTTTCATATTCACCCATTTTCTTCCCTAAAGTAAAACCCCGTGTGTTTATTTCTGGGGTTTGGTTTTGTTCCCTTCTTGCTTCGTAATTCTTTTACACATCGGTGGGCCGGTTAAACCATGAAATTCTGAAAATGTATTAACTTAAAAATGACAAGGTAAAAAAGCATAGCACATTACCTATACTTATATCCCCCGCACTTTAACGTGTCGTCAAATAATAAAACTCATATACTATACACAAGTGGTTTTGAAAGTATTTAAGGTAATTGACATTATTAGCAAACAGAAAACAAAAGTACTTTGCGTTTTAAGGAACAACAGTACAATACATCTGAGGCAGGTTATTAAAGAGACCCGTCGAATTTTCAGCTCACTGGATGATAAACTTGCTGAGAAAATTTTGGAAATGTATCTTCAAGATTATTTTCTCAACGCAAAGCATGTAAAACTGAAGTGACGAATCCAGCACTTACATGATCGATCAGTGACCACACTTTTAAAGTGTTAAATCCAGCATTTTAAGTGTTAAATCCAACACTTCAACTGCTAATTCAACAGTTGTGGATGCAACACTTTCAAAGTTAACTCTTTGAAAAAAGTTGAATAAACACTTAAATTTAATTTAGCATTTAACATGCTGGATTCAATACTTTCAAAGCGTGGTCACTCACCGAACCTTAAGTGTTGGATTCAACATTTCAGTGTTTAGAGTGATATAGTTTGTGTTGAAAGCGCGAACCAACACGAGGAAACGGTTATGATTCCTCTTTTCCCGAAACTACAGCATTAGCTTTTGTACGAGAATCAACGCGTCACAGGATGCTTGATTCTATTATTTACTTATCAGGTAGGACATTTCATGACGTTTGGACAGTTTCACTTTTGAACGTTTGCAAATATTGTCCACACGCACGACGATAACAGATAGGTGTCCTTTATAGTACACCATACAAAGGGACTTTCATTGTTGCAGCACAACCGGAAGTAAAACCTTGACGCAATGCTTATCATAGCAGTACACCAGAACCTCAGCAGAAACAAGACACAAGTGATATGTAAGCCTAAACCGTGCAGACCGACGCATCAGTGATGGCGCAGATTACGAGACGCAAGGAGCCTGAGAAGTCTCCAGGAATACATTGGCTATGTCTCGCTCTACTCAGCACTCTACCTTTATGTCTTGCAACGACAGAAGATGATGCCTGTCATGTCTGCGAGTGTGACAGTTTTAAGAAAATTGTAAACTGCAATGGAAAAGGTCTGAAATCGCAACCAAACGGAATACCACATGATACAACCTGGCTGTAAGTTAGTTCGTGTGGTTTTAAATCAGTAGTAGGCTTATTTCAGTAGTACACCTGCCCTATGAATTTTTCAAATTGTCGATTTCGATGCCGTTGAACGATTTTCTTTTAATGTAGAATTTTGAGCCAAAAATGTCTTTGACAATATAGACTGTTTCATGCTGATGCTGAATTTAGACTCGGCCACAGTCGCGTGTGTTACGCCTGGTCTTTGTAGTATGCGTGCACGTACACACGCTGAAGTGGTACGCGTTTAATATGGCACTTAGTGCACTATGAGCACGACGTTGATGATGGAATCCAGGGCTGGGTTTCTGTGTGGTGTGGATATCGACTTAAGATCGTCTGGACACAAGCGTCCCTCTCCTAATTCAAAAGCTGAAGTGAAACAAAAATGAAAACGTAGCCTGGAGCGATTTTTGTTTTTTCAATGTCTCATTAATTTTTTTAGGGTGCACCCTCCCTTTAAAGCTAGCAGAATCATTTGAAATTACTCGGGAAATAAATGCAGGCCTACCCACCGATTTAATGACCAAAAAACACTTGCTCAAAGTGAAGATAGAACCTTTTTTATCATATACCCTGTGAAACTATCCCGCCTAAAATTGTAGTTAAAAAAAAGGGCCATTCAAGATTGTAATGAATAACACAATTTAACACTTTTTTGGGGGTAGAAACCAGTAAATGTAAAAATTGTAATGTAAATTTTCATTAAATGTATGCACTAATGCTGCATTAGGCCTACAACTCTTATGTTTTCTTTCCCAGCTTACTTACATAGAAATCTGCAAAGTAATATATATATATACTTGGAGTTATCTATATACTTGTATAATTCTGCGACTTGTTATCGAAATTTCTTGAAAAGGCCTAAAAAAAAGTCTCCGGTTTCTGGTATGCGCGCGCGTCTTCGTAGCCATGCGCGTCGGCAAAATGAAAAAGTTTTTTTTTTCAATAAAAGATGATGTCTCAAAACCGCCAAGCTCACTGGTTTGACTGGAATCCTCCTGCCGCACAATTTTAACGTGTTTTTAGATGGGGTTATGATCGAGAATAAGCTTTATGTGGCCTCTCTGGACTCCCATATATTTGCACTAAGTTTAGTCGAGCACCATTTGCAGTCATCAGCCGGCATTTGAAGCAAAAAAGTCAGGTAAAAAAAAAAAAAAGCCGCGTCGCCGCACCACCTTTTGGGCAAGCTCCATACCAGAAACCGGAGACTTTTTTGGGGGGCCAAATCCCGGTTTTTTTCCACACAGATCCTTCAATAGTAATGAGCTGACAAGACTGAAGACAAATTCATTTCAGAACCATACATGGCTGGCTTTGTTGTAAGTAGGCTTATTACAAACCGTGAAGTTGTGTCTGCCAATGAACAGGCTAGACCTAGGGTATATCGTGTCTTTATCGTGTCTTTGAACTCTTGAACGGCCACGTGTCCATGTTTGTCTACTTTATTGTGACCCCAACAAAGTTTGCACTTTTTCAGACGCAGATTTCTCGAAATTTGGGAGACAGATTGAAATTGCTTAAAGATATTCCTGATCTACAGAGTCTTGGTGGCGTATGGTGTAAAATGGCATTGAAAAAAAGCCTGAATTAAGTAATGACGGCCGTTATCAAAAAAAAATATGGTCATAAGCCAGTTTGTCCACACGCATGTATACATGGGTATGTAAACACGGGTAATCGTGGACTAGGGACAAAAGGGTTAGGGCACACACAAAGGGTTCACGATTGATCGATAGTCCACGATTGAAATTCGTGTACAAAACCAACGAGAACTGGTGCTAAAAAGTAGGAGTGCAAACAAAGGAATGAGGATGGTCCACGATTGCCGGTGTTTACAAAGATGGGTGCGTGGTCATCGTTATGGCAGTTCTTTAAATTACCTCATTTACATTTACACTTGCATGATGTTTACGTTCGTGTTTTAGAGGTGCTAATCAACCCAAAGTAAGAACTTTTTCACAGAAATGCTTACGCCTAAACGCAGTAATGCAACTATTTTTTTTGGCGTTGAAATAAAACATAAGAAGAGGTTTTCCTGGCATTTTCAAACGTTTTCCACTCCAATTCTGTCAACGATATTTATATTCCGATTTGTCCAGCAAATCAATTTAGTGCAATTTCTATATTCAACTTTGTCCTTTTATTCATACAATTTTCAAATTCAATTTTGGTCGAGGTAAATTCAAACCGTGAGCTGACATATTCGTCCAGGAGTATTCGATTTCGTTCCTTCTACGCCGAACCGTGATTTGCCTGATGCCAAATTCGTCTGATGCCACCCAATATAATCCAAACTTTGTTTACTTTCGTCGTACTTCATTGTGACATCTTCAGTAGAAG